CTGTTGAACCTCAATACTCACCCGCAAACTCTCCAGATCCGAAGAGCATGCTGCCTCGGGAGTACCTTGTGAAATGGAATGAACGAAGTTATAGGCGCACTCAATGGGTTCCACATATGTGGTTGGCATCTACAACATATATGAAACTCAAAAATTTCATTGCGACAGGGCCCAAAGTAGAATTGTTGGATAACCCTGCTCCGGAACAGAATACCATACTGGTCGACTCTTCCGCGAATGAGATACCAGTTCAGCCGGTGTCATTGGAGGCCAATGCCAGTCAGACTCCTGAGGTCGAGGCCAAGTCCAAGTCGGTATCGTCTCTACGACCTTTGCCAGATGCAGAACGTCATATTCCCCCTGCATGGAAAACCGCGGATCGTGTGCTGGACGTACTTTTCTGGACAATCAACTGGTCAGGGCGTGGAAAGAAAGGTAAAAAGAACTCGGTTGTGGAGAGCGATGAGGAATTGAATTTGCCGCTGGAGCTCCAGGATCAGCTGGTGAAAACGCAGTCGAAAGGCGAACAACCTGATGATGACTGTATGGAGAATGTAGATGATTTCCTGCGTACTGTCGATAAGTCGGAGCTGGACATCAAAGACATCAAGTATATCGCATGGGCATTTATCAAATGGGACGATCTGGGTTATAATGAAGGTGAATATTTCTTCCCGCTTGTCGCTGTGGGACTCAATTAGCGAAATAGCAACCTGGGATTCTCCCCCCCGTCCTGACGAGCCTGGTTACTTAGCATTCGAGGCAGCTTTCCAAAGCTTTATAGACTCGCAAAAAGTTTTCGTTCGAAAATCGGACAAAGATGTCAAGAAGTTGGAGGACAGAGCGAAGGATGGATACGCACAGCACGCCCTTCGTCAGAAACGTCAACCTAAGCTTGGTCAGAGCAGTCAACTACAACTCATGCCATTCCAGGTTTGCTCTTCAGCGTTCTCGGTCCGACTGGCATGCTAATGATCTTCCAGATGGATGGCTTTGATTGGCTCTGTGATAATTGGTGGAACTTGCAACCTTGCATCCTTGCCGATGAGATGGGACTGGTACGCCCACAAATAAACATCATTCCTCCTTACTCATGTTCAACTTGACACAGGGTAAGACAGTCCAGATCGTGACTTTCCTCGGGGCTATCATCAATAAATGGCAAGGAGCCCCTGCCCTTGTCGTCGTTCCCAACTCTACCATCACAAACTGGGTTCGGGAATTTACTCGTTGGGCACCAAAGTTACGAGTAGTACCGTTCTACGGGGAAGCGAAGGCTCGGGACATCATCATTCAATATGAGTTGTTCCATCCCTCTGATCGAAAGGGTGGTCCGGAACCCAAGTACCATGTGATGGTGACCACTTATGAAACCCTCGTCAACCCCAGGGATTTCAACTCGGTGTTCAAGAGCATTCCACGTTGGGAAGTCCTTGTTGTGGATGAAGGACAACGCTGTAAGTTACTCAGCATTAATAATGAACAACGTCGCTGACTCCGGTTCAGTGAAGAGCGATCATAGTCTATTGTTCAAAAAACTTAACGAGCTGAATTCAATTCATCGCGTGATCATGACTGGAGTAAGATACCTCCGCGATTGCATGTCAATCAGCATCTAACTTCGTCGTAGACACCTCTGAACAACAACATCCGCGAGCTCTTCAATCTCATGAACTTCCTCGATCCCGAAGAATGGAGTGACCTTGAGGCCTTGGAGAAAGAGCATGAAGAATTGAATGAGGAATTGGTGCGACAGCTGCATATTAGACTCAAGCCTTATTTCTTGCGGCGCATCAAGAGCGAGGTTTTACAACTTCCCCCTAAGGTTTGTTTGGCCTAATAAGTTCGGTTGTATCCTTACATTCTCTAGAACGAGGTCATTGTTCCCCTCTCCATGGCTCCTCTGCAGAAGGAAATCTATAGGTCTATCCTCAGTACGTTTCCATGGTGGCTTTACCTTGTCATACGCTGACTATCGTTCTGTAGGTCAAAACTTGGACATTCTCCGAAGTCTAACCCAGGCTGCGACTACCAAAGCAGGAAAACCCTTGGTTGGCAAGGCTAATTTGAATAATGTGTTGATGCAACTTCGCAAGTCAGCTTACCGCTGCCTAGCCGTTGATATTTGGTACTCATCCCTATGTAGATGCCTGCAACATCCATATCTTAATTCTGAGGATATCGAGCCTCGCAACCTTACCGTTGCAGAGGCTCACGAGAGGCTGATAGGTGCTAGCACTAAATTGCGGTTTTTGAAGATGCTTTTGCCTAAACTTCAGGCCAGAGGTCATCGTATACTATTGTTTAGTCAGGTGAGTGGAACACTGTCCGGTAGGTTAATCTGATGGCCTATGTTCCATAGTTTGTTATGGCGCTTGATATCATCGAGGACTTCCTGAGAGGTGAAGGCTACAAGTACTTGCGCCTGGTAATTATTCATGCCCGTGTTGAATGCAAATGACGATCTTGACCCTTTCTAGGACGGAAACACCAAACAGGCCGATCGCCAAAAGGGCATGGACGAGTTTAACAAACCTAACTCGGATGTTTTTATCTACATGCTCAGTACTCGAGCGGGCGGCGTCGGAATCAACTTGTATACCGCAGATACGGTCATCATATTTGATCCTGATTTCAACCCTCACCAGGTGTGTATGACCAGATCTATTTAGATTGGCTGCCCTAACTTAGATCTGGCATTCTAGGACTTGCAGGTACGGCATGATTCACGTTGGGCTTTTAACTTTCGTAATGTCATATTTCAGGCCATAGCTCGCTCTCACCGGTATGGACAGACGAAGACATGCCTGGTGTTTAAGTTGATGGTCAAAAATTCGGCTGAAGGCATGAATCACCACGCGTATTGTTGTCTGTTGGCACTCACAGAGCATTCTAGAACGAATCATGCTAATGGGGAAGAAGAAGCTTGTTCTCGATCATTTAATTGTTCAGAAGATGGATGACGACGACGGTGCTGGCGAAGATCTTCAGTCGATTCTCACGTTTGGAGCTAAAGCCCTGTTTGAAGAAGAAGAAGAAGAAGAAGAAGGAGATCAGTCTTCGAAGGACATAACTTGTGCGTACAGCATTGCCGCCGTTAGACGAATGTTGGGCTCAAATTTCATGTTAGACGTCGACAATGACGTTGAGAAACTCATCGAGAAGACTGAAGTAGAAGGTGATCAACAGGCAGCTACCAAGGAGGCTGGGCTCTCATTCGAGTTTGCCAAGGTATGGGCGGCCGACAAGGACACCATGGAGGAGATCCAAGAGGATGTTCAGGATACAGAACAGGGCGATTCTTGGGCCCTAGCACTTGAGCGGATAGCCGCTGCGAAAGGTGCGGAGCAGGTAACCGAAGTCACAGGCAGAGGCGCTCGCAGGAAGGCGGCTGCTATATTCCCTCAGGTGATTCCAATGACGTCTGCCTGCTAATGTGCAAGGCTCATTGTTTCCATAGCAAAAGCTTGATCACATTGAAGGTCTGGAGGACACGCCCGACATGAGCAGGAAAAAGAAAAAATATCGATCTTCGAAGTCAGACACATCCAGCGATTCCGACGCTTATCCGGGTACGCCTGGTGCGCAAGCAACTGATTCGGGTGCTAGCTCAATGGACATGGACATGGACATGGTTGACGAACTCTTAACGACCTCTCACAAGGCGAAGATGAAAGTCAAGGCCAGGGCCAAGTATCGAGAACAGGCCTTGGTAAAAGAAGATGAGGATAACCTGGCTTGCGGTCTTTGTGACACGCGCCATGGAAAGGGGATCTGCTACATGACCGAAGACTCCACCAATCTGGTGGAGTACAGGGAAATACTGATGAACCATGAGTCGGATGAGCCATGGGCAGTCAGGGTATGAATGTCGCTTCACATGGTCTCATCAAGATACTTACGCCTATTTTAGATAGCTGCCATCGATGCCATAGAGAAGACGCTTGTTAAAAGGGGGCATGGCCATCTTCTTGCTGGTCAGCCGCTCAAACTTGTCGCAAACGGCAACAGCAACCAGGCTTATGTCAAGCAAAAAAAGAAACATGCTCGTGATTCATTAGGTGTTCAGCAACCGAAGACAGTCGCATCATCCAAGTCATCCACCTCTTCTTCTATTGCCCCGCTCGAGTCTTCGTCCACCAAGCCTTCCGTAGCATCGTCTTCCAGACCTGCAGGCCAGGTCAAGAAATCTGGACGACAGATGACACTGTTTTCCGTCACGGATAAAGACAGTGAGAGGAAGAGTAGAACGGCTGAGCCACCCACTCTGCCATCAAAACGAAGGCCGTCACCTGTGCCTGTGGCTGAGTCATCCTCTTCCAAGAAGCATAGATCAAACTCGCAATGCTCAGTCTGTGAAGGTCCGTATCACCATTTGGAATATTGTCCCGTCGTCGCACTAGGCCCTCGCAGGTGATGTATCCTGCCTTGTAGTATATGTAACTTCCTGACAAGTTCACCCTACAGTATTACAACACATATCCTACGGTTGGAGCAGGACCCTTCTCAACAGGCCACGGTGCTTAGTCTTAAGAAACAGCTTAGACGCCAGCGGCGGAAGCGAGATGCTGAAGAAGCAACTCGTTACAGTGGGTTCGATGGCCCTTCGATGTTGGGCTAGTGAAGAATTCAGATTTTCCCCATACTTTACATGCTGTCATATAACCACCGAAATACGCGAGCTGGCGAGACGATTCCCACTTATATAGGCCACCAGAGGCTGGTGCTGGCTAACGCCTGCGGGCTCCTGCGAGTAGGGGGCATAATCCTCCTAGACTTAGACTAGTATAGTAGACTTACTCTTAGGTACATTTTTCGTTGGACTCGTCCACGAATGTATTTCGTGTGTTCATTATTGGAAGTGCTTGAGGGGGCCATTTGGAATAAGCATGCAAAGGTGAATTTGAAAGCAAGGAGCAGGAGCAGCACTAGTACACCCCCCTACGGCTCTCAACATTCAATCAGCTGACTACCGGAGCTAACTAAATATAGGTTGTGGACCCACTCTGACCACGCAACACAACCACCATCTTGAGCCACGAAGATCTTTTTCGATTCACCTCGGACAAACATTGCACATCTTATAATTATTAATGTCTCTGCCTCCTCGTCTTCGTGGCCACAGTGTTGCACTTTTCGCCATGGAATCAACGCCTGAACCTGGCCTCGGAATGCCACATAATACCCTCAAACGAAATCGTTCACAGACCATCGATGCAATGCCAGAGGAGCTACCTGACCTTCCAAAGCTTACAGGGCATATTATTCTTGAAGTCTTCACTCACAGATCTCTCCGACTGGCGTGCAATGCCCAGTTTCGTGACAACGAGCGATTGGCAGTCCTTGGCCACAATCTTTTAGAGATGATGACAACACAACTACTTTTCTTCCGAAAACCCAAGCTTACAGTGCATCAAATTGAGGTGAGTCGTATGTTTTCTGAATGTTCATGATAGCTTCTACTTTGGAGTAGGTACAACGAGCACAACTCTTGACTGACGAAACGATTGATATCTGGTCAAAACTGTACCGGCTGCGAGAGGAGCTTCGTTGTGACCCCAGGTGTCTACAATCACTCCAGACTCCCGAGGTACTCACTTATTTCTCATGCACATCATTCAATTCTGATCCAGGTCCAGGAAGGGCGCCTAATATTCAATGCCTATCTGGGAGCCGTGTTCCTCGAGCACGGGCTCCAGACAGTGCACGAGTGGATAGGCGGCCTCCTTCGACTGTCCACTACGATACTGAACGACAATCGCGATATGGATGTTGATATTGCCTCGATAACTTCGAAACCCTCGTCACCTGCTCCCACCTCAAAACGAATTAAAGTAGAAGAGCCTTCTGCTCCTCCACCACCGTTACCATCATTTCCTCCTCCACCAGTTTACCAACTGCCATCACGTTTTTCGCCTCACCAGCCGCCCCCACAAACACGATTCTCGGTACAACCACTGCCACCACCACTTATACACCCGCGGACCAATTTTTCGCAATTACCTCAACCTACTCATTATAATCCGTATTCAAGTTTGCGGCCACCTCTGGCTCGGCCCCCGTCTCCCCCAAGGATCTCACCTCCAAATCCGCTGGCCCCGGCTCAACCTCACCTTGCATTCCTACCACTGTTCAATCAAACAGCTCATCAACGTGGTGTGAGCGTCAGTTACCCAGCGTCACTAGTGGGTCCTCCCCATGCCGGAAAATGGAACGTGACTTGCGTTGGTGAGCACGTGTAACGTCATCTTATATATTGAAATAGCGTTTAATAATTGATTGCGGGACTAGTTGATGGGATCGAGAAGGGTAAAGGATGCAGCGACACTAAGCAGCAAGCTAAAGAACAAGCTGCAAGACAGGCTTACTACGAAATGGGATGGGCACCTCGTAAGTGTGATTATCCTTGTTTGGTTGACGTTCGACCTTAGTTGCCATCTTTTTACAGGAGGTTAGCGCCATCAGATGCAGGGGTACTAGGCGTTTCTCATAGCAGTGCTATTCGGGCAAGTTCCAACCACGGACTCTTACCGGAGCATATGGCTGTGTGCCCGAACAGCACTATTATAAGATATATGACTTGTCTGACGTCCTGTGTTCCGGCAGTTTTGTAGGAACGGAGTGGCGAACAGGTATTGATTCTTCTCCATAGTTTTTGCTGTGGACGGACTACGCTAAATCAAGTACAGAGGAGTTATCTGTATGAGCATTACATAGTAGGGACCAACGTGACCATGGTGGATGGAGTCTAATTATTATCTTGTTCGCGTCAGGAAGTACGGAAGATACCGGCGGCTGACTGATAGCCCGAGGCATGGTGAGCGTGAGAAAGGATAACTGAATCAATCATGGTCACGTGTTCTTGCGACATGATCTTTAAACTGGACAGCTTCTTTCGCGCTTACTGTTTTACTCGTCGTCCGTGACGTCCGGAACGCTCTCTTCCTCATTGTCATGCACAATGGCGACGCATGCACCATCGGGATCATCGCCTAACATTCAGACTTTATCACTTGACTCATATAGCCAGTCAAATCATATTGACCTTACCCTAGATGACGATGAACCCAATTCTTCTGAGAGCGTTTTCAATTCTGGCAGCTTGAAGCGCCCAACAACCGATTATCATTCCCCTCCGCCCAGGCCGAGTATGTTCTATGATCCAGTGCATTCAGCTGAACACCAGCAATCTTATGCTAAATACTCTCTTCCAAATCAACTGCCGCTTGCGTATCATTCTCCTCCAATGAAGCCCAGCATATTTTCACCACTTGACCAGACATCCTTTAATTCGTCGCCGCCACCGCTTCACCTACAATCTTCCAGCTATCGTCCCGTTTTTGTTGGTCCATCGCAAGCACCACGGAATACGTCTACTCAACTGCCAATTACAGGCAGTGCTCGCACCTTACCTCCTCTTGTTCCAACTCGACCATCTTCATCTGTTCCGCCTTCAAATCATCAGGTCATTGATCTCACCGACTCTCCATCACCTCCTCCTAGTCCTCGGCCTCGCCAACAGCCCATGTCTTCTGCGTTGCCCGATGATCTACATCCCAAGACTCCAGTCTGCATAGGACAACTCACAGTCACCGCACTCGTTCTATACCCCGTGTCCTATCTGCAAGGCCAAGACTTACCTAATGAAATCGAGTGGGCAAACGTCCGCTTGCAGTATGAACACAATCCTCAGAGGGCAGGTGCAACTGAGACGATACATATCAAGACGCCTAGTAGCAAAACATCGTCGGGCGAACCTTCTCAAGGGGAGGCTTTTGGTGTGGTCGAACAAAAGGTCGCTACAGATCTCGGCCCCATGCTAGGTAAGGGCTTGATCCGCTTAGATGCAAAGGTGCGGCGTGGTTCGCCAAACGTAAGCAACATTCCTTTCTTCCTGACGAACCTCGCATTCGCTCATTCGCTCTGCCAAGCTTCCTATACTACCTCTCCAGATGCTGGTTTATACGCCGAAAGGCAATATCGCTGTGGTTGGCAATTATCTGCAATCATGTGGTCTGATGCTTGACCACCCCTCTGGCCCATATGATATCTCGCGCCTCATGAACTATCACTATTGTAACCCGCATGCTCCACCGCCAGGGGGGCATCGTTCTATGCTTCCTTCAAGATCTGGATATGCTGGTCCAGGAGGAAATAGCCCTCGTTGGAATGCCCCCATGGTTTCTGGCAAAACATTAGAAGTACAACGAAGCCAAATTGATGAGCTTTTCAAGAGTCTAAAAAGTGGAGACGAATTAGCAGAGACAGAGCCTAGTTAGTGTTGTGTTTGTTTTCGGTGGTCCTCGTCTTTATCTGACTGGCTTCGAAAGCTAATGACATAGGAACCACGTTGTATCCTCATCAAAAGAAGGCGGTCACTTTTTTACTCGAGCGGGAGCGGGAGAAACGCTGCGCAGACGGTCGTTACTCGTCATTGTGGCAGCCACGGAACGATCTTCATACCGGTCAATCATCATGGTTTCATATCGTTACGCAGAAAGAGGTCTTTCAAGAACCTCAGGAAGCCAAAGGTGCTATTCTCGCTGATGATGTCAGTTTGCCCTACGCCCTTTATCTCTACCCTATCTGACGAATCATGCCTTGTCTCCCGATTAGATGGGTCTTGGCAAGACGATTACTTGCGTTTCCCTTATTGCAGCGACACTCGATTCGGCACACGCATTTGCTGCTACGCCTTTACCGCCTCCACCCGCGCCTCCTCCGGAGCGGAGTATGTTGGAGGATCCCTTGACTGCTGCTCACTTCGCAGGGAGTGTGTGGGGAATACCGGAGGTTGATTCGCCATCATTTTCCGCCAAGGGCAAAGGGAAGGCAGCAAAGGCCCAGGATAAGGCTGAAGCTGAATACGCTAGAGCGTGTCGTATCAAAGCGAAAAGTAGGGCGACATTGATTATTTGCCCTCTTTCCACCGTGTCGAATTGGGAAGATCAGTTTCGCGAGCATTGGCGAGGAGAAGTTACCGTGGTCGGTGGCGGTGGGATGAGTTGTTCGGCCGCCACGTTGTCTTCCTTACAGAATAATTCCCCTCCATCTTCTCAGGCCGAGACCAAAGTGGAGACGAAGCCACCTCGTCGAAAACGCGAAGGTCGTCCTCTTCGTGTCTACGTATATCATGGAAATTCCCGACGACCAGACGCAGCATTCCTTGCAGACTTTGATGCTGTCATTACTACGTATGCGACCTTAGCATCAGAATACTCCAAACAAAATCGGAAGATGGCGAATGTAGAAGCCGAGGATGACGACGATGGTAGCAGTGACGGGTACGGTGGGGTCGACGTTGACGAACGCGGTAATCAAGTACTCAAATTGCCGAAACAAAAACGAGCAGGAATGAAGAGGAAAAAATCTTGTTCGAGCTTTGGTGCGTCTGAGGCGTCTAGTGCTCTGCAGACTATACATTGGTTCCGTGTCGTGCTTGATGAAGCTCAGTACGTTCTTGCATAATTTCCTCGTGTATCACGATTAACACTGTTATATTCAGTTCGATTAAGGAAACCCAGACCGTTGGCAGTCGTGCCTCTTGCGATTTAATGGCAGACCGCCGATTATGCCTCACGGGGACTCCCGTTCAGAACAAGCTCGATGATGTGTATGCACTCATCAAGTTCCTGCGCTTGGAGCCTTTTGATGACAAGAACATCTGGACGGAGTTCATTGGCACTCCAGTCAAGTATGGGCAGTCGTTGGGTGTTGCACGTCTTCAGACGATCATGAAGTGCATTACCTTGAGGCGAACAAAGGAGTCAAAGGCTTCTGATGGCCGTCGAATACTCCATCTCCCTCCACGTCGCGATGAACTCCGGTATTTGAAATTTGATCCGCATGAGCAGACCATCTACGACCAATTCTTCTCGGAGTCTAAAGCCGAGTTCAACGAGCTTTCCAACAAAAATGAAGTCATGAAGAACTACGTTGGCATCCTCCAGAAAATTTTACGTCTCCGACAGATTTGCGACCACTTCGAGCTCGTGGAGGGTAAAGGACCACTAGGAGATATGCAGAACATGGACCTCACCAGCTACGAAGATATTGCCGCTGCCATTGGGAAGGAAGGTCTCAATCCTAGCCGTGCAGCTGCGATCGTTGCCTTGCTACGGGAGGCAGCTACAACTCAATGCGTTGAATGTGGAGAAGAGCTGTGTATGTCTTCTGATCAGCAGGGGCAGATGGACGTTGGTGCCATGGATATGGATGGTCCGTCGGCACCGAAGCGAGGAAGGAAGACTAAAGGTTCCGGTTCCCGTGCCCCTACGCGAGCTAGTAGTCCATCAGCACCGTCACTCGTCCTCACCCGCTGTCAGCATCTGTTTTGCCTGGGATGCTACCGTCAGTGTGTATGCCCAGGTTGGCCAGATGTTCCTACCGATATCCGTCGTTCTTGCTCGGCTTGCCAGACTGGTCTTTTACCACAAGATGCAGTTCGAGTCCGACCTGATTGCTCGCCAGTTGACTTTAGCGTCAAGAAAAAGCCGGCCAAGCGAGAAAAGCGAACCAAAGGTGTTGCACTTGAGAACTTCCATCCGTCCACCAAAGTCAAGGCCTTACTCGGGGACCTTATGCAATTCTCCCGGGCAAATCCACATTCTGTCAATTACGACCCCGATTCGATTGAGGTGGAGATGGTGGATAATGAAGGCAATAAACTCGATGATGGCGTAATCAAGACTGTTGTCTTGTATGTGTCTAATTCTCATTTGATGGATCTGACAGTTTATCTCTGTATTCTAGTTCCCAATGGACAACAATGCTAGATAAGTGCGTCATTACAATTTCGCAAAGTGGTGTGTTGGCTTACCCGAGTTTAGGATCGAAGACGCGTTGGAGACTGCTGGCATTCGCTATGATCGTCTCGATGGTACAATGAAACGTGATGACCGTACCCGTGCCATGGAAGCATTAAAACATGACCCTGGATGTGAAGTCCTTCTAGTCAGTTTGAAGGCCGGAGGAGTGGGTTTAAACTTGACTGCCGCCCAACGTGTGTACTTGATGGACCCATATTGGTAACTTCATCCTTATAATTCCTGTGATTCAAGTGTTGCTCAAGCTTTTCGCAGGAATCCCGCAGTCGAGAATCAAGCAGTGGACAGGATTGTGAGTCCTTTCACGTCTTTTGTTGCAGTCCACTTATTTCGTCATAGCATCGCTTAGGGCAGACACGCCCTGTAACAACGGTCAAGCTCATCATCGAGAATTCCATCGAAGATCGCCTTCTGGAAGTACAGCGCAAGAAGACCGAGCTGGCCAACATGACTCTGGGTCAGAACTTCAGCAAAGCCGACATGCTACAACGACGCATGGAAGAGCTGAATCAGCTTTTCGCAGCGTAACTTATCTAAACCTTTGATGTTTCTTCGTTTTTTTGGAACACTCTTGGAATACCTGTACTAATTCCCTACTCGTAACAAACTTCATGTAATCCCTAGAACACCTTGATTCACGAATCTCACTTCTCCGTTTTGGCCTGCCATCGATTCAAATTACTGCGATAGTGTTTACAACATGATATGTGTACATAGATAGATGGCGTTTAATTGGAAGATATCAGAAAGCAAAGTGTGCAGCGTTCTTTCTTCTTCCCAGGGCATATACGAAGATCTGACTCACAAATAGACCAACTGTTATTCCAATCGCCACTTCTATTATCCGTATGGCAAGCTGAAGTCCAGCTGAGTATTGCTGAGTAGACGATGTCTCATCAGAGGAGAGCAGGCCACCACCTTGACCGATACCAGACTGTTCGATATTAGTTGAATGCACAAACAAAGCATATTTCAGGACGACCTACAGGGACAAGGAACAAGACACCGGTGACCATGGCCGTAAAAGCGGTTCCACGCATGACTCGCGAGTACACGTTGCCCAAGATCCCAATGACCAAAGCCCCACAAGCTGAAATGATGTCGCTTTTGCCAGGAAGATAGTTATTTGAGAGTCGATTCGCGACGAAAGCACAGCACGCAAATAGGACCATAACCAGAAGCTGCCAGCTGCGCAATTTCTGCAAGTTAGACAACGACGAACAAAGAGAATACGCTGGGACGAGGAAGAAGAGCGTCCACCAGGGAAGTTCCTTTCTCCACCATGGCCAACTGGGCTCCCTGTAACACCCTTTCGAGTCGGGTCAGTGTGAGTTGAAATCTAAACGATCAAATCTGATACCATTAACGATATGAGGGTCATTGGTTTGAGCAAAACCGAAGATGGCACCTCCTGGGACGGGAGACGTGCCGTTCTGTGCGTGAAAAGTCCCGTGATATATTGTATATCTCTCTGCTTCGGTCTTATCTAAATTATGTCGGGCATGTTTGTTGAGTACAAGATAAAGATCGGAGCCTATCGTCAGGCCGAACCCCTGGTTGTGGATTTGAGAAGTGAAGTTACAAAAAAACAATTGCGAATAGGGCGTACCAGGAACAAAGTGTAAATGATCGCATAGACCATTCTTACGGATCCACATAGAACATTTCTAGAAGTGAGCTCTAGTGCACTGATGACTAATACCTGAATCGTCGCAGTGAGTGGTGGATAGCACAAGTCAGCCACTTACGGATAGTAAATCCTGGGAGGATTAACACCACCCCAGCAGATGCTATGGCGTTGTAGCAGAACAACCTGCCTGGTATGGTGCCGAGTGCTCGAGCCACGAAAGACACGATGATGGCGATTGATATCCTAATTAAACTGTCAAACTAAGCGATTCAATACAAAGGGAAAGATCGCTTACTCGTAGACATTTGCGTACGTCGCGCTCTTTGTCGCGGTGCTAAGGCCTAGATATTGCAAGACGAAGGCACACACTCCGCTGATCCCCATATCAATGACCGATCCCCCGAATGCAAGGACGCATATAGTAGAACCGCATACGAAGGCTAAAAAGCAGCGTACCAATAACGAATATATCGGGGGAGCGGAGAGTATGGAAGCCAATCGCCTGGTGCCTTCTTCGACGGTCATCTTGTCATGAAGAACCTTGCGATAGACGATATGGACTCCTTGCAACGCCGTAAGCGCAATTCGTCCATTCGCTTTCACGAAATGAGTCTCCACGGATGTCATGTCTTCATCACCAAATGTAACGATGATGATATTCGGTATATGGACGAATGAAGCTCTCGCATCAAGGATCTGGGAAGCAGTAGCCAACTGCGACTCGATCCGATGGGATGGAGCACCAAAAGCGAGCAAGCACTTGGCCAGCTTGAGCATGAAAGCACGACGCTTATCAATATCTACACGAGATCGTCATTGGTTGGCAGGTATAATACTCTTCCGAGGCTTACCTTGAACGTGTTTTGTTATCGCGGAAGGCCGCTTGCTCTTGATCACGCTGGCACGAAGCTTGGCTCCCTGATAGAAGCTGTTTGGACCTCCCCCTCCCAAAGGCCGCTTGGGTTGCTTGGCTTCAGTGCTGGTATCCCCGCTGATCGAGGACCCCCTCGTTTTCCGGCTCGCCGGATTAGAGGTCTTCATATCACTGAAAATCTCTTCATCAAGCGCTTCTTGCGGACGTCGACTGAAAGGGACTAGCTTGTCCATGACGGAGCGCCTTCGCTTAGGTGGAGTTCTTCCGTCTTCCAATGCGCTGAAGGTACGGCTGATTTCGGCAGCAGCAACTTCCTCCCTGGCCTTGGTGTGCTGAGATGAGAAAACTGACATCGTCTCATCAGTGGGCTGCCAGGTTGAGCTAGCAGTCGACTGCTGTGAGGATCGAGGCGAATCTCTCGCAAGGCCAATGCCGGCAAGATGGGGGAGTCGTTCATGACATACGGGTCGCCTGCGCGCTTCTGGAGTAACAGTGGGGTACATTATATGAAAAGTGGTTGTGAAGACCGTGCATCAGGGACTTCTGCACTTATACCCTTCAAATATTCTGATCCAGTCCGATGGTCGTGAACGCACCCCACTCGAATTTCCATGTCCCACATCTTACTTTCAATTCAGTCCAGCCTGAGCCGGGGATAGTCGTCCAAAAGCACACTGATCGATTGAGTAGCAATGAAAGAGCTATACAACAATACTGGAAATATATATAACCACGCGAAAACAGATAGGAACTTACAATCGTACAACATATAGACAAAAACCTATAAAGAATCACGACAACCATAAAAACAGCACGTCGGTAGATCGTGAGAACCACTACCAGATCTGAGGGGCAGGAGGTAGGTAGTCAGCAGGCAGCAAAAATGCATCCATGCCTTGCTGGGAGAATGAGTTACCACCCAGGCTCTGATCAGAGATCCACACTGGAAGTTGTTCGTTCGATGTCATTTCAAAGCCACGCCAGATGTTGTCGACCTCGGCGGTTTGCTGCGGCATCATGCCCATTTGCATCTGCTGCACGGCTTCAGGACTTGAATATGCGATTTCATACTTTTGAGAAAAATTCTCAGGGCTCATGTGCACATTCTGCTGCATGTCAATCACCATAGACATGTTTCGAGGGGGTTCCCTAGGTATCTTGGGGGAGCGAGAGCTTGATGCCGCCTTACGCCTCTTCGCTCTTTTCAGCATCAGCTGAAGCGTGATGGCATAGCGCTTGCCAGGGACTGCCAAAGAAGCAGTTGATGTGTGTTTTAACAGTAAGGTACGACAGGACTCACTTTGAGACATTAAGCCAGCGAGACGTTCGACCTGCGACCGTATTTCTTGCATATCACAATCAGTCGGGCTGAGATGGCGTGAGTGCATTATTCACCGCTTGCATCGCGCGCAACTTACAAAAGACGTGCTAATCGTAGCAAGAACGATGCTGCAAATGTTGCAGTTGCATGTGTATAGTGAACGGCTATTTCATGTGAGCTTAGGGATGCTGACAAGATAAAATAACAAGAGCCAACCATATTTCATGCCTTCGCTATACGACGGCGAGTTGACGGTGATTTCAAGGCCCTGGCGAGCAGTGCGTATTGAACGTATTGCCAATTCTCTTTGGGCAGCTGGCATCTTCTGAACATCCTCTGGACCATTAATACCACGTAAGGCAGTCGCATTGTGGAACAGCTCTGCATGCAGTTGTTGGATCTGCAAACTTTGGCGGTAAAACGCTTGACGAAGAGTCAGGAGGGCAAGTGAGAGGTGGTTCCTGACAGTTAGATCGCACCTGCATCTTCATACTTCTGCGAAAAAGCATGGTCCCAAGTTTTATACCAATTTCGGAACTCAGAGTCAGCCTGTTGAATGACTCCAAAAGTGCCTTCATCGACAGGCCGTTCAAAAGGTGACAGCTTGTTGTGGACTCTTTCGCGGATAGCCATAAGCTCAACGGTCGAAACCAAGCGCATATCATCCTCAATTGCTAAAGGGTGCTGTAGAAGCAAACGACATTGCCATATGCTTTCATCGTCCTTTAAAATTGCTGGACGTCCTGTACCATAGGATAATCTTTGATATGCAATCAGCGAGCGGGAAATGTGCTTAAAACCATCCGTAAACGCACTGATGCTCGAAGAGATACAGACAAAACCAAGTTCGGGATGCAACAACGAGGTCGCGGTCTTCCGAACCATCGATGGTAGTTTTAGTTTTGTTTTGCATGCGCCTCAAAAGTTTTGGCCAAGCTTTGTGAAGTGCTAAAAAGAACACAACGCTCAGATATTCGTTTTTGCAGTGAATGTTTTTCTTACAAAGTTCCATGGCCATGCGAACTGCGTGACCGCCACTGAGCCAACCGTTATCCGACCACCCGGACACAAGAACTTTCATACAATTAATTCAATTTGGATGTCACAGAAAGCGCACTTACTCATCGCTTGCACAGCTTCTACGCGGCTTACCGGAGCAAACAACGTGGCACACGAAATATTTTGGACTGCTTCCAAGCATCGGGTGTAAGTCTCGCTTGCGTTTCCTGATAGATAATAAGATAAGCTAATAATAAAATAATGTCAGCAAGTTACCTCCACCATCCCTCACGCGGGCAGCAACTGTGCAAATGGCGTCGACAGCGAACGGTGACCGCTCATGGAGCTGTTCGAATGTGTCCACCTGGCAATCGAATACTGGGAGAAAAGTGGAACATCCGGCATAAAATCTGTATAACGGCATTAGTACGTAGCATGAAGGAAAGAGGCTAGAAATAAAACCACATTCTGAACAGTTCACGGGCTTCTTGTTCTGAGATGATGTTCGTTGTGACAACTGCCCATTTAAATGTTGAGAATCAGTTGTACAAGTGGATAAGAAAACATTACCATCTGGGAAAGTCAAACCACGGAAGGACCGATGACGGATCTTTCTCCTCTTCATTGGCCTAGATTTTCGCTCAGGAGACGGCGTTCTGGTTCTGCTCTGTGGTTCACTGCTTCCTTCGCCATTTTCCTATGTGATAGGAGTTCACGCACAGTGGGTGTGCAACGGTAAAATCACTGACCTTGGCAGCTCGCTCAATAGCCACGTCGGCTAGACCTCTTAGAACTTCCCATGGTGCTACTAGGCCAGAAGCTGGTAGTTCTCCATTGTCATCATCAATATCTGTCGAGTCCGCGCTGGTGGGATTGGACGAGGATGGGGCAGTGCGTTTAGATCCTGAAGGTGAATGCACATTGTGGCCACGCTGCATTTGCCTTTGGTGATGTGATTCATGACGACCAGGTATAGATACTTGTGAGGTTGTACGACCGATCTCTTGCAACGTGGAAAATGGGGGTAAAACTTGTCCAGAAGGGGAATAACCATATGATTGGGTCGGTGAGGTTGTATTTGTATTTGAGGGCGGAAGTTGTGGTGGGTGGTACTCTCCATGACCAGAAGGTTGCCCAACCGATACCAATGCACCATGGGATACAGAGTTCCTCGAATGACGCGGTGGGGCGTTTAACATCGGTGGAAGAGATCCATGGTTGAGGTTAGGATGATAGACTGTAGGGGTGGTAGGCCCTGCCTGTACGCTGTGAATGCTTGGTTCACCCACATGGGACCCGTTTGGGCCAGAAGACATTGGAGAAGATCCCATGGATTGCATTGTTGGCGACTGTGTATTGTAGGGCGCCTGTGAGAACGTCGAGGGAGAGCGGTTATTATACGGCGTAGCGCCTCGAAGGTGGCCGACGATCTCGAGAAGAGTAGTCTGTATCGACGATTGAGTGAAACGTATCTCAGCAACATGAGCTTCTAGACTTCGTATACGCCTACAATGCTATGAGTAAAAAATCATGACAAGTCATAGAGCGAAGTTGACTGACTCAAGTCCTGCCTCGCCCGTGAGAGTTGCTTCTCTGGTAGGTTTTTCGAATAGACACTCGAGTCCTGCATGACGACAACGTCTACATGGTGGATTATCTGCACCCTCGCAGCGCATCTTCTGCTTCCGACAAGCATTCTGTTCATTTAATGGCATAAGTCAGCATGCATCGGGAACTTGGAAAGCCGGAGCGTGCTCACACAGGCGCCTGTATCGAGTCAGTAGGGAGATCTAATGCATGAAGAACTTAATTGAACATACGGGGAACACGATTAAGGGTCTTCACGACTGGCTTGACATCCCGCTTGTCATTAGCCTTGTCAGAATCGTCATCATGCTTCTTGTGAAGCACAGAGTTAGCACTTGAGGCAGGATCCATGATTGATGTGTGCACTGGTGGAGTATTGTATAGGCTGATTTAATACCAGGACAGATAGAAAAAGCTTCCAGGTAAGAAACGATACCGAACCGAACACGTACGTTCAGCGAAGACTGCCTTGCCACATGCGACGTTGTTCAACTTCATCTACTGGTACGATATCGGCGCTGACAGCAAATAAAAATAAATAGCAAAAATCTAAATATAAAAGATAATTTTCGATACAAAATCAATTCTGTAAATGGACAAACCGTCCTTCGAAGAGGTTACTCCCCACGACCATGGCAGCCACATCTGATATCATCCCCATGCCACCCTACTAATTCCCTTTACTATCATCGTTCCAATAACAATTGACTCATTGACCGTGCATCCTGCATCCATCATATCATTGAAATATCACTTTTCAGGTCAATCAGCTTAGTTTTCAAACGAACATGTCCGACTGCGGACACCAGGCTATAATTGGCCGCTTCTGATATCGTCGGAAATTCCCCCTCACGTATCTATGCAGTCAAGGCTGCGCCCTGCTCAACTTCGTTGAGTGGAGTGACCCTACTTGTGCTCCTCCCGAATTTGATACCCCTGGAATGCGGTGGTACCTAGCTTCTATCGGCTCCTACAGTGTCCAGCTAGATGTTCCGTAGCACTAGGCTGTTGTGGTGAAATCATACTCATTTCTGTGGTTCTTACCGCGGACGGTTTTCTCGCAACTTGTGAGAACTTTGACTCAATTTCAGAGGGCTTTTTCAAGTTCTGCCAGCAGTCGGTGAGTCCGAGGTTTTACCACAGGACCTTCTAGTTCGGAGCCAGTAATCGTTGGTTCATTTCCGATGTCAAGACTTCCATAAACCAAGCAGCGGATAATCGGGGCACCGCTAGAATCTTTCAAATGATAATTTTTATCGCTGACCCTATGGTGAGCCCTAGAAGATGGAGAACTTCCTCACAGTGCATGATGGGGCCAATATTATTTATGTTGGGTATCAATAATAAGGTAAGTAATCAGTCGTTATATGGCAGCTACATAGCGCCGATCGAGTACCAATGTAGGGGCCAGTCATACGTTCGAAAACACGTTGCTTTGTCATTTTTTGGGAGGATGAACAATGATTCGTCGCTGGAGGTTGCTCAGAATGAACGCTGCATCGACTTCTTGTGGTGTCATCTTGGCCATGGCCAAGACACAGGCGCGGGCAGCTTCTTGCTCGATGAACTGCGTATCGAGTTCCTCAGGTGACATTTCTGCCATCGTCGCAACATAGGCGTGGGCTTCTTGGTAATCGGTTTCTTTGTCGAGACCCTTTTGGTCTAAGGTACCTTGGACATCACTCGACTCGTGCTCGTCATCGTCGTGATCCGAATCGGTCGTATCAGCGGTACCATCGACGTTCATGTTCCAGAGGCATTGCGATGGATTCCGTTGTAGTCTAGCTTCTTTGGCGCGCCGATTATTGAACCAGTTGTAAACTTTCACAGCTGGACTATGCAGCCATTTGGTCAGTTCGCGTGGTCGCACTCTGTGAAAGAATCCAACTCACACATTGATCTCCTCAGCTAGTAATTTGATATCATGCTGCGTAGGGCGATTATTTTTGGCATAGTAAGGTTCCAGGATGTTAAGCTGTTCATGTGTCATATATTTCTTCTTGGGAGCGTTTTCGACCTTATAGGGAGAAGTACGATGAGATCTTTTGCTTTGAGAATTCATAGTGGTGACTCGAGTTTGTTGGAAGAATTTGCCTGGCTGAAGATAATGATACCAACCAGTTTCGGTATATATACTATTGATCAAGCCTCCTGTGGATTGTGGCCCACCGCTTTGAAGATGTGGATATTGGACAGTCCATTGCTTAGTCCTTGCCATTCTGGGCAGAACAATGACCCACTGCTTTGTGGACTCTTTGGCTGCAATTAAAAGGTCCAAGGGTGGATTACTATGACATAAAATTTGGCTTCGTATGCATGCGAGGACCTCGAGGCATGCTTGAGACGGTTGAACTACTGCGACTAAAAGGGGCGATATTACATAAAGCCACGTATGCGATTCAACTCCGTGGCATTTGAGGATGTACGTGGCCGCAGTAGTGGTAGTGCTTCTGATCCTGATCAATCCATCTGGACTTGTTTCTGATATCAAGTATCATCTCTTCTGTCCAGTGCTTATAAGTCATTCCAATAACAGTTTGTGATCAAGATCATCGTCGACTGCCTGGCATCTGAAGTTTGGAGAGGAATTCATAATGCTGATGTCTATGGTGTCCCATCTGCTTTGGTGATGATATCTGCGACTCATCATGACCATAAATACACTGACTTTGCTTCCATTTCAGCGCGTGGTTCGCGTTCTTACTGCCATGCTATTCTACCTACAAGGCGCTCTCCTCTCCTTTGTCCGGTGACTTCCGGGGCCTTTCAATGTATTGGGCTGTAGTTGGAGCCTTTATTGCGATCGAGTCGACCATAGGCACATTCGTATCATGGTTAGTTTTCACTTTTTCAACATTATTCACTCCTACTATCTGGCGTTTAAGGTTGCCATTCTATTGGGAAACACGAACCCTTTTTTTGCTCTATCTATCTCTCCCGCAAATCCAGGTCCGTAGTCATCTCCCGTTGTCCTTATCTAGGTTTTCACGGGTAGACAGGGCTCGACCTACATTTACCAAACCTACCTTGAACCCTTCTGCTCCAAGAATGAGGCGGAGTTGGATTCCAGCATTGCTTCTGCTCAGAACAATGTCCTTGGTTTCCTTCAGTCGCGCATTTCTATGCTCGTTGACCTCTTGTGGACCATCTTGAATCAAACTCTAACTAAACAACCTCAAGCTGCGAGGGAGGGTCAACCTGAACAACAGCCTTACTCCTTCGAATCAGTGAAGGGGCTTTGGACGTCTTATGGTCCTGCCGTTATGGGAGGATTATCAAAGTCTTTCACGAAACCTAGTTCCTCTTCCGATGCTACTGCGAAGCAGGCTACGTACGCCAGTGGTGCTGGCGTCAATCATGACGATGGACAGGCCCCTGAGGCACTCTCAGAGTCCACTTAAAAGTTGATTTTGTTGAGGTATTTCTAGTCTATCAAACACGGATCCTTTTTTATCTCTTATCTTATCATTCCAACAAGAATGGGTGGTATGCGTATAAGGTAGACAGTGCGTACTATACAATGTGCATCCAAAATGTCAGGTTCGTGATTAGTACTGCAAAATAAGTTATGATCCAAGTCTGTGGCGCCTAAAGGACGTCTCAACGTCGGCACTAGTATATTCCAGTGAGACGCCACTATCCGCATAACATTGCGAGATCCGCCTGTTGAAGTTCTCTGTCATTCTTTGCAATTCCTCTTCACAAGTTTTCCACACGCCGACCATGACCGTGCCAGGAGCAATGCCACTGCTTTCTTCCTTTGTCGCCTTCTCTTCAGCTTCAGTAAAATGTTTCTCAACGCGCTTGAATAGGGCATCAATATGCTTGCGGATGTCTTTGCCATCGAACTCCTTGACAATTTTCTTTAGCGAGGATCTGTTGTAATTGCTGTTCTTTGAGACTTCTGTCGGGGCAGTAGTCGTGAGCAACCGTTCGATGCCATCGAAATAGTCCTGTGTAGAAAGCAAAAATCAGGAAAGTGGTGATGAATGAGGAAGTAACTGCGTACGATGATCTTTGCGAAAGGTCGTCTCAGGACAATCTTGACATAGGCGTTCAGATTCTCATTGTAAATCGCCTCCGCTTGTTTCGGGAAGCCAGAAACCGAGCCTACATCCAGCTGAGACATTTCCGCAACAAAGTAGTGCATATTCTCTGCAAGCCGACGTTTAACAAACGATCGGAGGTGTATCAGCTCACTTACCAACGAGCAGCACATGATAATTCAGCTGGCCCTTGTCTTCATCATCACCGTCTAGGGTAGCCATGTGCTTAAGACATTCAAACATGCTGTGCACGATCTTTTCATAAGCTAGATCAATATTGGCTCTGATCTCCAAACCATCCGCGCCAATTAGTTGCTGTTCAATACGACTGACATAGATCGGGAAGTATTTCACGAAATGAGCAACCCCTTTTCGCTTCTTGCTTGTGAGTTTAGTTTCCTCGATCATCTTGATTTGTTGATTCTGCAAACTTGTCGTGAGCAGCAGCGATTAATAACAGAAATAACGGCTTACGATATGACGATCAAAGGATCCCTTGAGCCTAGTGTGCTGCTTTTCCAACATTTGCAGAAAGAACGCATTATCACGCTCATCCGCATCTGCTACAAAGCGCTCCAAGCAAACTAGGACTCCGACCACCTGACTACCGGCGGAGTGAGCAAAACTTCTCCATGGGAAAATTATGCAATACGTACAGCGTATCTTTGGCAATAGCGGAGTCAATCCATTGCTTCAACTCGGCAGGTAAAAAGCCGAAAATTAAGTCCATGGCACCACGTGCGAGCTTCATGGTTGTTTGGCTCAAGCCTGCGCTTCGCGCAGCTTGTCGCCTGAAGTAATTGTCCAGCCCAGCATGATCAGCAAACGTAAGACCAGCATCATTGATTTGCAGGAACTCTGCAATGAAGTCTCCTTCCCGGTAGATTTGAGGGGCAATTTGCTCCAAAATAAGACCCAGAGCCTGATACAATTGTGAGTCAAGACTAGCTGGATCAGATATAAGCGCACCTCTGGTGCACGATACTCGTCCGTCTGCCTCTCCCTGTCTTTATTTCGATCTTTTCGTCCCTCGATAGGCGAACGGACAATGGTTCCAGCACGACGAATTGATGCCTTTTGACTGTTTTCATTAGCCGATCCAAAGTCTATCTCAATATGAGCCAAAAAAATGCTTAAAAAGGGTCGATCACAAACTCTGGTCAGCATCTTCGTCTGGTGTCCTTTTCAGCAGTCCTGCGTAAATCGAGAGTAAATGCCCCATCTGTTTTTTGTGAAGTTCACTGGTGGCCGAGAAGTATGCCTTGAGATAAATCCGTCAATAGGAGTTGCAGGTACTGGAATCCCCTTACCCCACAGAATCTTGAATATACACTCTCATCCATCTCCTTCAGGTAGAGAAGCAGTCCTGCGTAACGAACGAGGTATGTCTCCATGCCTTCGTGACTCTTGATAACCGGGCGTCCTCGGCCAGGCTTGGTAATCCCATTGTTTCCATCCAGGATAATTTCCGCCTACATACGGAATATAAGTATCATATTCATGACCACAGATAAACAGTTAACCTGTGCGACAGACATGATTGATAGATAGTCATAGATACGTTTACAGAACTGTGCATTGTGGGTCCTGTATTCGTCTAATCGCTCCATGGTAGCAGCCATATCTGCGAACAATGAAACCTTGGGAAGAAACGCCAAAAGATACAAACATACCAGTGTCTTGACCAGCTTGGAGAGCTTTATAGAGTTCTGTGGCCGCTGTCTCTAATTTATGTATCCCGGATGCCTTTTCAAGGGATTCCTGAGTGAGTGTCACCAGTACTTCACGGTCTACTTGGACAGTTTGCTGTCCTGGCATCAGTATAATGTGTGGTGGCAGATTCGGAAGAACGTACAAGGAGATTTTCGAGCTCGCTCAACAAAGCGCGTTGATTCTGTGTCTGAACCTGTAAGCCGCGCCTCTGAGATTGTATGAACGAGATATCGTCCCCGACGGCCTGCGGTCATATATTTTAGTGTGTGATGCAGCCGGTTTGATGAGAAGGTCTAACGTTCAAATGAATTTTGTATGATGAAATCAAGCTGTCCATTGCGTCGACTTCGGTGATAGCTTCATCCAGGAAATTCATGACTAAAGCCACACGATCATCGGACTCCACGAAGGAGTGTACATTGGCCTAGAATATGAGTTAGTAATCAAGAAACATGAGGCTTCTCGGAAGCCTGGTTCACCTTCTCAAGGGCTATTAACTCGTCTAGCAGACGGGCCTCGACCAAGTCTGCTGCCCCCTTTGCGTTCTTTTTCCCAAATAAATCATCGCTGGCCCACTCAAATCCCTCTAACATCTCCTCTACACTCGCCATTGTAGCCTGTGAGGTCTCCTCTTCACCCACACTCCCATTATCTGGGTAATCTCCTGCTACAAGCCTATCCAAAGCGGTTTGATTAAGAGGGTCAAAGAATGATACCCGATTGTTATGCTCCCGGCGAGGTTGCGGAGGTTCTGGAATAGGTATGGATTTGCTTGAAGGCAGCTTTTGAGATCTTTGAGATCGAACAGAAATCGGGGACTCTGATCGAGGAAGCTGGGCAACTGCTGGGGTGGCTGAAAGCGGACTCGGCGCGTGGACAAATTCAGCAGAAGGGCGAGATGCAGCGAAAGGGTAATTCTCTTTGGGAGTACGTAGAGGCGACGCAGAGAGAGGTGCACGAGTTGGTACAAGGTTTGCTGGCACACCATTCGACGAAGTGTTTTGTGGTGGCGTTGCATTGGATAGACGGCGAATAACTCGTGGTCTAAGTGAACTTGGTAGACCGGATGGAGCGGTCTGCGGTTGTCCTTGTAGCTGAGAGGCTGGTGATGGGGAAGGGGGTCGGATTGCGCCTAAACTGGAAATATTCTGAGGTGGATTACTAATATTGGAACCAGCAGGAGAAGGAGCACGGGATGGAGGTCTTGCAACTTGAGTGCGAGTAGGGAGCTCCGTACGCATACCTGGCTGTGGTGTTCCCGCTCGCGAAGTTGCAGCTTGTCGTCTCGCTGGCCCAGGAGTTACGTTCAAGTCAGTTTGCGGTGCTTGAGTGACCTGAGTCTCCGAGGATTCAGATGCTCCATTGGCTGGTAATAAGGGTCAATAGCAAGCGTGGGTGAGGACCCAGTCATCTTACCAGGACCTGGCTCGTTTTGTCGCACTCCGACCAGATGTAGTGTACCAGTGCCATTTGTGACGATGTAAAACAGTTTCACTGCCGCGGAAATGAAGTTTGCTTGATCAAGATGGTTTTCCGTCTGCCATTTATATGTACGAGCCAGTGTGATATTGAAGGATGCTGGCTGCGTAATTGTCAGGTGTGTGATTATGCTTATTCTATACTTATACGTACATTCGAAACCTCTATACCACGCAACTCGGAGAGTTTCCATGTCTTCCCTACGGAGAATGAGCCATTTGTGTTCAGCTTCGACTTGTGAAGGAAACCAGTTCCATCGCTACCCTCTGAATAATTGTTGAAGCAATCCCAGAAGACAGATGATAATGACATACGTGACAGCAAGATATAGCGCGGCTTTTTCCCCGAATCTTCTCCTGCATCCTCCCATATCTTTATGTGACCAACATATGTCTCTTTAATCGCGGCACCTGAGTTGCGCTTATCGAATACTGAAGCGATTATGCGTTGTTTTGTGTGATCATGATCGGACATTGCTGCCAGAGTCCCCTCGTCTCTCTAAATTATTAATTGATTCGGGGAAGTGGTTGTTTGGTTTTATTGACTAAAGGCTTCAATAATCCAAAAAAGGACCACACATAAGAGAGTCAAGAAGGCGAGTTCCGGCTACCGACCACCCTTTACTATCGACTTCAGCCAAGAGTAAGGACGTCTGGTCCCCATAGACTTAGCCATAGCGGCATCTGTCATACAAGCAGTAGTCATTCCTTTCTCAAACATCAACGATCTGCCCTCCGAAACAATATCTGGTTTGGACCACTCCTCACAGCGGCACTACAATAAAGAAGGTTTGTCTTACCTGCACCGAACACCAGTGGATCAAGCGTCGGTATTTATTTCAGGCAGGTATCTATTCATCTCTCTCTCGTAAATAACCGAGACAAGTTCATCCCTTATATCCCGTACACCATTGCAAACAGATCACTGATGAACACATCACACACAGGCTCGTCTACAACAGCACTCTCAAATTCACCCACTCTGTCTTTCCGTGACAATCTTTCCTCCTTTGATGGTCAGGAAGATGGATCTGCAGTCGATAGTCCCGTCTCGTCATCCTCGTCGCGGGAACCGTCTCTAGATGTCTCAGTAGATGATGGCATGGATGTGGAGTCTGCGAACCCACCCATGGAGGCCGTCGTACTTTCAGAGGAGTCCGTTCCGCGACGTACTTTAAGGAAACGAGTCACGACGAGCAAGGGATCACCGCTGCGATTCAAGCCCGCTTCCGTTTCTGCTATCACAGCACGTCATGGGACTACTTCCGAAGACAATCTCAAGAAGAAAGCATATAAACAAGCATTTTTACAATCTGCCGCCCGTGCTCAAAGCGAGAGAGAAATTAGAGTGCGGGAACTGAAGAAACGCGCGTTGGCAATCACATCTACCGGAAAGACTCCCGCAACCTCACGCCAACGCCTCGTAATGCAGATGGTTTATGATGAGATCACCCCATACCCTGACGAAGCTTGGGTATCCCAGCTGGGGGTCATCATAAACAGGTTCGTTGTCAGTGTCTCATTGTTGCCGTATTGCCTAATCTTGCCATTCATAGGGAATATCACCAAGTTAAGAACTGGTTTTCCAATCAACGGCAGAAAGATGCTAGAGATTCGCGGCAACACACACCTCAGCCCGCTGCTCCTGCCAGTCTCGAGGCATCTTTATGCAAGATCACATGCGACGGACGTGATTTGCGCTTGCGCACTGCTGCACTGAACTCATGCAGGGCAGAAGATTGGTCCGATACTTTCTTTGATGAAGTGGTCATGATTTACAATTTCCGTCTTCTTGCAAAGCACAGTCAAGAAGAAGCAATGGCAGCTCTCGTTGAATCTGAGCCTGATGTGGCTATACCCTCATAGCCTACCACTGTCTATTACCTTTCATCACATATCATCCCTCACTCTTACTGTATGCAGCTGTAGTACTCAGACGCTTTCTGTACATTCTAATCGTGGGTATACGTACCTGTTATCGTATGGTCGCCGTTAATGATAAACAATAACCAATCATGATCTAGCTACAAACGCCCAAAACAAGCATATGCGTCAAGTATCTGAATGATTGTTTGGCAAAGACTGATAGTGAGAATCCTGCTGCTTCCACCGGGTAAATAATCCCCTGTGATTACCATCGCCCGACGTCCCCTTGACTTCTCCCGCTCGTAATACCTCGTATTTCTTCCCTCTCCAAATCACCTCGTTACTAAGCATAGCCAAGAACCAGATTGGCAACGCTAGAAGTTCGCGCAGGCACCATGCAGTGATGAACGACCATCGTCTATCTGCTGGAAGAGGATGACCAGCGAGTGACTCGTAAACGTCTAAATCTACCCAGAGCCAAGCTGCATGGTGAACCACGAGAAAAAGCCATATTGGAACGCCGAACAGATACCGCAAACTTGCAGCAGCGATGGAACTGGCGACAAGATTTTCGGTAAAGGGCTCCATGATTGTTGCCGCCAGAATCATGTGCTTGCGCACACGAATCCAGCGCACTCGCCTCCACACGTAGTCCGATAAGGACATTATCCCAATTGCATTATGCGCCACGTCACACGATAAATCATGGCGGAGATCCAGCTCGTGCCATAAAGCACTGGCAATCATGTTATCTTCGGCTAAGAATTTCCCAAACGCAGCAAGGCCGCGAGTGCAATCTTGGTCGTCGTCTGATTCCGTGTGCGCTCGAGGCTTCCGTGAACCGTTTACGCGCTCTAGATCAGACCGCCGGTAGAGGTTTGATTTTCCAACAACGCAAGATTCGATAGACACAGTGTTGATTGCGAGATACATCTTCGCGTGATTGGTATTGAGAAATGCCTCCTCAATTCTTGAACCGAGAAACCCCTCTGGAGCAGATACAAATGGGACGTGATGCACGAGCGCAACGCGCTTTTTGGGAGGTCTTGCGTGCGTGGATGACTCGAGTAAGTCAACGGAGCGCGCAAGTGTGCCAGGTGCAACCGAGATACCTGAATCGATGACCCAGAGAATGTCGTGGGTAGCTTCACGATATGAACGAATGAGGTTGTTTACTTTCGGGTTAACCCCCACTACCTCTTCTCCTGAATTGCTTTCTTCAGCTGAGCTGTCAATATTGCTCACTGTAGACTGACCTATTATTATCCTGGCAGTAACCCTGGGGTATTTAGAAATAAGATCTCTCGCAACTGGAAGAGCTTGGTCTTGCTCATCAGCGACGGACAACATGATTTCGAAATTAGGGTATTCTTGCGTGAACGTAGATTCGAGATTCTCATATAAGTTGGCATCCAGGCCTTTCAGTGGTCGCAGGATAGATACACCAGGAACAGAATCTGGCGGCGCCGTTGCAAGTGGAGACCGCGGTCGAATGCGGTACCTTCTTCGGCTGTTGGCAAAGTCCTTCAGTGACGACTGTCGTACTAGGCAACACAATTGCTCACCCTGTTCTACATCCAAGGAGACCGATACTCCATAAAACTACATACCACACGAGCCCGATGATAGCAAAGATGATAGCAAATAACGAGGAATTATGGTCAGGCCCCGACTGAGTTTCCATCGGTACTGTGTTACAGTGTGTAGTCTGTAGAGCAGAGTGTATGACATAATTACTACGGAACCAAAAATTAGGGTAATTTTGTCTCTTCGGATTATACCCGAAGCTCATCTAGGCTAAATAGCTCGATGGTATTCTTGTACACCTTCTCTGTCACCTTCTCGAACGGGACTCCTTCATTGAGCCTGTGTATGACCCATGCAACGCCTCCAATCGCACTGGGCTCGTTTCTACCTTTCACTGGCTTGCCCATCATGAACGACGGTAATTTAGTGCTGGAAGGGAAATACTTTGACTTTAATGACATCGGAAGCGTCTCTAGCAAGGCATTTGATGCATGTGTTGAAGTCATGGAGCACCAAGGAGCATCTAACATCAAACCATTTTTAGCACCCTCCACAACCGCAATGTCATCGAAATTTGACCTGTTTCGAGTAAAAGCTTGTCCGGTCGAATTGCCTTTGCAGCTAGCAGGTTTTTCTCTGTTTTGAGGGAGCACCCGTTGACACTGATGTGATATAATCAGTGTCAAAATCCAATGCTAACCGTCTAAAACCACACCTTATGTGGAAGCCCATGTCCATCTGTGCATCAGAGTCAGCGCAATTTGAAGGATGATGGACTGCGAACCCACGAGCTCGATGACCTCTTCAACCGAACCTGTGAAACTGTGAACAACTCCCTTTCTCTCTCCATCCTCTCCGAAACCTTCCTCACGAAGGATATTCACAAAGTCTTCGTGGGCTGCACGAGAGTGAAGGAACAGCGGTAACTTGTACTTTTTGGCAAGAAATAGCTGTGAGCCTGTACCGATACAAGGTATCACCCAGCACACAACAGTTAGCTTGAAACAAAAGGGATCCGATGTTCCACACATACGGAAGTGTCTTCGCTGTACGTCTTCCGGTGCAAAATGCGTGCGATCGTAATCTGATGACCTCGATAGCAATGATTTGCATGCATATATCGTGTAACATTTAGACATACCCAAGCCACACTCGCCAATAGCAACAACTCTGCCTTTACCGTGGAGATTTGCACTTATTAGGCTGTCCAGCGCCTGAAGGTAGGCCTCTGGACCGCCTGGGTACTCGTCAAATTCTTTTGAACGGGTTGGATGACATCCCACTGTTGCAAAAAAGCCTTGTAAAAGTAAGGCAGCACGCGATAACATCAGGGTGCATATAAATCTGGTTTTATGAGATGGTGCGAACCAAGTTGAGCAGCAAGAGACAGCGCAGTTTCTGATTCTCGAAGGCTTCCGCCTGTGATTACCATAGATTGAACACCAGCTAGCTGTGACCTATCCAGCATTGCTTCAAAGTCGTCTGCAAATGACTATTAGCACGGTGCAGAAACATTAAAGTTCACGATGAACCTTCGTGTTTTTTTTTGCCATGGTGAATGCCATGAAATACAGCATCCGTCAGATTGACTGTTAGACGAGAACATCAAAATCGTCTTATAATTGAGTACTGCCCTAGTCGATGGTTCCTCACCTCCGATGTCTATGATGATTAGCCATATCAATACGACCAGCAGATGCCAGACTTAATTCTGAACTCACCTATGAATCTGAAAGTCCCCGATAATTCGGCGGGCACTGGTTTTGATGGTATAACGGTAACAGACATGTCTACAGGCGCAGGGAACCCGATATCTAGAGATTTTAGTAGATATATACGGTATTTTGTAAGCCTAATGCTTCTTTAGTCAAAAGGGACTCCTCTGTCCCAACTCGCCCCTCAAGCCCTGGTCATCAGGAAAAAACAAGGTGACTATATAGTACTATATAGCCAGGGTAGACCGTATAGCCAAATAGCTATCCCCCCTCTATATAGCATGTGAGGCAACTATGTAGTACTACATAGTACTATATAGTGCTATGTAGAACCAGGTAGCGCTACTATGTACTACCATAGTTCCCTTAAGTTCTACTACAGGCAGCTACATAGCACTACATAGTTCATGTAGCGCTACTACTGCCGGCTTCAAGCAGCTATATAGTCACACATATCACATATTAGTAGTAGTAGTAGCACGCGGAATCGCGAAAACAATTGAATTTGAATGCCTAATAATGAACCAGTCAACCTATTTTACGACTCGCTAGCCTCCGCATCATCCTGCTCCTCAAGTCGGTACTCTCGGATGGCATCTTCGAATGCCGCGTCACTGATCCGGGATGCAGACGACGAGATAGTGAGGGTGTCAACACCTGCATGGAAACTTCAAAGCACGAAAGTAAGAATATCATTTTGAAAAAGAACACTGTTCAACGCACCGAGCCACGTCATGCAGATTGACACGAATTTTGTCGAGGAGTTTGTAAGGCGCCGTCCGCTCATCGAAGCGCTGCAACGAGCAGAAATGTCCATGGTAGACAGTTCTGCATTTTAAAATCACTTATTAGTAATCAGTAGAGAAAGCAACCTCGGAAACACTCACCATAGAGCAATCTTCGCTGTTCTCGAGTCGTACGACCTCGATGTCATCCGTTGGATCCACCGTGACAGGCCTGAAGCGCGCAAACGAAAGTCGTCTCCAAGGGTAGTGTAGTGTGCCGGCAGGGCCTGCCTTTAAAAAAAACCATCAAAAAATGTTTTGAAGTTAGCAAGCAACCCACTCACCATGCCTCACTGCGATTTCTGTGCCAAGGAGATGGGCTCAAAGGGAGGTGTCAGGAGACATATCAATAATCAACCTGACTGTAGAAGGCAGTGGGAGCTGCTGGTTGAAACTCAAAAAGACATCGGCGCACCTCAGGCTCGTTTTGACTCGTATTCCCACACCCTCGGCAGTCTGTTGATCGCCTCATCACTGCACATGGCGCCACCATGTTTCTCCCCACCCTCAAATCTTTCATGCGCGAGCACATGCCACACAATAACATCATCCCCGGTCCACATGACCGGTTTGATGTTTATCGACAAGTCATCATAGTTACCCCGCCTGATCCACGCACCAGTGACTCACCAAAGCGGTGGCGCATTAGAGCGACACCTGAAGTGCAGCCTGGTCCTGCCAGCCGAAAACCTTGGTCCCCCGCTAGATTCGATATGGCGCTGATAAGTGATGGTGCTCGGACGACGAATTTGCAGACACTCGAAGGTAAGCATTGGTTACTATTCAACGTTTCAATGTCACACTGACTGAAATGGATACTGTACTAGGTGTGCGAGTTGCACAAGTTCGTATCATCTTTACCCTCCCTCGTCAGTTTCTAGTTGGAACGAACTCCCGAGCGCTAGCTTACGTCGAGTGGTTCACGCCGCTTCGGGAGCCAGATCCCTCCTCTGGCCTGCGTCAAGTGTCGCGTTCGACTCGTCAGCTGCATCGGAATGCAGCCGTGATCCATCTTGACGAAATGGTTCGTCCATGTCACCTCATTCCAAAAATGGGACCATCTGTTGACCCTGGGTGGACGAGCGCAAACGTCTATGAGACGGCACATGATTTTTATTTTAATACTTTTATTGACCTTGAAACATTTTGTATTTCCACTCGTAGTGACTAGAACTAACTACTGCTGCTACTGTGCTACAATGACTACAGATTGCTACTACCGTCACCTGAAGCTCTACATAGTCCTGGTTTCGGCTACACCAGCTATGTAGTACTATATAGTAGCCTGGATGTCTACATAGTACTACACCGCCTATGTAGCGCTATATAGCTGCCACTATGACTATGAGGATTTGGTGTTTTTCCTGATGGTGTGAGGCTTGCCCCTATCAGTTCCGCTGCTCCCGTCCATTTTAGACATGTTCTTACATCGAAGACGAGATGATTTGTATACTATAGTCGCGCGATGAATAGAGGATATCTATCGTTTACAACACTAAACGCGGAATAAGTAGAGTGCCTGAAGCGCTGATAACGACAGAGAAAAATAAACGGGTGAACCAAGATTAGCAAGTCTCTCATATATTCATGTTTGTCGCTCCTCTTGACGCATGGTCGACGATCACATGCAGTTGGCTTCATCAAAACTCAACGCGTGCTACGAAACAATAAACTCCGACTTCTTGCAAAATAACCAAACACAACTATGCATCGGTGTTGCTACTTCCAATTGCCCTCTTTCGCGCTCCACCGCCAAATATGTCCCGAGCCATCCCCAAAAAGATGTCCTTTATCGCTGCACGACTCTCCCAGAGAGGTAGGATTGATGTAATACTAGCAGCCACGAAGAGCCACACGACACAGATGATAATCCAACCTTTGAAAAAGTTCAGAGAAAACACGTAGTGTGATAGGAACATGGGTATCGGTATAAGCTGCGTTCAAGTTAATCACCGAGCATCGACACATCATTTGCACTCACGAAAAGTACGATGAATGTCAGTATCAATGATGCCCAGGTAGCAACCTTGAGTGACTTCTGAAGCTCGGCGGATTCTTCAGCTGGGACATCAATATCAATCGTTGTGTCGTCTTTCGCCGATGCCACATCTACCGTGGCATCTTCTTGTTTCTCTTTCTCGACAGGTGAGTTGGAGCCAGGGCCAGACGCAGAGTCCGATAGGGTTGCTCGCTTTCGATCCATCTCTCTTGCTCTGGGATTGATTCTTTTAGTAGCAGACCAATCGAACTCGTTGTCAGGTTTAATGAGAGTGACGACAGCGGAAATGATAGCACCCGAGCAGCAAGCGCCCAGGTTTCCAGCGAGGTTGGGATACATTAGTCCTCGTTCTTCGTCAGCATAGAACACAGTGTTTGCAGTGAACAAGAGCTTACCTGTGGTTGCGATAGTCAATTCACCGTAATATGTTTTTGCAACTGACAGCCATGCAATTATGCCAACCACTACTCCTCCCAATGCACCACTGATCGCAGCCTCCTTGGTTTGCTGGCGCCATACCACACTAAAGATGACTGGGCCAACAGCACCAGTGAATAGAGTTCCCGAGAATAAGAATAGCCAGTTCAAAGACACTCCTATCCCAATCCACAATGAGGCAACACACGACATCACCAGAGCCCATACTGCGACCATTATGTGAGATACACGTATAAGAGACTCTGGTGATGCCTGGGTATCATCATCAATATTCGTTCTTGGTAGCAATCAGTTTCACGTACATCAGGCCTAAAGTGGATCTGATACAGATCAAATGTAAGAATGGACGATGTCGCAATCATCTCGGAAGATGCAGCTGAGGTCACTGCCATGAAAAGCAGTATCAACTAAATTACCAGCTGTTATTCAATTGTGAGTGAATGGGAAATATGTAGCTCACCATAGCTGCTGCACCACCGCTACCCAATAGTGTCACTACACCAGCGGGGGCAGCCAGGCCAGCATTAATCTCCGCCTCTGTAAGTCCACCAGGGTACGGGAAGCTGGGACCTAGAACGTCATCAGATAGCTACGATTTTGAATATATGCATTAACCTCACTTTTGGCAAGCGCGACAGCAGCAAGACCCATGATAGAGGAGAAAGTGAGAGGTACAGCAAACCAGGCAATACCGCCCATCAGATAGGCTTGGACAGCAGTCTTTGCCTCTGATGCGATTGCTCGTTGCCAGTAGCCCTGTTTATGATATTAGCAAGTGTCTACTTTTTACGGTACCAAATAACGAGCCTGATCCAGCATGACAGTACCAAATCCACCAGTGATCTGAATGATCATAAATGTAAGTCCATCTCAAAAAAAACGTCAAGTCAATGTCTGTAAAAGGGTGAGAGGGACAGCTTACAGTTGGACTTCAAGGTTAAGTATGAGCCATCTTGGTTTCCGGCTACAGGTCGTTCAATGCTCGCTTGTTGTAACAAGTTGTACATTCCCTCAAAACCGCCGACGAGGTCTGCCTTTGTGTATGTCCAGAAGAAGAAGTAAAATATGAGGATCATCAAGATGAGTGTATGTGAGTAGTCGCCTGCAATAAACCCAAATCAGTGAGTTAACTCAGGAAGAATTTTCGATCACCGACATAGGAACGTGGCGCGAAGACCCCCAAGGATGACATAGATACAGACTCCAAGCGGAATGAGGAAGTTGGCGGCATAAATGTTCATCCCAGTGAAGGCATTGACAACTGCACTTCCACCAAGCAGTAACATACTCGAGACAATAAGATTGACGACCAGTCCAAAAGTCGCGAACATGAAATGTGCTGTATTACCGTAACGAGCGTGAACGATCTCGAGGAAGGTGTGGCAGTATGGCGCGATCTGTTTAACCCGCACGGCGAGAATTGCCATAACGAATATTTGAATCGTAGCACCTGCTGCATAATAATAGCCAGCACATATACCATACTCGTAGGTCACTGTGGAGCTTTGTAAGAGTGTTGCCGCCCAGGTCCATGCCGACACGATGCCAGAAGCAATAAGACCGGGTTTGACGCTGCGTGATGCTGTATTGAACTCCTCGGAAGTAGAGATTTTGTAGGTCGTATAGCGATTTTGAAGGGTTGACAAACCCATCATGATGATAGCAAAAACGAAACCGATACCGAGTACGACGCCATACCCTGTGCCTTGTGTCAGGACTTCAGCACCTGTAGTTGAAGACATTGCAACGACAGAGGGACAGGAGTGATGTATAAAGAAATTCAGACTTTAATAGGTACCTAGGGACAACCCAGTAAAGGCGCAGTCAAAATTTGCTATCAAGTTTGCAGAGATAAGCATGAGAGATCCAAGCAGGCACTCGGACAGCCTCCTTACGACATGTAACGCAAGCCGCGGATATCTTTAGAGCTCAACAAGCGCTGAGATAATTGCAAGATGTTGCACATGAAGAAGACGATTATGGATAAACTCGATGAGGTTATCGTATGCGGAGACAGGTTCGTTCGCAAGGTCTTGGTGTTTTTCATTAGTACCATGGAAAACTTCAATCGGACGTACTACATATCCCAAGCCAGCATTTAGTGTCTTGTCTATCATGTGGTGGGAAGAATGCAACAGTAATGATGGCTTGGCGATGCTTTGCTCCACCCTCTGTATCTTTGCGTAGAGGTCTAAAGCCGATGGTTGTCGTGCGGCAGACTCCCGAGTGCATAATCTTGATTAAGATTTGTGAAAAGGCTGAGAATGAATGTAAAGTGAAGTGATAAGACAAGTAGGGACGCTCACACCTGGGACTCCCTTAGCTTATGTTACACCTCCCCAAATACTATCCAATCTGCACGTGGTGTAAACGAACCAAAATACGTTACATGCGTAGTCGAAGTGCTGTTGAGCGCCGAGGGCCTCTGTCAATGAATTATTGGAGTTTCGTTAATGCCATAAGAAAGAAGGATCTGCTGCCCACCTCCCATTCCACTTGTCCGTGGATATGACATAGACCTTGCTGTCAGAGGTCGAGAAAGACGAGAACAGGCTTGTTTTAAGGAGGCAGGATAAGGAGGTCAGCCTGAGTACTATTCACCTTCAGATCTGCATTCGTTTTCTGAGCATGCCATAGAATACACCCAGTGATAGCAAGATTACCGTGTTTCAACGTATTGGATCTGTCGTGCTGCGAGACAGCTACAAGCCCAACCCAATAGCAACGGGACTGCTTTCTTCTCAGTGTTATCATCGAGTCGCTACCTCTCTTTCCTCTAAACTCCCATGTGAGATGAAGACTTGCCAGCTTTTGAAACAGGCGCTCGTCCATGTAGAATCTTCAAGTTAGTGTGTTTGTTGAATTAAATAAATTGAGGAGCATAACAACTTCATTGGGGAATAGTTCTGGATTATGGTCAACAACCATCAGGAAAAGCCCCGGACAATTTCCATCGGTTGCTATCTTTAGATAATCAGGTACATGTTGCAACACTATCACCAGTAGTTACCATGTCTTAACTTTATGTCACTACCACGTAGTGACCTTGCAACATTTTCGAATCACGCAACCATATTGTCTGACGATTGTGAGCCGCTTGTGTCATTTACAATCATCTTGCAATACAGACTTAGCTCTGAGCCGCTGCTGCTTAGTAATACTGCCAGCCAGCTGCTGGCAGCAGGCTGCCGGAGTCCGAACACAGGCTGAGTCCGAGTCAGTCACTGCTCTTCTGCTACTCATTTCAACTCACTGGCCGCACTGGGTTCAAAACCGTCAACTTTCAACGGCAAGTGACTTCAGCCCGACTTCAAGTTCAGTCGTCACTTTTTTTTACTGTCCGAGTCCGACTCAGTCCGCCGAGTCATTGGACTCCATCTCACCCGCTGGCGGGCTACAGTACAGTTGGAGCCCACTGGCAAGCCCCGCTGCTGTGAAGTCACGCTTCCCAGTGTATGGCAGCTCCGAGTCGTTCAACTACCATGACTAGTAGTACAGTCAGCCTCCGAGTCCGAGTCGCGGCCGCTATCATTACTATAATCGCATTCTGCTTACTACTAGTTGCTGTCACGGAAACCACTGGGCCGAGTCCGAGTCTCAATTTGAATCTGTCCGAGCCCGAGTCACTGCCAGGGTCTCCCTCAATATCCACAGTGACTTCTGGCATCATGCCTCCTCAGCGCCGCCTACCAATTGAATATGACTGTGATGCATGTGGAGCTCACAACGTTGATGCTATTCGTTTGACAAGACATCGAAACCAGTGCAAAGCAGTGCGCACCAGAGCCCGCCGTGCCTACGAGAAGAGTCTAAAGCTTGACAAAAAGCGTCTGGCGGCAAAAGCGCGTGCAAAGGCGGAGAAATTAGCCTATGTCACTGCGGCATCACATCCAATGCCAAACGCCACTCAAACACTCACAAGCCGTACTGCCATTGGCAATAGCAGCCAGGCCTCAGCCTATTTGGGCGAAGGTTCTGTGAGTACCGTTTATTTGGAGTGTAGGGCTCGGCGTACTGATTTTATTTATTTCCTATCAGTCGAGGGACCCCCAGGCTTTAATTCATCCGGCTCCTGAGGTAGATTTGGGTGAAGGCTCTGTGAGTACCGTGCACTTGGAGTGTCGGTCTCGGCATACTGATTTTATTTATTTCCTATCAGTCGAAGAGCCCCTTAACTCATTCTGCCCTTGAGGCCCTACCAAGATTGACACCTCCACCACCTCCTGCCTCATCATCTTCACTCGAACATCATATGGACACCAGCACCTGTGTTCAGGAAGACATATGTGACTTCGACATGTACTATGCCTCGCACTCACCCCCTCCACAAAGCCCCTCCGAGTCAGTGGCTCAAAGTCCCCTGATCCCTCCGTCGCAAGTCAAACGGATACGAAAACCGGCTAGAGTCAGAGCCGCTGGATTTGACGACCCACTTCCTGAGGGTCCTGGCCCACTCGAGGCTGACGGTTCGGGCTGTGTTGAGCCCGAGGTCGTAGCTCCTCCCGAACCCATCGAAAACGTTGACCCTCAGACTCCTGCGTTTTGTCTCCGGCGTTTTCTCATCCGAATTCCGGAAATCGTGCGCACATTACCCAATGCCTTCGGCCTGACACGTCTGTATCGCGGTCGCCCCACTCGCATCCCTGACCTCGATAGTGATCTGAACGACCTCACCGCCACAAATTTACAAACTCTACCCGCTATCACTGATAAATCCATATCCGACATCATCTCACCATATCCCAACGAGAACGCATTCAATTTCGGCCGTTGGTATTGGAACACGACTCGTCAATCCAAATCTACTAGACAAGAATTACTGGACAATGTCATCTTGCGTCCAGGTTTCGATCCCGAAGATCTTCGCGGCGTCAACTTTGACAAAATCGACAAGCAACTCGCCCAGGATTTGAGTTCTCCTTTGGAAGGCAACGGTTGGCGAAATGATCCAATCACTGTCAATATACCGACATCTCAGAAGGCCACGAAAGCGTCCAAGAAGAAGGACCGGAATACTGAGCGAGCAGCGCGTGTTCACGACGAGGTTGATGAAGAGGCGGGTACTGTGGGGACACGTAAGTTTTGCATTGGCAATTTCCATCACCGGAGCTTAGTGCATATCTTGCGTACCGCTATTGAGAGCAACACTCCGCACGCTCAACAATACCACTGGCACCCATACGAGCAATTTCACCAGTCCCCTGATCCCAATACACCTCCGGTTCGCGTGTTTGATGAAGTTTACACGGGTGATGCGTTCTTAAAAGCAGATCGTGATTTGCAAAACTCTCCAGGGGAACCTGACTGTGATTTACCACGCGTCATTGCGGGGATCATGGTGTGGTCTGACGCGACTCATGTTGCACAGTTTGGGCAGGCACGGCTTTGGCCCATCTATATCTACTTGGCCAATCTATCCAAATATTCCCGTTGCAAACCAACTTCAACTGCTTCTCATCAAGCTGCGTATTTACCGAAGGTGGGCCATTTCTCTCGTGTAGCATATATTCTCGTCTCAACTCTTCCTCGCAGCTTCCTGATACTGTGCAGGATTTTCTACGGTCATTTGACCATGGCGCATTAGACCCACTGTTAGCACATTTGCGTCGCGAGGTTTTCCATGAAGCCTGGCGACTTCTTCTCGATGACGAGTTTGTGCAGGCGTACGAGCATGGCATTGTTCTTGATTGTGCAGACGGCGTTCGTCGACGTGTCTACCCTCGCATATTCACTTACTCTGCTGATTACCCTGAGAAGTAAGACTTTACATCCCTTTCACAGGATTCTGATACTGATGTCATTTGTTCTCATAGAGTTTTGATCGCAACAATTCGTGACATGGGGGGCTGTCCATGTCCACGCTGTACGATACCCAAGGACATGATACCTGGACTTGGCACTCGAGAAGATTCTTATATTCGAACCCACCAAACTCGCCTCGATAACGACGAACGGAGGGACAATATCAAGCAGGCTCGTGGGTTCATCTACGACAAACATTATGTTGTCACCAGCAAACCGGTGGAGGAAATATTAAAACCGGAGTCGCAGGTTCCGACAGAGGTATGAGCCTTATCATTTTTTTTTCATTTGAAGCATTGATATCAACGCGAATTACTACAGAATGCCTTCTCATCTCGCTTGTCCCATTTTGGCTTCGACTTTTTTATGATGCTCGTGGTTGATTTAATGCACGAATTCGAGCTAGGTGTTTGGAAGGCCTTACTCACCCATCTGATCCGCATTCTACACATGCAAGGTCCTACAATTGTCGCTGAATTCAACGCTCGGTAAGTGACGTCAGAACTTGAATTATGGAATGCTCAACAGTTGCAACAGGTTTCGGCTCATACAACCATTTGGCCAGTCGACCATCAGAAGGTTCCCTCACAATGTTTCCGAGTTGAAAAAGTTGGCTGCGCATAATTTTGAGGACATCCTGCAGGTTAGTATATGCTCTTGTTTCATCGGGATAGTGAAGATTGATGACCAAAATTAGTGCTCAATCCCATGTTTCGAAGGTTTGATACCCTCTCCGCACAATGAGTCAATCATGGACCTTCTATTCCTGACCTGCTACTGGCACTCGTTGGCGAAGTTGCGCATGCATACAGAAACATCACTCGAGGTCCTCGACACTGTCACGACTGCTTTCGGGCAAAAGATCCGGCACTTCGCTGAGGAAACGTGCCGTCAATTTAATACCGTTGAAACTGATTCAGAATACATGGCACGAAAGCGGGCTGAAGGAAGACGAGAAGCTCGTGGCGACAACCTTAGAAAGAAGGATGCTAACCTTGCCATGTCTGGCAAACGTACCCGGGGGTTTAACCTTATGACGTCGAAACTTCATGCTCTTGGTGATTATGTGGCTCAAATTCGAATGTTTGGCACCACTGATTCATTTACTTCACAAATTGTGAGTCAGGCACCGTCTTTCTAAGAGTGTCACTGACAAACCACACAGGGGGAGCTCCAGCATCGAGTTCTCAAGGCTTGGAATGATCGGACAAGCAAGAATAACCCAGTGCCGCAGATCATTGCAATGGATGTTCGAGAGAATGCGCATAGCCGGATGTCAGAAGACCTGAAACGCTTAGCCGCAATACAAGCTGACGCTGGTTCAATGGCTGACTCCGAATCATTACCATTCGCTGCTCCGGCCGTGCCTGAGGAACATCACCGTATCGCGCAAGACCAACGAACATATGTGTGGTTAGGTGACTGGCTCAATGATAATCGGGGGGATCCAGCATTCAAGGTAATTACTTACTTCTGGTATTGGCTCGACACTAACAAACAATTAGAATTTCTTGCCGCAACTCAAGACACATCTTCTTGGGCGTCTCAAAGGAAATGTTTATGTTGGCGAGGAACCGACATTCACACCGCATGAGATCGACGAGATCGGGTTCCAATACAACCGTGTTTACAATCATGCCACCGCCAGTATCAACTACACAACATATGATGTTCGACGTGATCAAGACACGATTCACATACACTCAAACAATTCACTCGACCGATCTGCAATCATGGTTGCTTCTCATGAGACCGCAGATGATGGCGTGTCTCCCCATCCATACTGGTATGCACGGGTGCTTGGCATCCATCATGTCATGGTCGAACATCCATCCATACGCAAAGCTACTCGAATGGAGTTTTTGCGCGTGAGGTGGTTTGGTCGTGATCCTGACTGGGCGAGTGGGCCAGGCGCTCTTCGCCTTGATCGCATTGGCTATGTCCCAGACTCAGATGATGAGGCATTCGGATTTCTTGAGCCTAGTCATGTCTTACGTGCGTGCCATCTCATTCCTGCTTTTGCACTAGGGAAAACGACGGATTTGCTTGGACCATCGAAGCATCGCGACTCAGACGAAGGGGATTGGGTCAATTACTATGTCATGAGATATGTCGACAGAGACATGATGATGCGCTATCTGGGGACCGGCATTGGACACATGCATCCTCCCGGGTTTCCGAACGAGACTCAGTCACTCCAAGTTGTTCCCGAAGATCGTTATATGCCTCCTGCAACAAGACCTGACAAGCGGACAATCGGTGATGTCTCCAAAGAAGACTCAGACTCGGACTCGGACTCGGACGTGTGGAGCGAAGATGGTTCAGAGAAAGACTTTGACGAAAATGTATATGAACTCTGATACATGGTGTTACAACATAGTCAAAATGGTATTTATTGATTCCATAGGCTTCTTTAGCCACGTTTCGAAAATGTTCTCTTGTGCGACGACATCAACACGAGCATAATATGAAGCAACAGGCGTCAGTAAAGCCTGTGCAAGTACCCAGTTGTCCAGGTGTGATCGCGACGGTCGTGTCCTAGATTCATGACGTACCATTAGCAAAAAGTGGCTCTTGAGCGCGCAGCATGTAGGCGCATCTGCTTTGAGCCACTGGTCGAGGCGGCCTCTGGGCTTACGGCGGAGTTTGCCATCCTTATACCGAAGACAGACCCAGACAAAAACCCAGATGAATGATTCAGCATCGTGCCGGTACACGTGCTCAACTGCGCCGTCGATGGCCGATACTGTGAGCAGCTTGATCGCCATGAAAGGTACCGTTCCTGTGCGCTCATTGCCTCTGGCACAATCATCTTGAATGGATGATAAATCATAGTCGTTGAGGACGCCTATCACACGACCGCATAAGAGCCGATAGTACATGAGATTGCTGGGGCTGATATCACGGTGATAGACACCACCTTCCCAGAGTATACGATGACCTAGAGTCACAGTTAATAGACAATAGCTAGAACAAAATCAACGAACACCTACAATTAATGATTTGCCACCATGCATCGCGAAACTCAGGCCCACTTAGGTCTGTGATCGGCTGAAGCTTCCTGAATACGATGATGTAAAAGACTCGGCTGCCCTGCGTATTGTGATCCATTCCTAATGCCTTTCTGATGCGGGCCGTGGATGTCTCATCAAACCTATGGAACCAGACCATGTCTGGGACATGGCCCTTCACCCACGAGTCACGTTCAGCGATCGCCTGCACTTTCGCGAGTATCTCAGGCTCGCTCAAGCGTGCCTCTTCTGGCCAAAAGAGTTTGGCGACCATTTCGGTCGTTGTGTTATGAGGAGGACCAGGCGGGTGTGTATCAGGAGGAGGATCAGCACCGGATGGAGTAGGGTCGACGGCAGATGGTTCATTGGGACGCTCACGTGCCCGAAGCAATTGCGAGAGTGCCTGGCTCTTCACTGGTAAGACGGTGGTTGCACGTCCACGCAGCCCAAAATGAGATGAATACGCATTGGAGACATCTAATGTGAGGTCAACCCGGCCAAGTGTCGGATCGTCGATATAGACAGGGCCAGAAAATCCAGGCTGAGGCTCGAATAGAGGGTGAAAGCCCCACTGCGTATATTGCATTCGCTGCATAGTGAGGAGCAAGACGAGAAAGCGGGGAAGATCCTGAAGGAAGTTGATGCCAGCAAATTGAATTGTATCTTCCCGATCAAAACGCCACATGTAGATCATGTCGTCTGGCAAGAGTCATTAATTGGATAATAAGTCTGAAAAGTAAAGCCCAGACTCACCAACCACTACGTAGGAGACGACGTAAGGCCGTGCGACATGAGCCGCAAACATCTCAGCGACATACAAACCATTCTGGACAATCGCGTCGAGCGCTTTCGCTTCGGACTTGACATCATCCTTCGTGGTAGTATCATCATTGTCCTTCTCATTGTCCTTCTTGGTACGCTTGTTGCTGGACCCGGCCTGGATGAAATGATCAGAACTTCGTTTCAATTCCCCCTTCCCTTGACTTCGAATTCGGTCGGACACACGTCTCGCTGCAGTGTGCATGTGAGCAAGGAAGCCAAAATGCACATACAAGGTGACTTACGCTCTTTTAACGTCCACTCGCCTTTGCCTTGACTTTTAATGCGCTCAGACGCACGTCTCGCTGCAGTACGCTCGGATGCACGTCTCGCTACATTATGCATGTCAGCGAGAAAGTCAGATGCAACAAACAAGGTGGACTTACGCTCATTCAACACGATCTCTTCTTCCCTTTGACTTTTGTTTCGTTCAGACGCATGTCTCACTGCATTGAACATGTCAGTGAGGAAGAACGAAATACAACGAAGTGACCTACGCTCTGAACCAGCATCATGTCTTGGAGGGTGTTCGATAGGCGATTCGTCTTCTGACTCGGAGTCACTATCAGGCGGCGGCTGTCGTTTTGCGATTGGATACTCCATGTAATGTAGATTCTGAGGCGCAGGAATGACATTGTAAGCCGAAGGTGGAGGAGGACCGTGACCTGGACGACGTTTGGTGTATTTGAATTCTACTGTCGATAGAACGTTCTTCCATTGGAAGTTCCCATGGGGCTTGTTGCACGCCAGCTTAGTGTACATATCTTTCTTACAATAGCAATCTCCATCTTGCTGCACTTTCTGGGCGGTGTCCCAAGAGACAATGACCACGTCAGGCTTGCGGGAGGACTCGACGCCCTGGTGCATTTGGCGTATGGGCTTGTCGTTGTGATGAAACAGTATGTTATCGTGGTCTTCGGAATCCTTGGAACCCACTAGTCCAGGCACATTCAAAGCGCTCAGTTGAAGGAGCGCACAATTGGCAGCTCCAACAAATGGCTCGTATGAAGGAACTTCTCCAGGTGAATTAATACTTTAGAATTGTGGTGAAGCTCGTTTCGTAGCCACAGTTACTTGAGCAACTCACTATTCTGATAGGAGGTCCTTGATATCCTTGGCGGCGCGGGTCTCGTTGCAGAGGGGTAAGACGGCCTCGAGGCAAGTTTGAAGTAGGGCAGACTCCTCGCATTGACCGAGGGATGCCGAGTCAGAGGTACCAAGTTTGCAGTCACTAAGGATGTTCTGCAACATACAGTCAACATCGCACTTCTTGAAGTTCTGGATATCCCGCGCGATCCATGGGCGGACATCATCTACGCTGCATAGATAGCAAACAATTCAAAATTAGTATCTCTGGAACTTCAAAATATACGCACCCGACGCCTAGAGTAGCAATATGTTCGCTTATAACAGCTGACCCGAGTGCAATTGGGGTGGCCTTGAGTTGGGACAATTTATTGAGTGGGGGGGCGGGGGTCCTTAGCCCGTCCAGAGTGGCAAGAGGGGCTGAAGTGTGACTAACAGGCCTGGGATCTCTGGTGACAGTCGAGCCAGGCGTACACAATGTGGACACAAGCTCGGGGGACTGTATAATCATGGGGGGGGGCGTCCCAGTGGCGCGATCAGTAGTACTGCCACCTGGCATGAATCGGATTCAATGATGGTGGTAAGTAAGTAAGAATGAATGTATGCCGCGGACTTTCAATTGAGTAGTAAGGAGTTATATTTAGGTCGCTGAATGGTAAACCGATACAAACAAAAAAAATTACAATGTAACCTTAACTTAGTTGTTATATAAACATACCCAAGTGCCTACAAGCGTCTGCATCTTACGTTGGTAACTATTAGCCAACATTACGAGACTTACGGTATTTCACAGAGCTTCCATTTAGTCATAATCTCCCATGACCCGGGGGCATTTGTCTCGTGGTCATGGCAGTCGTCAGCCGCATCATGCTTCCCAGAAGTCCAAAGGTAGAGGTCGAAGTCAATCTACTAGGGCCCAAAGCTCGTTGTCCCCATCATTATCTCCAAGTCCGCCACCCGCTCCAGAGCGAGTTCGTTCGCGCAAGCGCCGTCATGAGGAGTCCGAGTCTCCGACGGATGACTCGGAAGATGACCATAACCATCTCACGAAATCATCGTGCGTGTATCCTTTCGTGAGCAATACTGGTTGTGACGTACTACTGATTGTCTACAGCATTAAAAAAGACACAGATCCTATCAAGTCAAAAGGCCGAATCTTTGGCCGCATGGGTGAGATGTGGCGACCATTCGCCAGTGTCCTAGACGATGGTGTCGGCCGAGACGCCGATGACGATCCCCAGGCTTACACCACTATGTACGTTGACCTTTTTTTTTCTTTCATTTCCTTACGTTTTGCATGGTTGCTTTCCATCATTTACGTTTTTTTTTTCCAGCCAAAACATCCACCATGAGATTTACCAGGAGCTAGTCAAAATAGCTCCCGGTATTCCCGACGAAATTAAGCGTCTTGGAGCTCAAGGCTCTGTGATCATCAGCGCTAAGGTACGTGAATTCTTGAGCGATCAACATCTTGCTGACCAGTTGACATAGTTGGAAGTTGGTCGGCGTGGCTCCCGCAGTGAGGACATAAATTCCATGAAGGACAAGATTGGCCGGTGGCGCACCTTTGCACCACCTTACAATCCAGACCATCGATCCATGCTCGGTTTCAAGTATCCTGACTGCGGAAAGCTTTTGTGCCCTGCAAGTTTGGACTGGAATGATTCAAGGCATGTAGCTTACTGTCACACTTCTAGCATACTGAAACTACCGGCAGTGTTCGATCGAATTTGCGCGACGGCATTACGAAAGCGAGGCCCGACGATTTCCCGCTATTCCTTTACTCAGACGAGCAAGTCGATACTGAGGATCTTTTCCATGGCTTCCTACGGAATATGATTCTTGTTAAGGCTGGTGACGCTCACGTTTGTTTCAATTCAAAGCTGAGCGTGTTTCGTATAGGGATATCTTCACGTCTTTCGCGGCCCAAGTACCGCGACGAATTCAGTACGATCAGGCACACGCAAAGGCAATGCAGCCACTCACTCGATTAATAAGGTTTCTGTTCCTTCCATAGCTTATATTGCCACACTGGTGAGTCGCAACTTGGACAACTTTTGACTCTGTACGCTGATATGAATTTATCAATCCTGTTTAGATCCGTTTCGTCCTTTCCGATCAACCGACGTTCAGCGCTGGAGGGACTTCTGGTCACTGGCCATATCGCACATTCTATCGCACACTTCTGGAGGTTGTCAGTATCATGGATTCTCACGAGCGAGAGGATCTGTTAAATTGGTGGAACGAGTGCGTCATTTTGCTCCCGTTTTCACACCATCCTAATATTTATGTAGCAAAATCTATGCTGACTTTGCGGACCTTGAGGAGGAAAACGATGGCATGTTGAGTATGGCTGCTCGGATGAAAGCCCAAGCTACTTCAGCGTCATGGCCAAGGCCCAGGCCAATGGCTGTCAACCGTGAAAATCGTGACAATGTGCTGGAATCAGTTGGTACGAGCTAGAGCCAGCGAGATGGTTGTCAGTTTGTACTATCATATGCTCAATAATATGTGTTTTATTTGGTTTACATCTTATGTGTATTGTAAGCCTCGAGTGACATTCCAATTTCGCGACATTATGGTAGGTTGATTTTATGGGTGTTGTAAGCCTTGAGTGATATTCCAATTTCGCGACACTATGGTAGGTTGATTGCAAGTGAATTGCAAGAACGACACAATATGTACCAGGATTCCGTTGATGATTACATATCTGTATAACTATTGCACGTATTGCAGCTACATTGCAATGGGGTTATAACATAGGTTGACAAATGGTGGGTGCTCGTAGGCGATTGCAACGATGGCGAGTAGTTTCATCAGTTGGAACTTGATTACGAGCGCTTGGCAAAATGCGGAGTTTTCCCTGATGTAGGTTTGACCACGTTACCGTACCTGTCAGAGCCCTGGCCTAACTTAAAACTATGTATATCAAATATTGTTATCATAGGGCCTTTACGGTGCATGGGACGACGAAAGTCTGCCACGACTTCGCCCAATGTATTGGTGTATGTTCACAAAACATAAGCACGGATAAGCATAAACCGTAAGCTCCCAGGTGTGAGGATCCCTAAATATCTGAGCCTCACCGGTTTACTGATGGGCCACTACTAGTACTTAGTGCTTATAGTACTCATTAATTATTAATAAAGATTTACTAACCAGCGTTTCTACATACTACTTGCGCATCATTGTCGTCGCGCATCCTAGGCCTACTACTTATACCTTCCCTCTCCCGAATTCCAAACTTCTAACAAAGAGATGTCAATGGTAATCATACTCAAGGTGCTTCAGTTGTCTTTCCCTCGTTGCCCATACACAATATGATGTTGAACTTGCCCACTTTTTTGTCTTTGTGTGGCACCCCGGGCGTGTGTTCGCAAATATTTGGTAAGTGCTTGTGTAAGTCACGGCACAAGTGAAAATAAATCTCCATTTTTGTATTTAGCAATGTGCCATGTCTCCGCGACAGCCCTGCCTGCTCTAGGATCTGTATACATTGGCCACCGTGGCATCGGATTCACTGCCTTCGAATTATCTACGTCAGGGCTTCGAGATATTTATTTATGAGACGCACTCTCATGAGGATACGCATGCTAACCAGTAGTAACCACTGAGTTTTCATCTTAGGAGCTCTGAGGCTGCTGCAGTCATGTCCGACACAATATTGCAAAACTCATTCTACTTTAGCAATGTTTCCAACTCCATCCTATACGGTAAGCACTCTGTCTGACCATGCAGATGTTGTTATTCCTGACTTGATAGTCTACAGGTGTGGTCTTGATGCTGTATCTCAGCACCATGCAAGCATACCTCGAAAAACGATTAGACCGCAGGCCCTCCGACAAGTTCTACATGATCTTCAGCACTATATTAGTCTTCCTTATCACGATCTTCGTGATCACACGATTAGTTTCGGGACAGGAGATGTGGATTAATCATCCAGGCTATCCCGGTGGAGCGTCCGCATACTTCAATGCTAACATGTCAGCGTGGTATCTGACGATGAGTGCGGTTGCGTCCACCATGCTGCAGTTGATGGCTGATGGTCTACTCGTGAGTGTACTCTCTAGTTCGTCCCGGAAAGAGTGCACTGATACTAAATCAGATTCTGCGATGTTTCACGGTCTGGCATAGAAGTTACAGCGTGGTTTTCGTCCCCTGTTGCCTCTGGTTATCGTCTCTCGGTTCGTTAGTCCTCTTCTTCTCTTGCAGCTACTCACTAGTGCTTCCCCGAATCACGATTTCTATGAGGGGCTGAAGGCACATGTTGGATTGGTGTATATCTGCTTGACCATTGGCCTCAACGTCCTTGCTACCTGTCTCATCTGTGGCCGCATAATATTTTGTGCAAGGCGCATGCGACATCATTTTGGTGGCGAAGCTTCGAGGGATTACTTCACTGTAGTGGCCATTGTTGTCGAGTCTGCCATACCATACACATTATTTGGGATCGCGTTTCTTGTGTCATTCGGCCTTGTCAGCTATTCCTCAATTATCTTCCTCTCTTTGTACGGAATGTTTACTGTGAGTGGTGACAGCTTCCATGTCCAAAGTTCTGTTGCTAATTCGGTTTTAGTGTATTTCCCCTCAAATGCTGATTCTTCGCGTTGTGAGGCGAAGGGCGTGGACTGCCGAGGTAGCAGAGTCAACGGCTCTGGCTTTCGCTACTCAGTCGACTACAGCCCATTCTACCACATCCACTAGTAGCTCAATGGTTTAATTCCAAGAATTTTTTGTGCTGAAGTCCTGCAAGGCAGTCCATGACCTGTCGTTTATTCTTATCTTCGCCAAGATAAGATTGCCCCCAAACTGTGCCAACGGGAATCTTCGATCTCAAAAGATGAGAGAACCTATAATATATTATAGAGAAGACGGACATTATTACTGAGGGAAAAAAAGACTCGTTGCCTGAGGCCTCACTGCTCGGTGCTGATCAATCCCCTAGCTCGATCAAATATTGACCAAATCCACGGGACAGCGATGAGGATACATGTGGACAAGGAATCGTTCTGATGCTCGCGGATACTTCTTGTTGTGACCCCCTGGATCAGTATTTATACAGACCTTGACACATATATCTTGATGGTGATGCATAATTATACACATACTATGCGCCTCCTTGCGGTAGCATGCCTGATGATCTTAATGACCGCCACATCAATCGGCCAAACAGGTAGGCCGGCAGAGCCTCTGATCTGCAGAGGAGAGCACAATTGGTCACGATCAGCGCTTAAATGTTCAGATTGGTGGTTGCCAGAAGTGTTCGATCTCCAGGGGTAAGCACGGAGAAACGGGTGTCATACGACCACGTGAATCAGCAGGTCAGGCAGCACTGCGACAGGATCCTCCAGTGGAGTGTGAATCTCACACTTGAAACCTGTAATGCTCAACAGGATTGTCCGGATCTGCTTGGTTGGTGACAATGGATTCAATTTATAATAAATATCCTGTGTGAAATGTTATGTTGTAATACACATTATTCAGTGCAGCGAGCACGGTATGCGATATGCAATATGAGGGATGCACCTAGAAAAATATGCCTTGGAGCTTTAAGCTGGCCATGGACGTCCAGTCACAACTCACGATGTGGTCAACTTCTTCTAGCCACTTACAACGTAATGAATTCATTAATTATGAGCCATATATAGAGCAACTTCGGCCGGCCGGGGTCTCGGCCCTCGCGGGGTCAGGAGGTATTCCGAATCCGAGTAACCAAGTAGTGTAAGTAACCAAGACAGGTGAGAGCGCTCTTTTTTATTGTTCTGAGTTCATATCTCTGTTGCTGGTTTTTTTAACTGATTTTCTGCTCGCAGGAGAGCCTGTGCAAACCTAGAACTGCTGGTGACTTTGAAGTCGCTATAAAACGTTGGTGGAGTGACGCTCCTTCAAGCTGTAATGACATCCGGGAACATGACGAGACTACGCCCACCAAATTTAACGATCCAGTCAAGATCACACTCATTCGAGTCCGAGTCGAACGCATTTCTCGATACGTCTTCTGAATCAATATCAGAATCTCCGCTTGCATCGGATGATGAGCTCTTGCAACTATCTTCACCTTCTTCCTCGTCCTCAAGCCCCATAGCCTTAAACATTCCTGATGCAGAAGAGTTATCACGAGACTTGGCAGCACTTGCTCAGCTACGCCAATCTGTACAGAAAAATCTTCGTCTTCGACCAATCCGTTCGTTTAGCAGATTACCAAAGACTGCTGTTCCAAGCGTTGCCGCTATTCCATGGCGCCAAGATCAACACCACCGCCAGCGGCAAGTTGACTCAGATTCTTCTTCTCCAAAAAGTGCAAGCAGCACGTATCTTACCCCCGTTGACATCCACTTCCCCAGTCCTCCTGCCTCATCTCCCCCCGAACCTCCAAGCTGTGCCCGGAAGCCTCAGCAACGCTCCGTGTCTATGCCATCCCCCCGCGTTCCCACTTCTGCTATGGATCCTACTGAATTACTTATTCGCCTCGCCTCTCCCACTCGTCCACTCCTCATCGACACCCGCACTCACGTTGCCTATGCCGCGACTCACCTTTTAGGAAGTATTAATATCGCCATGCCGTCCCTAATTCTTAAGCGCTCAAAACGCACATTACCGACTTTCGCATCATTTCGCCAGTTCATCACCAATGATGAGGGAAAAGAAGTTTTCGATTCCTGGGACATTGGCGGGGATGTCGTCATTGTTCATGGGGAAGAGACTGATGAACGGGAGAGAGATAATCCGGGCGTCATAGCATGGGCCCTGCTTTCAGTTCTTGCACGGTTCCTGAACCCGGACAAGGTATGGTATCTTCGCGGAGGAATTGTAGGTGCTCAACTTCATGCACGGCTCCGAAAGTACATCATCAATGCTCCCCATTCTCCTCCATCTCCCTCCCAAGCCTCTTTGCAACTGCCAAAACCACCCAAGAGTGCAAAGGGAAGGGCATTCCTTCAACTCGACACACACAGCGCTGCTGGGCTCAGTAGCAGTGTGCAGATCGAGCAGGAAGATCAAGACCATGGGGGCGAAATGGAAAGACTAGGACACTCACCATTACCAATCATGCCTGGGCTCTCGCTCAGTCTTGATAGCCCTATAGATTCTGACCCTCCGCCCTCCAAACTTGCCTTTCGCCGTCCACCTCCCCCACGGAGATCAAATACTCTCAACGTTGACAGTGTCAAGACAAACGGAATCAGCGATGCAGCGAATGATAGTGCGGTGTGCGGGCAGACTCTAGCGAAACCCATCAAACATGCTGTGACAACTCTCCCGCGGCTTCATATTCACACAGCTCCAGCGCGCAGCTCAACACTCCCTATTACACCTTCGCAACAGGTTGTGTTCCTTCACCCGCCACCCGCATCCCCGTCACATCTCACGCTTCTCCATTCCAATCACACACCTCCAGCGAGCGCATTTAACTCGAGCTTTAATTTCAATCTCACCAATGGTAGTTGCCTTGGGAACGCGGGTCCATATCCACAAATGCCCATGACACCATCTACTGCCAAGCCGACGCCCACAACATCTACACCCAGTGGCACTTCCTCCGATGCTGAAAACGAGCGCGAAGAGTTCGTCATCTCTACGATCCTCCCTAACTTCCTCTTCCTCGGCCCTGAACTCATTTCACCTTCACATGTCTCCGAATTACAATCCCTAGGTGTGAAGCGAATCATTAACATTGCGGCTGAATGCACAGACGATCGCGGGCTAATGCTTCGGGAACGGTTCGAGCGGTATGTGCATATTCCGATGAGGGATTGTGTCGAGGAGGAAGGAGTACGCAAGGGGCTGAGTGAGGCCTGTAATGTGCTTGGTAAGTACTTCGCTTTTGTCACAATTCGATGCTTCTATCGGTGGAGAATTGGGTTTTCGATTCAAAACTTTTCTTGTTTCCATCATACGTTCCTCGATGTACATGAACTAATTCCTGGCGCAGACGAGGCCGCTCTCTACAACGCACCCACATATGTGCACTGTAAAGCCGGTAAATCACGTAGTGTCACCGCAGTGATGGCGTACCTTATCCACAGCCACCACTGGCCGCTGGCACGCGCATACCAGTTCGTGCTAGAGCGCCGCAAAGGTATCAGCCCGAATATCGGGTTTGTAAGCGAACTCATGGCATTTGAGGAAGCAGAGCTCGGGCGTATGACGAAGCCTAAGCCATCTACTGCAGTGAGTGAAAGTAGTGTTGGCGACGTCGGTGTTGGCACAGGCAGGCGACCAGCGCATGTCAGAGAGAGCTTGCCTCCAATGCCTTCATGGGACCGCGAGGAGGAAGAAGCAGGAGAGGAAACGGGCCAAGATATGGAGATAAGGGACCGGGAGGGACGGTATCGACATGCCAGGCGGGCTCCCGTGGATGAGAACACTTTGCAGCCAATGAGACGAGTGAGCAAGGCAGGTCTTGAGAGCGCTGGATCGATACATGGCGATGATAGGGACGAAACGTGAGAACTAGGTCATACCCTGCTGTTTTGGTACCTTGTCAATGGACCATTCTCTGAGCTCTATATATACTCAACGAATTACCTTAAACCCAATGACTTGACTTACTTCAACAGTCGACTTTGAAATTGTAACGTCGCTGTTGCCTTCAATTTGACAACCCAACCAATTGCGTGAAGCTTTGCGGAAAGCAGTTGCATTAGCAGGCTCAGTACTAGTGGTACAGAGGTTCGTCATCGAAGAATCATGTACATAAGTACAAAAAACCAGCCATCCAACAACCAGCCCATCAGACCCAAACTCACTCGATATCTAATCGACGCTGAGCCTTGGCCCTCTGCATTCAAGTTACCCGCTGCAAGACATTTCCAATGCCCTTAAAGTGTAGCGAGTCAGGACATTATCTAAGAACATGTCAGTAATGACACCAACCTTTATTGCCACCAATGCTACACTGGTTAGTTAGAGGCAAAATGATGATGATTGTGCATACACAATTGACGCCTTGATCTTAAGACTGATGACTCTACTTGCTGAGCCATCATTCCAACCTTAATGCTGCTTCCGCTGCTATGTATTTGTCAACATTGGTGGTTGTGACCAGCTGCTGTAAAGGGAAAACTAAAACGCGACATGTGCCTGCGAGCGTATTTGAAAAAAATTCACTGAAATGATTTCACCAAGCAGCTGCATTAGGTATACCAACCCGTCTTCATTGACGCCAACAACACCCACGCACAGCACCAATTCGGGAAATGAGCACGAAGGGTATATTGTACCTAACTATTCTTCCCAAACTAAACCACATGTACCAGTCCTAATCCAAGTATTCATGCAGAGTCTAACAAGAGCTTGTTGAATTTGGTAAAACTCACATTAGATACAGCCGCTCGTCATAGATTTCCGTACACGACCTCCCCATCGATGACAGTTGCTGTCACTTTGGCACTCAAGATATCCTCGATAGGCACCGTCATGATATCACGGTCCAAAACGACGAAATCAGCTTTCTTCCCGATTGAAAGCGAACCGAGAATATCCTCAGAGAAAGACGCGTATGCAGCATCGAGCGTCATGCCTTTGAGCGTTTCAGCGCGCGTGAGGCGCTCGGATGGGTACCTAGAAAAAGGGGGTAGTCAATGACTTTTGAATCAGCACGTTTGAAAGTATGCCAGAGTCTCACCATCCTCCAGGACCATGAGGCGAGTCGCCTGTTACAGAGAGGCGTGAAACAGCAGCATAGAAACCAAGAAGGGGGTTGATGCCCGCGACAGGGAAGTCAGAGCCAAGGGGTAAGACTCTGGTTGGAGACGCGCTGTGGGGTATCGGTACCAACTCAATACAAGGCAAGAACATAAAGTAACTTACTCGAGTAGAGCTCGATATGCAAACGCGCCTTTAATTCTCTTTGGACCCTATAGGCACCCAGTTTGATGTATTCTAGATAGATGAAAAAAAGGAACTTGCCAACCGATCCTCGGCATACCACATGTCGCTGGTCCTGTAAGACGAGATATGTCAGTCAGACGGTTGGCAAGGCCTATCGACTGACTCACGCATGGGTCGGTTGCACACTAGGTATCACTGGAATCCTATACCATCTACAACGTGAACGCGAAGTAAGAATCGGGCCTCTTACCACCTAACTTTCCAATTCGCTTGATATCATCTGGTGTCAAGATTTGCGCATGCTCAATACGAGGTCGCAAGGCGTCTATGGAAAACGAAGCGTTGGCAAGCATATCATCATAAATGTCAAGTACGACATGATTTGCCCGGTCCCCAATACAGTGGATATTCTGGTGGCAAGGGGTCAAATAGTTGAGCTAGTGCAAGGATGAAAAAAGATCACGAATATCGGGCACTTACAACTTGCCAACCATCGGTCGAAAACTCCTTTACCAGCTTTGCAAGCGCTTCCGGGTGCAAACGCATGGTACCGCTTGTTGATGGATTATCACTATACTAAAATCTTTGATATAAGCACGTTCATGCTTGAACGGTAACGTGAGCAGGTGCTCACAGGCTCAAACAGTGCAGCGCCGAATGAACCAAGCGCACCTATTTATTGAAGATGAATATAAGCACCAAACATCAATTCGAACAGAACCAACCATCTGCGAAAAGTTTGACGCTGCGTACTGTCAATCGTCCACCAAATCCGTGCTGGATCAGCCTTGGAATCTGACCTCCCCAGTAATCATCAGAGTTCACACCGCCCATGAGATAAAGCCGGAGCTGCTGCGTGTGTCAGTAAATTGCTACGCTCAAGTAAACAAAAAATTGACAGGTAGCTGCTGAGTCTCTGAGAGTCTGGAAAACAATTAATTCAATTTTTTTGGGAAAGCATGGGCCGCGTACTTCTTGTAAAAGTGTATTGCTTCTGGAGCAGAAAATGCGTCGTGCACGCTAGTCAGACCCACCGCGAGTGCGTCACTAGTAGCACGGGTGAAGTCCTCCATCGCGCGGGTCTCGTTGAAGGGTTGCGAGGGAATGAGAGCCATAGCATTATCAACGAATATTCCTGTGATTCCACATAGGTTTCAGACAAAGAGGTACCACCTCGAGAAAAAAACTCCTGAGGAAGAGAAACAAACCGGTGGGTTTTCCGTGCTCGTCGCGAATAATCACCCCGCCATCGATATCCTCAGGGAGGGGCGCCATGAGCTGCAGCACACGGTTGGATACCCAGGAGGCGTGAGCATCAATACGGGCCAGAGATATCCGTCGACCGCGAAGAAGTGGTTCCCTGTCAAAGTCGTTCTTTGGTGTTGTGAGGGGATGTGAAGAGAAAGCAAATAAAGATACATACAGCATGAGGATATTGGGCTCCACGCCATTTATTCTGGTCCCATCCCATGCCCTCTATCCATCGAGTGGGATCGCCCAGAATGTCAGGATGTGCTATAACATAAGCTTTCAAGTGGCTCAAGACGTCTTTCATGTCGCATCAGTAAATTGATGATAGACTACAGAAGTGAGTCGAAGCAAACCATCTACAGAGGTACAGTCTTCCAAGTTGAGATTCATCTTAAAACCATAATACAACACATGAGCATGTGCATCTTCATGGGTCAGGAGTGAGGACTCGAAATTTGATTCAAATTGGTGATTCGTACCAGTCAGGCCAGGAACTACAATACTGTCGGGTGGGATGTTTATCACTCTCGGAGATGGCTCGAGAAAATTGAATGGCCAAGGTAAGTGAATGACCCTTGCCAGTGGAATCTCTGACCACCATCGATCCCGCCAGCGTAAAGTTATGTCCTCTGTCACAAGCGCAGCGTGTGAGTTGAATGCATAAACAAGGCGACGTTGATTCGCGCGTACCTAGATCACCTGTGTCTGAAATGAGGGTATCATGCACGAAGATGCATTGAACATTGGGAAGATCTGAGTCGACTGTGTAGATTGTGCGATTGGCAGAACAGACTGCATAATCTAAAGAATGGGGCTCATGTTTGAGCCAAGTCAAAGTCCCTCCTGCAGCTCCCAGCGCAACCGACAGTGCGAGGGGCCACGATCTAGCCCACCAGCTTCGATTCTGAGGTGAATTGGTACTACTACTAGTAGTCTGCCCACTGGCGCTCGCCGGCTTGACCAGGGGTGAAGAAGAACCCATGTCGTACGAGAAAAAGCGAGTTGGGATTCATGAGGGTATACACGTCTAACATATATATAGGGCCAGGTGAAATTGACGCGGCCTGCCGCCGCCGTGACGCGCCGTGACGGGGCATGTGTGACGCGGCACTGTAACAAATTCATCATGTGCACACAACTTCATATCGCATTCCAAACACTTTGAATCATCATTAAAATATTAATGATCAACATATGAGTGTCTACAGTCTGCCTGCGTACAGGCTCTATAGTGCTGTATTCACCTCTCACCAAATTTACAGTACTTGTCCTCTGCGTTCATACTACTAGTATGCATCTTGCGCGTCAGTCCTATATTGTTGCATTACCTCTAATTCGTTCATCTATGTTGATTTTCATCAGACGCAGTGTGACATGCCAAGTGTTGTCTCACTGCGTCAAGCCTCGACCTCACCCTGCCAAGTTCGATCCACTCTCTATACCCTGCATCACCACGTCAAGCCCCAACCATGCATGTCAGACTTCTAGCCTCATTTAGGCTGGGTCGAGCACCACTCACACCACGACAAGTTCTCCCAAATATCTTCGCAGTCTCTGTACTAATATCAACATTCACACTCTATGCCGCGTCAATGCCACGTCAAACCTCCTCCATGCCGCGTCAGTGCCACGTCACATGCGCGTCACGCCGCATCAAACCTCACCACCTCAACTGTCACACTGTCTTGATTCTGCTACCAGCATCTGCCGCACCTTCGTTGCTGTGTTATCTGCCTATCTTCGATCTCCCTCGCTGTCTGCTCTCGACATGTTCATATTTTCGATGCGCTCTGCTGTCTACTTCCTTTCTGCTTGGCTCTCGATGTTCGTGATGCGCTCAGCTGTCTATTTCCTTTCTGCTCGGCTCTCGATGTGTTTTCAAGGTATACCCATCGATTTCCCTGTATTTCCAGCTGTTTTCGTACCAATTGTATTCCACCACCAAGCAATCAAAGCATATTTGATACCTTTTGAGCATATTCTGGGAGGACAGCGCGAGTGTGCGTGAATATGCCTAGATGTGCGCAATGTCAAAGAAGCACAAGAGAGCACATGGGGCACTGCCCCGTCTTATAGAAAATATGCTGTCAGTCCGGATCTTGACTCGGAGCGAAATGCGTGAGTATGTGCGCTGTCTCTTCAACGTGCATCTCAACATATTCAGCCCTATTCGGGCATAGCCAATTCTCACTGGAGGTGAAGAAGAACCCATGTCGTATGAGAAAAAGCGAGTTGGGATTCAAATATTTATGTTTCACTCTTTTATGGCAACCTAAAGCACTGCGCTTATTATTTGCGCTGATACATATACTGCAAATTGCCTGTAATGCCACTTTGGACGGAATTCAAGTACTCTATTCACGTTGGCACGGTGAGCATCAGTGGCTGCAAATTATTGACGACCACCTTTTACTGTGCAAGCAGCTAGGAGACCATATGCCCACTGCACTACGACAGTAAATCCTAACACTAGAAGCAGTGTTTCTTTGTAGAAGGTCGCCCAGGATGAGGAAAAACCATTTTTATTCACAGCCTTATCCGTTGCGTTACGTGCGTACTGCGTAGGGCAAATTGTGCTGATCGTCGGGTCACCAGTCTACTACGTGCAACGACTGGAGGACCTTGGCGTGAATGCGCACACAGAGGACGAAACAGTTGGTTCTGCGGAGGCATTTCCGTGACTCCCATGTGCGCGCTCCACCTGCACTCCACTGCTCCTGTCAGTCTGCGCGCCGTCCGTGTTTGAGTCCCACCCTTTGCGATGCGGAAAATGGAACCGCTTCAAGTTACTGGGACGATCCGGTGACGGAATAACGTTGGTGGTGGATGAATCTGTTTATCATATCCTTGGTCTGAGTTTGAGCAAACTTGCCCTTCAAGATATGCTACTCGTTGTTTCCATCTTTACATACATCCGAAGGCGAACGAATTGCTTGCTTATGTACTTGGAAGTAGTATGACACATAGGTGAAGCGCCGGAATGTACATTATATTATGGTGTTGAAAGTCTGTGTATATAGGCTGAACTCAAGGAAGCTTGCCATTCAGACTCATCTGGCTGGCCTTGCCTGCGCACTATGTGGCATCGGCTAGCGCTTGTCATCGAAGTTCGACCCCTCAGCTTTGAGTTCAGCATGGCCTATCTTTTCTAACTTCCCATCGAAATCGCGCTTCCGATATCCTGACACAATACGTTCGAGCAGTTCCGAAGTAGACACGCCGGGTGTACGTCGGGTAGGAATAAATTTACCTGAATATGTCAAACTTTCGAAGAAGTAGGGGGAAAAGAAAGGGAACAGACCTAGTGCCTTTACAAATGCGTAGACATCATCGTGACCGCCCGACACGTACGGGAGTTCGTCATGAGCAACGTAGTCGATATTCCACTTATCGATGAAAGCTTGGTCCAGAACCCATGGGCAGTCGGGAATGACCTCATCGACCCAGCGACAGTGTCGCACAGCCTCACAGCTATATCAGTGTGATTGAGTATTCAGTTGTGGAGAACTAGCGCATCATACCGTTCAGCATGTGTCATCACACAGCGTGCTTTATGGGCGATGACGTCCTCATCGGAATTAACACCAACGAGTAAATGTACAGATGGAAAAGACAACTTGGCTTGCCGTAATTGCAGGGCATGACTGGCTCAAAGATCAATATCCTTACACAAAAAGGGAGGGACGAATATACCCAAAGTGAAAGAGATCATATACTCCTAATACGAATTAGCACAAAGTCTGTTAAAATTGAATTGACACTTACCATCTGCAAAAACTCTAACAGGCCGATTTAGTGGTGGTTGGTTAATCTTGTAAGATCTAGAGGATTGACCCTCGGTCGCCTCGCGTATGAAGGCCTGGATATGTTCGGGAGTGAGGGCAGCAGGGTTAAACGTAGATGTTGCTTCAGCGGTAGGCATTGGTTCATCGGGTGCAAGGGCAGCAGGTTTCACAGACGGTAGCACATCATCGATTTGAGAGGTCAATGTTGATGCGGATGAAGAATGCTGAAGAGTAGGATGTAGCGCCTTGCTGAAGGGATGTGAACCGGCTGCTGCAGTAACACTGCTCTCTACATCGCCATCATATGTTTGGGAATCAGTGCCATCATCTGAGAGCATGCTGGAGGCTAGCTGATGACGAGCACGAGATACTGCCTTTAATTGAAAGGGGGTTTTAGCTAAACGAGAGACGGTTGGAATGGACATGGAAGAGCCTCCATCATCAGTACTGAGAGGGTCATTATCTTCTTCTGACCTGAAAACGGGGTAAACCATATGGTCAAGGAAATAAAAAAGAAGTAGTACTTGCGCGTCATAAGTAGGAGATTCTGTTGAATGATGCTTTGCGAACGAACGCTTCGAATGCAAAGTCTTTTTATGATGATGAAACGATTCAGTAGACGAATCCATGATCGTACGTTGGTACTGAGTCGGAGATGATATATATTTGGCCAACTGCGATATCAATGTAGAGCACGTGATTATTTATTTATTTCACTTATGTAATTACAGGCGTGGGAATGTATACGTGTCATTTGCGTGTCCTTTGAAAGACATAAATACATCGGAGCTGGTTCAACAATTGAGTACCAACTTACTTCTCTTGTGACAACAATGTCTGGCCGCCCGTCTCGCGCCAAGTCATGGCGTATGGCGTCTTCTCTCTCTCTCTTTTTCCTTGCTTTCCTCGCTCTATTTTGTTTCTCTCCCGCTGTCACAGCGAGTTCGAACAGTGAATACGGTACGGTGATAGGTATAGGTAAGCGTAATGCACCGCGTCATTCGTTTCACATTACTAACTTCCTTATTCGCAGACTTGGGAACAACTTATTCGTGTGTCGGCGTTCAACGCGGTGGTCGTGTCGAAATTATCGCCAATGACCAGGGTCATCGTATAACACCCTCATGGGTCAGCTTTACTGATGATGAGCGGCTGTAAGTTTTCGTTTCGCAACCCAGGAAACCATGACTGACTTATTCCTATAGAGTTGGTGATAGTGCCAAGAACGCGTTCCATTCAAATCCAACAAACACCGTTTTCGACGCTAAACGTCTCATCGGCCGGAAGATGGACGACTTGGAATTAAAGCGTGACATGAAGCACTTTCCCTTCAACATCGTTGACAAGGGCGGCAAACCAGCCATTTCAATCGGTTACAAGGGTGACACACGCCAATTTGTGAGTCATTGAAATCAGACTTCTGAATATCTCGCTGATTAGGTTCTTTAGACTCCGGAAGAGATTAGTGCCATGATTCTAACAAAGATGAAGGAGACCGCGGAGGCTTATCTCGGCGAGAAGGTCACCCACGCAGTAGTAACTGTCCCCGCATGTAAGCCAGCAATGCTGACCTGACCTTCATTCGCTTATGAACGTTTTGTTGTCAAGATTTCAATGACGCTCAGCGTCAAGCCACGAAGGATGCTGGTACAATTGCTGGGTTAAATATTCTTCGTATCATCAACGAGCCCACTGCTGCCGCTATCGCATATGGTCTTAACAAGAAGGGTGGCGAGTCTCAAATTATCGTCTACGATCTTGGAGGAGGAACTTTCGATGTTTCTTTGCTATCGATCGACGACGGTGTCTTCGAGGTCTTGGCAACTGCCGGTGATACACACCTTGGTGGTGAGGATTTCGACAACCGTGTCATCGACTATCTTGTCAAACAATACAAGAAGAAGACCGGTACTGACGTCACTAGCAACCTTCGCGCCATGGGCAAGCTGAAGCGTGAGGTCGAGAAGGCTAAGCGTACTTTGTCGAGCCAGCAGTCAACCCGCATCGAAATCGAGTCTTTCGAAGATGGCAACGACTTCTCAGAGACACTCACTCGCGCTAAATTTGAAGAGCTTAACATGGATCTGTTCCGCAAGACTATGAAGCCTGTCGAACAGGTCCTCAAGGATGCGAAGATCAACAAAGAGGACGTTGACGAGGTGAGACGTCTGACGGCAACCATATTGATACCGTCTAACACGGTTGCAGGTTGTCCTTGTTGGTGGTTCAACCCGCATTCCCAAGGTTCAACAACTCCTGAAGGAATATTTTGGCAAAGAGGCATCAAAGGGTATCAATCCCGATGAGGCTGTTGCTTACGGTGCTGCTGTCCAGGGTGGTATCCTTTCCGGTGAAGAGGGTACCGAGGACGTCGTCTTGGTGGATGTCTGTCCTTTGACACTTGGTATTGAGACCACTGGTGGCGTCTTCACCAAACTCATTCCTCGTAACACTGTCATCCCCACTCGCAAGTCGCAGATGTAAGTCCTTCTGTTCTTGCGAGTGAATACAACATACTGATAATCTGTCAAGCTTCTCAACGGCTGCTGACAACCAGCCTACTGTTCTCATCCAGGTCTTCGAGGGTGAGCGATCTTTAACTAAGGACAACAACCTTCTCGGCAAGTTCGAACTTTCGAGCATTCCCCCTGCTCCTCGTGGTGTTCCTCAGATCGAGGTCACATTCGAGATCGACGCCAACGGTATTATGAAGGTCGGTGCCGCTGACAAGGGAACGTAAGTCAATGGTTCTTCGTCAGTGCTATAAGACATTGACCGGGCTCTTAGTGGTAAATCCGAGTCAATCACGATTACGAACGAGAAGGGTCGTCTCTCTAAGGAGGACATTGAGCGCATGGTCCGCGAGGCTGAAGATTTCGCCTCAGAAGATGAAGCTAATCGCAAGCGCATTGAGTCCCTCAACGCCCTGTCCTCGTTTGTCTACGGACTCAAGTCACAACTTGGTGACCAGACAGGCCTTGGCGGCAAGATCGACGACGATGACAAGAAGACTATCCTCGCCACCATCAAGGAGGCTACGGAGTGGATTGATGACAATGGTCAGAGTGCTACCACTGAGGAGCTCGAGGAGAAGCTATTGGAGATTCAGAACGTTGTCAATCCCATCACAAGCAAGCTCTACAGTGGAGGAAGTGCAAGCGAGCCCGAGGATGATGAACCATATTATGACCATGACGAGCTGTGAGGCGGTCGTAGTGGGGATTTAATCCCGATAAAAGTTGTATGTCAGTATCAGTAACATAGAGTCACTTATTTCAATGGACGCACCCCATCCTCCTGTATCGTCTAGCCGCAAATGTGTGACGAACTGGTTGCGAAGCATATGGTGCATCTCTTGATAAATAATGTCTATGTTTTCAATGTGCGCGTTATATTTTAGTGATAGCGTGCATAATCTCGACAACGTCGTACGATACCAAGGGTACCGGTAAATGACCTCCTTGATTACTACATTGTTAGAACCGTGGTGAAAGTACAATTGGCCAGTAAGTGCATTGCGATGATGGTATTACGAGAACGAGTCGAGGAGCTCTATACAACTTTATATTGACTCTATACGTTCCGATACTCGAAGGCAGGGCTTCCAGGCTCGGACGACTCTATGATGGTGCGCGTGAAACCAGGACCTTCTCTCTGCAATGCCTCCTCAACGGAGAAGACTTCCACATCTTCCAGACTCAAAGACTTTTTCAGATATGGCAGCAATTCCTTCAGAATCTCAGACTCAGAAAACAACAATGTTCTCCGGAACGCAGCATCGACACCGATTTCTGACATTCGTTTCTGCGTTTCGAGATGAGATGAGCCAATAAAGACGGTGATAATATATCCTTACCTTGAACGCCTGGATGAACGGCATAGCGCGCTTGTCCTTGATCAACCCTTTCTCTATCAGGATATCGCGCACTTTCGCATCGTCCACCTTATCGTCCGGGCTCGAGTACGAATCCTTGACAGCCTGCACGCACGTGTCCTGCCACTCAGGGAACTTGGTCGCAACATAAATCCGAACGGCCTTGGGTTTCTTGGGGTTGAACAACGCATTTTCGACGCCCTTGCCTTTCTTGCCCTTCTGCAACCTCTTCAACAACGTTATCTCAGCATCACGGATCGTCTTCAGTGTTCCACGCATGTACACGCCTGTCTCAACGATTGACCTGTCCACGGTGCGCTCTGGGTCTGGCCACAGCGCCAGCTGTATGGACCGAGGCTCCTTTAACAGCTCTGTCCAAATATGCTCTGCGAAGTGAGGAGCAAAAGGCGTGATCATCAAGGTGGCAACACGAATCCAGTATTTGACCAAGTCTGCGTGCATCCCGATATCGGCGGTAACTTCTCGGTACCAGTCACGGGCACTCTGCAACTCGTAGAAGCCAAACTTCAGAGCATCCTTGAAAGCAGTTCTAACGCAGAAAACTGAGACCACGACAAAGAGCTAAAGTTGGATAGAACTCACGCGTCGTAATGACCCTTTGTAATGTTGATCAGGTCGACAATCTCCTCCTCGAACACGTGATCATGATAAGAGCTCTTGGGACCAGTGCGGAGGTTGGACTCATCCTTAAACATTTCCTAAAGAAATTGTTAGTAGATCGTCTCGCAGAGAGCGAAATTCATATACCTCACACCATGTCATCAACGTATGCAAACGCAGGATGTTTGCATTGGCAGTCTTTTCATCGAAGTTGGCATCTTCTACGCCATCACCAGCATCCGCCAACGACAAACGCATCGCATCAGCACCAAATTTCAGCACGCCTTCCCTCAGCGTCAGTGAGTTGCCTGTGCTCTTCGACATCTTCTTGCCATTCAGCATCAGATGACCATTCGTGCGGATGCCCTTGGGCCACTTTTCCTCTGGAAAGATTGCGGCGTGGTTATAAAGTAAGAACGTCAGATTGTTCTGGACCAAGTCCTTGCCGGAGGAACGCATATCGAAGGGGTAGAAGTAATTGAATTCGTGCTTCAATGCGTCGGCTTTGTCCTTGGGGAATGGCTCTGAGTCTGGCCATGGTCCGTTGCAGAAGACGTATTCCCAGGCCTCATCCGTCATCTGCTCGGCGCTGACGCCCAGAGGCCCAGGTGTCCGACCAAAGATATCACCACCTGAGTGAATGTGATCAGTGAGATGATAGAAGTTAGTTCTAATACCTACCGTGCAACAAATGTGCAACTGTGTAGTATGCCATGTAGATAGTCGAGTCACTCAAACTTTCAACCATAAATTGGGGATCCCAAGGTAACTTGGACCCCAGGCCGTATGTCCGGGCACACGCCCACTGATTCAGCCATGCCAAGGTGGCCTCGAACAAGTTCCGAGTCTCGACCGTCCATGTCTCCATCTTTGCCAGTAACCTGAAGTCCAATTGTAAGCAGAAGAAAAGAAAAGATACGAAATACGAGCCTCTCGGCCTGTGATCTCCAAACAGGTTCGCCGTAATCCATATACCACTGGTCCATCAAGGCGACGACGCACTCATCTGCGCTGCGCGAGATGACCAGGTTCTCTGGTTCGGCGTATGCGAAAGCCAATCCTTGTTCGATCATGCTTGCGCGCACTTTGGGCTTCGCTTCTTGAACGGTCAGACCCTTGAACTCGCCGACCAACATCACTCCACTGTAGAAACCCTCCTTGTACGCGATTTCCTTCGCCTCTGCCAGCTGCTTGACATCTTTCTGCGACTGAATTTTCAGCTTCTCTACTAAGCGGGGCGCAGTCAGCTCGCCATAGGTCGGAGTCGTTAGCACGGGAATCGGATCAATGGATACCCATTCGCGATCGATCTTGTAAAATTCAGGCTTCTTGCGAAGATCGCTGACAGTTGCGAAATCATCGGGTGAATCTGATGGTACAGAAGTGACGACACCGGTACCCTAAGACAATGTCAAAAGGGTCTACGGTGCTATGACAACTGAACGACTGACCTTCGTAGCCAAAACATTATCCATAGGCAGTACAAACACCTCAGGAGCCAATCCAAATGGTGCTTTGATCTTGGTACCGACCAAGGCCGCACCATCTATCTCCAACAGCTGTTGAGTCTGGCCGCGCTCAGGCGACAGACCTTGGAAAGTCATGTTACGGGCTGCACGATATGTGCATACAAATGCTTCTGTATCGTTGATCGCGAAGACGCCATATTTTATAGAGGTGCCAACGAAGCAATTGGTTTGGCCATACCTGTGGATGTACTAAGAAACAATATTAAGATGGATATGAGAATACAGACATGGTCTCGGGACGCAACGTAGCAGCCACCAAAAATACTTTCCGACCATCGACTTTGCTTTCAATGGCCTTCGCAGTTGGACTCCATTCTACGACCTCCATCTTGACGCCAGTGTACTCTTGGGGGTTAACACCTTCACCGTCGGATCGATCATGATCCATACAAGGCTGTCCGTCTTTGGGGCTGTAGATCGTGTATCGCTCCCCGAACTTGACTTTTCCCAATGCGTGTAATTTATTCATTTGCCATCGAACGAACGAATCGTAGTAAGGGTTCAGGTCGGTTGTGACAAATGAACGTCTCCAATCGATACGATTTCCCATTGCGTTGTTATCCTCCTGTAGTACAGAAATGAAGAAATGGCAAAATGACCGAGGATCTGTTTGCACACCTTGCAAATTGGAGGAAAGTGTTTCAGCCAGTGATGGGGATCTGCGAACTTTTTGATTTCCGTGCGCGGGACGCCGATTGACAACATGATTTGGAACTGGTAAGTCAGTCCCGTGGATTTTGCAGCAATCTTGCCCTTCGTGGCTTTCCCTACTGCTGCTGAAGGCGCGGCTGGGCCGTTTGGAGCTGTTTTTATTGGTTTGTTGTCTTGCGCCTCTTCATCAAATCGTTCAAATTCTGGGCCGAACATCTCCATCTCACGAATTATCTTGTCAGCAGCAGCCTGTCCGAGAAATCAGAAATCAGATCAACAATCTCCAAAAGCCTGGCATCACTCACTTTGATCGGCATACCCGTTGCATGCAAACCATGAGGAAATAAAACACGCTTGCCCAATAATCTCTGGTATCCGGCAGCGAATTCGATTTTCGAGATGGTAAACGCGTGTCCCAGATGTAAAGAGCCATTCATGTATGGGTAAGGGAAATTGCCAAACCACTTGGGGTATTTATCCTGAATTTCGGCAGATGACAAGCCCTTCAGCTCGTCGGGTGAAGGGGCATTAACTTCGAATATACCCTCCTCCTGCCATTTCGTTTGATATTTCTTTTCAAGTTCTATGAGACGATCGCGTTTGCCCGTCTGTTATGCATCCGCCTTGTCAACGGGGGGAGTTCAACATGGAACGATAGGGAACAAACCTGGACCAACTCCATAGTGTTCGCCATGATGTATGAATTTCCTCGCGTATAGCGCCGGAGTGGGCGACTCGCAAGTCGCAGAATTGTTGTAATAGATATGATGATCAGTAACTATATAAGTAGCTCACTCAAGTTTTTTGATTAGCCAGTCACAGCTTCCGGAATCCGGAAGGAGTGAGTCAAGATCTTAGTATGTAGTTTCGGACCAAAATGCGGGAAAACGCTACTTTCACTACAAAACCATGCAAACGGTCAGCTGACAGTACTCAGTAAGTAGTTAGACTCGTGACCAGTCCGTCTAGTGTTTCAATGAACCTTTTCTCTTGACAAGGGACAAAGCTTCGTCGCATAAGCGCAGTCGTTTACTCAAAACGTCACAGTAGCGCATCACTCGGGGAGCTTCTCGATATCGATGAGCTCCCCCAGTCTTATTCACAATATGAGAAAGTGGTGCTAGAACGGTACTGCAATGCAACACGTAATGCAGACTATAGAAACGTGATATCAAGAGAAAAAAGAAGAAACAGTATAAGCGTGAACACGAACAGAACGCGTATATGGACACTGGTTAGTATCAATAACACATACGTACAAAAATAGAGACTAGGCAGAAAGCACCCTTTACGCGTTCACCTACTGCCAGTATTGGCGACCTGGCTGGTATGGGTAGAAATTGCCTTCTGAATTAGCCTGCACCTGCGGGTACTGTCCTCGCACGCCGCGGCCTGCAGGTTGCTGTTGCACACCAACCCCTTGCCCTGAATCTTTGCGGTAAGATGCCTCAGGCGACCCGCTCTGTGCAGCTACTCCCCGACCCAAAAACCCCTGTCCATGTCCGTACAATTGCCTCTCACTGGATGTATGGTGATTGTTTTGCGTCTGCTGCTGCTGCGGGGGCTGGTGGTACCCAATATCATCGGTATACCCGCCAAATCCGCGCTGCACGCCCGCACCCATACTCAACCCGTCACTCTGTTTTGCGGGCTGGTGTTGATGCTGAAACATTGCTGGCGGAGTAGGAGCAGGGTACTTAACAAAGGGTGTAGGGTAACCTTGGTTGTAGGGACTGCCATAATACTGGTTTTGAGGATACGGATAAAAGTAGGGCATCGGCGGGGCGTAGGGTTGCTGTGTGCTTGCGGCAGCAGGTTGCGACGACTGAGATGTAGAGGGAGGGATAACCGACGAGGGGGGTTGTGAATGTTGGTGCTGGTGTTGTGAGGTAGGAAGACCCTTGACATCATCATGACCTAGGACATTACGATTGCCGCCAAACCCTGGAGATTGCGCATAGGAGTCATAAAAACCTTGCTGCACTTATAATCAGAACACAAGATACAACAAGCCGGAACAGTGTACTGACACGTTGATTGTCACCATAGTATTCACTACCTCCAAAGCCGCTCAAGTGGCTACCTTGCGATTGGTGCTGCTGATGCTGCGTCCCAATCTGCCCAAAGGGACCCATACCACCACTCATGGATGCACTGTAGTCCTGCTGTTGAGGAGGCGTTGGTGCATTGAAGTATGGTGCATCTTGCCGGAAGTACGCCGCGGACTGGGCCTGCACCTGCTGGGCAGGGCTGTATTGTTGAGACTGCGTTTGCGGGCTGTCTAAGTGCAAGTGGGCAGCATACGGCTGAAGTTGTGGTAATTGCTGAGGTTGGTGCTGGGGTTGATGCTGAGGCTGGTGTTGAGGCTGGTGTTGAGGTTGATGCTGCGGCTGCGGCTGCGGCTGGTGTGGCGGCTGGTGCTGATGTTGATGCTGAGGCTGGTGCTGCGGCTGCGAGGGAGGCTGCTGGGTGAAGCTGGTGCTCGACGGCGGAAGTGTAGGAAGGGACATCGAAGGTGCAAGAGCATGTTGAGGTACCTGTGGGATTGGTGCTGTAGGTTGGGGAGGTACAAATTGAGTTGTTTGCGAAGGTGGAAGAACAGGCTGCACTGGAGGCGGGAGAACAGGCTGCGAGGGAGAAGTAGCGATAGAGGTGGCGACAGACGGTGCAGGCGCGGGAGTGATCTGTTGAGGTTCTTGTTGCTGAACAGGTGCAGGAGGCGCAAGAGGCGAGAGTGGCTGTGTGGCCTGCTGTGGGGATGGCTGCTGTTCAACTACGGAAGGTTCGACGCTGACCAAAGATATCAGTTGATGATCCTCATATCAGTTCTAAATTTTGACTCACGGCGTGGGCTCGATGACGTCTCCACCAAGACTCAAACTTCCAAACTGCATGCCTACTTTGTCCAGGCCAGGAGTGAAACTAGTCGACAAAGGCATGACAACAGCTTGATCGATGCCCTTGTACTTGCTACGAACCGCGGGCCGCGAAGAAAGAGATACAGGTGATTTGGACCGAGTAGGTGCATCCTGCTTTTGAATTTGGGTCGGAAGAGCTGACACGACAGCCACAGGCTCGGGTGCGAGAGCAGCGGGTTCCTCCTGTACTGCAGTAGGGGGCTCTGGTACGGGTTCTGGCTCCGACATCGATAGAGGTTGAGAAGCAACCCAAGCGTCCACAGGGGGTTGGTGTTGGGTTTGGTGTTGAGGCTCATCATCCCATTCAGGAGGCTGGACGGTTGTAGGATCCTCCCAACCTTCAGATACTGGTTCTACATTGCCATTGAGAGCTGGTGGAAGAGGAGCGTGTTCAAAGGCTGATTCGGGTGCAGGGGCGATAACTGATGGTAAAGGAGGTGCAGGGGGTGACGCTGCGACGAGTTTCTCTTGTGGTCTGCGCACAAGTAATGATTAGCTGTGGAAGATCAAACTAAATTCTTAATCGATGCGCACTTTGCAATCTGAGCCCAGGAAAGTTTGGAAGTTGCCGGCAGTTTAGCAGATGATATAGGAGGTTTGGACACAGTAGCCACATTACCCCAGCCAGTATTAGCACCCCACGGAGCAGAAATTGTGGGCTGCGATTGAGCAGGAGCCGATTCAGCAATGGTAGGCTCTGAAGGCCAGGTCGTAGCTGTAGTCAATTCATTTGCATCCTGCGCAACACTCCAACCTCCATTCAACTCTGGCTTATCAACAGCATGTTCAGTGAGATCCTCAACCTGCGCTGGCTTGTCTTCGGGAGCGGGGGCAGAAGATTTGGCACGAGAAGAAGTATGACCATTGACTGCAGGTGCACCCCGTGCGCCACCTCGACCACGACCGCCTCTACCAGAACCACCGCGTCCCCCGCGTCCACCTCGACCGCCGCGCGAGTCACTACGTGAGATGTTTGGGTCCTTTGACGGTGCGTGCTGAGCTACAGGAGTCTTCTTGTCCTTTTTGCGCGTAACTGAACCCCATTGTTCTGCGTGCCCTATGGGTTGTTACGGAATTAACAAAACCATGACAAGAAAAATGCAAAAACGAATACGACATACCTTCACTGATTCGAGTGACTGCAAGCTCAAGATCACCGCCGACCTCATTGAGGAGAGACTGGAGATCTGAAAGTATGGATAATTAACGAAACGTCATGTTGTAAAATAAGGACGCACCTTCATTTGACCAGGCAGGGAATAGTTCTTGGAGTGTTGGAACTTGAGGGTGAAATTTTGATTCCGAGGGATCAGAGGGCAGTTTGTTTCTGAACGCGGCTGATTTATATGAAGACATATTCAACAAGGACGGACAACGACGACGAGACTGACGAGCAAAAGGTAAGAAGGACTGGTGGAGTTTGAAAATTCTAAAATACTAAATTATCCGGTCATAACATCCAGTAGGACACCACCTATAAGGGGGTCGATGCGGAAGCACATTTAGGATGATAGTCATGTACCTAGTAGTTTATCTGTCACAGATGTCAGACTTGGGAGAAAACTAGATGAACAGATAGAGTTACGGTAAGGTCCCCTCCATTATATAAATCTGTAACAGGCTGTATAGATATACTTGTACACTTCTAGTTGTTGGTACACTCTTGTACAAATATTACTTTTTATACAATAATTGAAATTTACACAGATTTCTACAGGAAGTATACTCTTTAAGGTTCACTTTGATGTGATTTGGAGGAAACAATAACATTATCAGAAATGTTAGCTATGAGAAGTGAACTGGGATGACAGGATTGGTGATGGGTTTTTGGGTAAAGGCATGCAGTGCTTTCTGGCCTTAGGGAAAGACCTAGATAGACTAAGAGAGTTGAGCTTTAATTCTCAAGTACTAATGGGAGTCCTAGTGATGTTCCAGCTCAGCTTAGGCTCAAAGCCCCAGCTTAAGCTCGGCCTGGGGGGACTTAGGCTCACCAGATTTCAAGCCTGAGCCATGAGCCCAAGCCAGCCCAAAGCTGGGGCTTAGGCCCATATAAGCCGCAGCCCATATGCTAAATGGCTTGTAATCAATGTCCGAGCTCCATCATGCCATTCCCAATACCACGAACACCATGTGTAAACGCCTAGCACACATCAGCAACTGCTGATGTGGCTCAGACAAATATGGATGGATGAGAGCAGGAGAAGGGAAGAAGACAAGGAGGAGAACAAGAACAAGAGAGAGGAGATGGACGGGACGAGGACATTGGTAGTGTCTCCTGGATCAGGCTGCATTCCAATGATAAAGGTGGAGTTGACCACTGAGAACAGACCAGCCTAATACAACTGTGAGACTTGGATTGAGATACATAGAAATGGGACTTAAAGTAAAATTCTAGATTCACTAAAGCACTCAGTACAAGATGGGCTAAACATTCTAACAAGATGGAGACAGCTGGCATTAGTATCGGAGCTTGAATACCAATGCCTGCTGTTCGCCAACATGTCTGCCATTCTGCAAGACTGAAAGTGGACACTCAAACTCACCTAAAGGCAATGAACTTACCCCCACCCCCCATCCATCTGGATCCTGTGGAAGAGGGAAATCTTGAGGACATGGGTCCAATCCCCCTCATAATCAGACTCCTAGGACTGCTGGACTGAAGATTATCGTCCATTGGACGAGACCTGCAGATCTCCACCGCACAGACGCTCGCACACTATTCTATGAGGGGAAAAAATTGGCCCCTTCCAGCAATGAGGAGCATCCTTCTGGAAAGGACAAAGGGGAGATCCATCGTATCTTGGCGAAACTGATCTTCAAGACCGACTCAGACTATTCAGCAGCATATGCTGAGGATCCAAAGAAGTTTGACATAGTGGTGGGCAATCACATCGTTTTGTAAGTAGTCTACTGCTCAGACTTGTAGCTACTAATTTAATTCTTAAAAGTCTTAAAAAGTCTTTCAAAGAGCAACTCGACAAATTCAACAAGACCAGTGCTGGTGTCACCCCGCTTGATGAAAATATAGCCATCAATCTACATAGTGAGTGTTTTTTTTTGCTGTTTGTTTTTTTGGCTTTAATTGATTTAATTTATTTTAAGAACAAGTCTTACTTGAGTTCCTGTGGTACGACCAACTTCACCCCTTTCTGTTCTCTAACCCAACAGTCAGCGCCAAAATATTCACCTCCCAGCTGGGAGTCAACTATGCTACTGATTTCTACAACCTCATTCATCCATATGGGGGGGCTGGTCCCTCTATGAACCAAGAACCTCAGCACCCTCCCACGCATCCTCAGTTCTCTCCTATGCAGTCTCAATTCCCTCCAAACTCTCAGCTCCTGCCTCCAGACCCTCAACTCCCTCCCGCACAGCCTCAGTTCCCTCCTGCACAGCCTCAGCTCCCTCTCCCAAGCCCACATAACATTAGCAATCAGTACACTCCCCCATATGTCCCCTCTTCACAGCCCTCCTCATTACACTGGTGCTGAAGGCAATCTAATTGACGATCCGGATGGTGACCTCTATGGTGACCCTTATGCTGATGAGGACGAGCTCGGCCCTTTCTCTGCCCTCCTCAGCAATGCACTTGATACATTGGATGGGGACGTCAATATGCATGACGATGACAGGGAGTTCAACTCCCATCATGACTTCATCATCCTCAACAGTCCCTCAAAAGTAGTGAGACATAAATGACAGTATACAGCTTCTCCTTCTCCCCCTCCTGCCAAATCAAATTCTTTTATTCTCTCATGGAAGTCTCAGACACCTGCATACCACAGTTGCATGACATTTGGTTCTGCTTCGCCTTGCAGCCAAGCACCAGGCAGACTATCCTCATTCATTTCACCAGTGGCCATGTTGCGCAGCCACTCCAGTCCCGCATCCACAATATCCTTGTTGCCCTACATGTCATCTGACTATTATGTATTACCAATGGCATCCCAAACATCATTGTCTACAAAGCCATGGAGCTCCACAAGCTCAAAGAAGAAGAAGACCTCAATGATGGACGTGGAGGACCACCTTGGCATGCTCAACAATAAGATCTCAAACATCCAGAGTGACATGTCCGAGCACTGAGGATTGAGAAATGAGCACTATGCCATCAAGATGCATTACCAATCCCAGAAGAAGAAATTCCAGTGGCACCACAAGTCTCATTTGCAAGAAGTCCTCCTTTTAGCCACTGTACATCAATGTGAGCAGGAGGCCAAGGACAAGGAGATCCTCTGCCTTCAGGCTGCAGCTGCCTTGCAGGAAAAGGAGGCTGAGACTTGGTGCCTCAAGATCCAATATCAAAGCATGATGATACATGCTGCAGGTAAAGATGTTGATCCCTCGTCGTTATCGCCATCAGTTTGAATGTGTGTTGTCATTGTCATGTTTTTTTGTCTTTGTTGTCACTTGATTTTGCTACATACATTTTACATACATTTATTGAGTCTCTTGTAGTAGTACATGTATCTTCTGATTGCTAATGTGAGGTTGTTTTAAGTTATCCATCCCTGTGTTCAGCTCTTGAGTGAGGACTGTCAAACAGTTGATCCATCATCCTCAAACGAGAAGCTTGCCCTGGAGTACCCTCATATAACTTGTCACCCACAACTTCATCTCCATCAGGATCTTTAATCTCTTGGGTTGCAAATTCTCTGGCCTCCCGTTCAGCCCACCTTTGAGAATGACAGAATTTTGGATTCTCCTGGCAATAGTGAGCTTCAAATCAGATGATCATGTTATGCAAGATGATGCAACACATAATCCAGTGGACAGCAATCTGAAGCTCTCAGAGGGACTGGAACCACCCCTTAAGAGCAGCAAAGGCATGCTCAACACAGACACGAACTTAAATAAAACAAAAATCAATAACAAAACCATCACAAAAATCACAAAAATATGAGCACACCATGGAAAAATTATAATTAAATGTCTTCTGGTCCTTGGTCAACCTTCCATTGCAGGGCTTTTTGAAAGGGACTATGCACCACTTTTCAAGTGGGTATGCACTCTCAGCCCAAATCCAGTGGTTATCTGGAAGAAGGGCTTCATGCTGTTGATAGAGATGAGTTGATCAGAAAGCATAAGCATCATGGACACTTCCAGGATGACCAAGAGCATAATCAACAATGACAAGGTTGTGAGGCATAACAACTGCCTAAAAATATTTAATTGTCAATCATAAAGGGAGAGAAAAAAATACCTGACAGCCAAGAGAATAGTTAGATTTCCTATCATAAAATGTCTCACAAAAATGGGCAGGTTTGGCATAAAGGTCAACTATAGTGCCATCAATAGCTAGAATGCCATTGCGCCACTCAGAACAAGTTTTGACTCAGCATATTGCTAAGCAAGCTCAGCATCCTCTGAGTCAGTATGTGGGAAACCAACAAAATTGTCATGCTGGTCAAGCAGTGCAATCATTACACAATTAGTACAATTCACAACCAATCCAACACTTATACCTGCCCATTGGGCAACATCCTCAAGAGAAATTGCATTGCCATAGTAGCCAGCACGATTGAGGAAGATAGCGAGTTGAATGGAGACAGAAAGTTGGGTATTATTGGATTGGTTGGAAAAGATATGATGATCAGAGATCTGATTGAGGATGTCATCAAAAATAAAAATAATAGGGTCAACACGTAGCTTCTGCCGAAATAAATGAGGGCAGTGTTTCTCATGATGAATAAGGATGTGCAGTTGGGGGGCTCATGGAGGTGTCAGGCTTATGAAGCATGTGGGCCCTTGTAACCTCATCATGGAGAGCTGCAATTTGATGCTGAAGCTGATTGTAACGTGCAGTGATCTCATCAGAATCAGTAGATCCGCCAGACAATTCACCAAAGATGTTGGAGGAAAGAGTGGGTAAAGAGGTGATGTCCATGCTTGAATCAGAGTTGGAATTGGAGCTGGAATCAGAGCTTGACTCCGAGTCCTGAGCTTCTAATACCTGCTGATATTGGAGTTGGGCTAATAACAGTGCAGCTTTATCAACTGCATGAAGGAGATCTTTGTGGCTGGATGTGTGAGGCATGATGGTAGCTCGAGATTGAGATATGTGTTACCTTATTATCCCCCTGACTGATATGCGACTGATATGCGGAGTTTTAATCTGAGTTTCAATTTTACCATGGTCAGTGTGCAAAGTCTCACTTGTAACGCTCGTTGTGGATAACAGCGAGCAACCCTAACCCTCCATCAATTCTGGTACCAACTGTGCTGTCCATTGCCCTGGATATGAGGATGGTGGATGTGGATGAAGTTATGGGAGGGAGTGAGTTGATGGGTGTGCTGAGAGATACCTACACAATGTATAACCCCTTTCCTGGGCACTGCCAACAGGTTCCAACGCATCTTCATCTGTCGCCTCGCCAAAAGCCAACTAACCTAATAACACCACCAATACTACCACAAACACAAACACCTTTCACTCCTCCACTCATAAACCTGCTGCCAGCACTCAGCGCCCATTCCCCCAAGCATTCAGCCCACTTCCAAGCTGATATGCTGCCAGTGCTCAGCACTCATTCCTCCAAGCATTTAGCCCACTTCCCTGAGCCGATATGCTGCCAGCACTCAGTGCTCATTCCTCCAAGCGCTCAGCCCATCCCCCTCCAGCATTCAGCACACTCCTCTGACCAAATATACTGCTGGTGCTTCACCCAAGCGCATGTATCGTCAGCACTCAACCCACTCCCCCTCTCCCGACAGCACTTTTGTTCACTCATGTGCTTGTGAGATAGGTCCGGTTCCCAATACTCATTCATTGTTCCCCTCCTCGTGCAGTAGATATACCATGCTGGGATTCTCAGGTGGAGGCTGACAGATTAGTTACAATATCTCTACATCCTTTATTGTGTACACTACTCCCATTATCCCTTCCAAATGCACAAGTATGGTTTTGAAGTCCGATCTGTGCCGGCCATCTATGGCACAAGTTTCTTCAAACTTGAACGATTTCTGAGCGAGTCTTAGTGATGTTTTAGCAAGTCTTGAATTTTACTTTGAGTCCCGCTAGAAAGAAATGCACAAAAGTAAGAATAATGCCCATATTGTCATTGACCCAATAAAGGAAGTCGTTGTTGTGCTCAGTCAAAACTTTCTTGTACATCACTGAGCATTGTCCTTTGTACTCATGGGAAACCAATTGCTAATTCAAATTGAAGACCACTGTTAAAGATAGCACCAACTGTGCCTGCCATGGACAAAGGTATGGCTTGGAATATAGCAATGCTATAATTACAGCGATTAGAATGTGTTAATAAAACCACAACAATTGGACTTACTTTGTGTGTGTTGTTGTCATCCAAATCCTCCAAGTCAAAGGACACTGATGAAACTGAGGGCAAGGCATGATGTGATGAGTAGCTGGTCTGAGCGCAAGGGCAGAGTGTCAGGCACAAGGAAGATGTGATGTCAGCCCCAAAAACTGCAGAGTATCAATGTTTCATTTTAATATATGTTAGAAAAAGACCTACAGTATAAAGTGCAGCATATCTGCAAACAACTGTCTCAGTACTAATTCAGACACTGAAACATGAGTCAGTTTAGCTTTACCTTTTTGATTAAACAAGTACTGATGCCATGTAGTAGACTTACTTGATAGGTACATTGTCAATACAGAGTTCTGATCCAGACACTGAGACACCTACTTGATAGGTCCTCTTTATGCATTTATAATAGTATTCAAAGTAAAAATATTAAGGCTCTGAAATGATTCTGAAACACTTTGAAACATTCTGTAACATTCTGAATGATGTTCTGAAAATCGCTTGAAAAGTGGATTTTAAACTCCGCTCAAAACACTTAGTGCCTCAATCACTTCAAATCTGAAAAGTCCCCATGCAGGGTTAGGGTTAGATGTGCACACATACAAAAAAAAGCATGTGTTTCATAGCTAGCAAACAATGGTAAAAACATAGGTTGTATACAAGAGAGAAACCATGCAAGAAGTAGAGGGTCTTGCCTTTGGTGATCAGAGGTGCAATGGTAGCCACATCTGTGATTGTGCAGCATCAGAGAGAAGGTTCATGATAATTGTGCCCTGGTCGATAGCTTCCTCAATGGGGAAAAGTGTTTCTCCAGGAACCTAATGATACATCTCATCCATCCACTCGATCTCCTCTGCAGACAAGTGGCCCTTGTCATTGGTGATTATGATGTGATTTGACTTACCGGTAGTTTTGTTAGATGCAGAGACATTCAGGATACCATTGGCACCAATGTTGAAGGTGACCTCAATCTGAGAAACACCACGAGGTGCCGGGGGAATACCAGATAGCTCAAACTTGCCAAGCAAGTTGTTGTCCTTCATGTGTGCATGTGCATCCTCGTACACCTGGATCAAGACACTAGGTTGATTGTCCAAAAATGTCAAGAATGTCTCAGACTTCTTGGTGGTGTTGCACTTGGTAGAGACAGTTGTGTTGCACTTGGTAGGGATGGTGGTGTTACACTTGGTGGGAACAGTGGTATGCGCTTGGTGGGGAGGGTGGTGTTGTGCTTGGTGGAGATAGTGGTGTGCGCTTGGCAGAGACAGTGGTGTTGCACTTGGTAGAGATGGTGGTGTTGCACTTGGTAAAGACAGTGGTGTTGCGCTTGATGAGGGCAGCTACCTTGAGACATTGAGGTGGCTATGTGGCACAGTGAGGATGATAGCAGCACATGTCACATCAAATTTAAACTCCACTTAAATCTCGCATTGACCTGCACCAAACTGGTCTGGTGCATGGATGACCAATGCTCTCCCATGAGCTTAATGCCCTAGTAACCATTATGAAAACCATCTCCTCTCAACTTAGAAGTCAGAATGCAGTTCAGACAGTATTTTCGTTTCATTTCTCGGCACAACTCAGATAGGCTGAATATTTTTGTATATTTAATTCCATGATGAATTTTGCTTAGTCATTCACAACAATGACTCAGACTAAATCCCACGCATGTTAGGTGACTGTGAAAAATAGTTCTCGCATGAGCTACCCTGTGGGAACTTCCTAAATACAAGGCTCGCGTCATTTCTACGGTCAACAAAGTGACATCAGAACAGAACACCACCAAATTATGAATACTTCTTTTGCATGGCATAATCAGCTAGTCACATGACCCTTGGTCACAAGATACCAAGTCATGTGACTTTAACAGTCAGGTGATCTATGATCTCAACCAAGTCATGACAAAGCAACATCTTGAGATGACTAAAGATTGATGACACAAATTATAATACAGAGGACTCATGTAAATAGTTAATGACTAAGCCCATTTCTCTTAGAATGTGGGAAATAGTAGCACAGCCACCATATTTTGTCTATATAAGACTCCATTTTTTGCCATAATAAAAAAAACAGAGAGGGAGAAGCCCCACTTTTAAAGAATAAGACTGAGTGTGAAGTGTGATCAGTGTCAACAACAGTGACAAGAGCTGTTAAGCAACTAACTGAGAGGTCATTGTGAGCAACATCCAGCAATACTTTTTACTCATTACCAACAACTGTGAAATACCTTGAGCTCACTGTGCTCAACAGCGAGCAAACTCTTCTTGTTATTTTCTACTGGTGAACCTCTAGTTTTCTTTCTTTTCTTTTCTCTCTTTCTTTTTCTTTTTTTTCTTTTGTCTCTTCAGTTCATTCACATCTTAGTGTTATTGTTCTGAATTTGTTCCAGGATCTTCGTGTTGTCTTTACGTCTATCTAGGCAAAGGCTTAGTGGGAAGACTTCAGGAGTTGATAGTGACACTTGACCTCACTCATCTGAGTAGTGATACTGAGCCAGGGTTTTCTTTGTCTGCTAGACTTTAGTTGTTGAATAGGGGACTTGGTACTGAAAGCCAAGGACGTCCATTCCTGATTCTGTTTAATACTCATCGTGAGTTCCTTGGCAGCAGGTTCAATAGTGAGCTAAGAGTTCTACTGAGCATTGATTAGTCCTGACCTTTGATTCTATCTGTTTGTGCTGAGGGGGTGATTGTTATAACTTTGCACGACTTTCTGTAGTAAGTTTGTTGCAAAAATATTAGTACTGAAGGAAGGATTTCTCTTATCATTCTTTTTCTTTTTTTTGTCATCATCATACTGTTAGATTGACCACGTTCTGTTTATTGTGTCTATACTGTTGGAGCACCTGGTATTGTTACTGATCTCATCAGGAGTACTTTCATCTGAACATAGCTTGGGGAAGTGTAAACAGCCACCCACAAACAACCACATTATCAGTCATTGGTATTTGTCTGAATCGCTGACCGTGGAGATATTTGATTTTGTAGTAGTTTATCTATAGATCATCTATCTAAGAAGACAGTGTAGATCAATTTGAGTCGTTGATTAGAGATGATAATAAGATACCAGCCCCAATGCCTCGCCAGTCATAATGTCAAGCACTCCTCTAACAGATAGATGCTGCTAGCCTAGATGTGGCTATGGCATGTGTTAAACATGCCACACAAAATAATGGTAGTTCAGACTCAGCTATGTCTGATATTAGGACCCCATCCACCATGTCCCCCATGTCCATGTCTAATGCTTCAGAACATTCTGGCAACTCAAGTGTCAATTCAATTGCGATCCATGAGCAATTTGCTCAACTTATTGGCTTACTTACTGCCCTTCGGAATGAGTAGAGATGACCCGTGTCCTTCACCAATCCGATAAGCCCCCTATGCGAGCTCCACAGATCCAGCTACTTGATCACTTCACTATTCACTGCCTCCTCCTATTCCAAAAGAAGTTATGTGTTTCTCCAGAAATATTTGATGATATCCTTGATGAGATCAGTGACGATCCTATTTTCCATAATCAATCCAACAATCCCCAACTTCCTGTTGTCATCAAACTTGCAATATTTCTTAACCATACTGGCCACTATGGCAATGCAATCTCAAATGAGGATGTCTGCTAGTGGGCAGGTGTTAGCATTAGGTCAGTCACGAACTGCACTAATTGTGTCATGATTTCCCTGCTTGCCAAGCATGACAAATTCATATTCTTCCCCACTCTTGACTCTGATGATGCTGGCCATTTCCAGAAGTATGTTTAGGACAATACTTGCCCAGAATGGCAGAATGGTATCCTAGCTGCTGATGGATCATTGATAACTCTTTGTGACAAGCCAGATCTCTATGGCGAGACTTTTCATAGTAGGAAGTCTCAGTACTCCCTCAACTGCCAGGTATTTTATTTTATTTTATTTTACAGCCCTTTCTCTGATTTAAATTCTTTTAGGCAGTTGTTATGATCCATAATCTTGCTATAGCAGATTATGCTATTGGTCACACTGGCAGTGCACATGATACATATGCATTCTGATCTACTCATATTTACCATCATCATGCAACACTTCTTGGAAATAATCATTGGATCTGGACAGATAGTGCCTATCCATTAGAGCCATAGTGCATCTCCCCTTTCAAGAAGCCTGTTAATGGGGCCTTAACCTATGACAAGAAGACATTTAACACTGCCCTTTCCAGAGTATGTGTGTTATTTTATTTTTCCTTGTGTTCATTTATTTTTGGTGATTTAGATTTGTGTCCGGGTAGAGCATGCATTTGCTGCTCTTAAAAATCGCTTTCAGTCTCTTCGAGAACTTTGGCACCCATTGCAGCATGACAGACACCTTGCATATATTTCTTACTAGGTCCAGTACTGCCTTATCCTTCACAACATGGTGATTTGGTTTGAAGAGCACTATGGGATCAAGAATACAACTGAAGAGTCAGCCCTCCAGGCCTATATGCCTGTAGTGAACATAGATCATGATGTAGATGAAGGGGGTCCTGGAGATACCTCATATCAAGGTACTTCTGAACACCAAGTTTGTACAAAGTTGATGGAATATTTGTTGAACTAACAAGATAAATGTATTAGCAATATATATATATAACATAGGAGTAAGCATGTAACAACATATATGGGCTCAGAAAGTATGGAAACATATGTATGATAAGTCAGAGAACATATAACAAGAATGATATGCAAGACATGAGATGCGAGAGATACTGGTACAACAGAAGCGAATGATGATGATAATAAAGCCTACACTAATCAGCCACACCTCCCTTCAATTTGAGAAGCTCAATTTTGAGCTGAAGGGCGGCTTTTCGCTCAGCATGAACCTTGGCTTGAGCTTCGAGAACTTGAAGGTCAAAAGTCTTGGACTCTTGACAGCACTGATGTACAATGACAGCCTTGTTGTATTTGAGCTGAGCTTTCTTACATTGGAAGTCGAGGTCATATTTCTGACAGAGAGCATTGACCTTGGTGATCTTGTACTCAAAGGTCGCCGCCTTTACAGTGTAGATGTACAACATGTTGTTGGTTAGCGTCTTGACTTTCTCACAGACACTCCTGACCTTCGACCCAATATTCTTCCCAAGGTGAGATTTTTTTGCACCACTATTGTTGAGTATGGTCTGTTGGTGTGAGGAGGAAGATGGTGTTGAAAGTCCCAAGGATGTAGAGCATATCATTGTCTTCATAGATGACAATGCAACAGATGATGGTGGTTTTGGTGAGCGCATGAGTCCATGGCCCATCACACAATCAGCATGAGTTTTGAATGTTCCAAGAGATGAGTGGTTGCAGGTATGCATATGGGGTGGGGAGGGGGAGGAGAGCAGGCATTTGTTAGAGAGGGACTGCTGGATTGTGAGTGCTTCTTCACACTCTACTTTCCCCTGATCCTCCTGCATGGTGATGTCTTGCTCATCATAATTGAGCTCCTCACCCATGGTGAAGCTGTCAATAACAGGGTCCATGGTATCATGGGGTAGGTAATCATTGACAGCAGGAGGATGGTCTTCAGCACTATCAATGTGCTTGTCTTCAACATCATGAGTGTTGGGAGCATTGTCAATGATAATCATTGGATCATCAGGATCATTGATCGGGAGAGGGAGAGGCTTTTCTTTTTCCTTTGCTCTTTGGTTGCATCAGGGCTTTAAAGTCCCCTGTATGATCTGTACCAGGAGTGGACAAGAAGGTTTTGGCAGCATATGCAGAGTTATCTCTCCAGATATCATCGAGATCTTCGTACCATGGGAAGTCACTTAAAACTTGCACTATGACCAATTTAGTTTCACTTGATTATTATTTAAAAAAATGTACCTAGTAGATTCACTGCGGCACCAGGTTCCTCCGGATTGACTCCAGTGCCTGTCTGCTTGAAGCGTGCACAATGGGTCTTATATTTACCCTTGAGACTAAGTGTAGCATTTAGTGTATACATGAAAAGGGAGGAGGAAATATATGAAAAACTTACTAAGTGAGGCAGTTGCCCACAGCCTGTGTGAACTTCGTCTGATCCTCAGCATACATCAACTGATACATCTCATCCTTCTTAAATATATGTTTGGCAATTACTGCATGTATTTTGCCCTTATCACTCCCAGAAGGAAGGCTGTCATCAGAAGGGTGAAATTTCTTGCCTTTGTAAAATAATATTTGATGGTTGGCAGGATGGGTGCTGAGGTACGTCACAAAGGCAGACATTTGATTGCAGTTTGGTGTCTCCCACCGGATCTTGCTGATACCACTAGTAGGAGCATCACCATAAGATGTGGCAGCACTGGCTGAGGTAGCAGCTACCCCATGTCCCCTTGTACCATGAGTAATTGTGCCCCTTTCCCTAGTACCATGGGCAGGTTGCATTTGGATAGCCATTGGTGTATTAGTGAGTCTTTGAAGTAGCATCTTGAGTTGCTCTGAACATTGTACTCGAGGGCGTACAGGAGGCATAGTGTACGTATGGACCAATATTCGATTTCAGACACCATCGGTAGTCTGCTGATGTTCCATAGAGTTCTGAAAGAATTTGTTACCATTTCAGAACCTTAATATTTTTACTTTGAATACCATTTATGATCTCCAGAGGTTATGAGCCCTGACATGACCATCTATAATATGCTCCCCAGCACTACATCCTCATTGTTCAACATCCCCAAACTTGCTGAAGATAGCATGAATTGGATTTACCTACAAGGAGATAATGTTGACAGTGATAAGTGCCTGAGGTTTGATGTGATATGCAGATGGTCATGCTGTTGAGCCATTACCCTACCTCATAGGCAAGGTATCAGGTGTACTGAAGAAATTGGATGGCTTGATTCCCTCTCAGAAGGAGATCAATGAGTGTGATAATAAAATGGATGAGTATGACCAAAAGAACTCACTCGTTAAGCAAAAAATCTTCAGTATGATTACCAACCGACTGTTGCTGCATGTCCAGAAGTTCAAATCTGCCTCAAAGGTCTGGGAGGAAATATGCCAGATCCATGAAGACAAGACTGAGCTCGTCCAGATCAATTTATGGCGGCACCTACAGAAGATAAGGTGCGAGGAGGGAGCAGATATTAAAGCCCACTTCACCAAGATGCTGCGCTTGCGTGAGATACTCGCAGGCATGGGTACGGGAATCCTCAATATGGACTTCTATGCCATCATTCTCGGCTCACTCCCTGAATCCTATCGCCCTCTCCTGTCCTCCATTAATATGGCCGCCAAGATCACTAAGACCCCTTTGTTCTCCTACGAACTGATCAGTATTATCACAGAGGAATATAAGCACTATCAGCTCGCTGAGAAGCACTCCAGTAAGAAGGGTAGTCCAGGCAGTGCATTGAATGTGTGTGGATCTAAAGAAAAGGGAAAGAGGTCAGCTATGTCAAGCAAGGCTAATGCAGACATCACCTGCTATAACTGTGACCATAAAGGTCGCTATAAAACAGACTGCTGGAAACCTGGAGGGGGAAAAGAGAGGGCCAAGGCCCGAATTAGCAATGGAGAAAGGATGAAAAAGGCCAAAATGAGACTGTAGATTCAACTGCAGAGTCCGCATCCCAGGAGTACACATTCATGTCGTCCGACTTGGCGAGCATTACCAAGGACCTCAAGGTGCCTGCAGATAGATGCAGTGCCATTGTTGATTCCAGAGCCATGTTACACTTCTGCCCTGACCAAGCAAAGTTCATCAACTTCACTACCATACCCTCCCAGGAGATCCAAACTGCTGATGGCTCAAGTTTGAGTGCTGTTGGATGAGGAGACATCAAACTAGAGTTGCCTCTCATTGAGAAACACACCAAAGTCACGCTAAGAAGTATACTGTATGCACCTGCTATGGCCTTTACCCCAATATTCATCAATCACATTGCAGCTGCTGGAATGGCTATCCTCTTCAAAGGACAGATGTGCAAGGTTCTCTCGCAAGGACCCAAGCACCACATCATAGCAGAAATACTGCAGGTGGAAGGCCTATACAGCATGGCAGCAGGGAACGCACATCAGCACCACACCAACATTGCTCAAGGCAAGCTTACTGTTAGTGAGCTGCATAAGGTCCTGGGACATGTGTTCCAAAGCGCAGCAGCAGAAGCTGTCAAAAAGGGCTTAGTTACGGGCCTTGACCTAGATCAAAGCTCCAAGCCTGAGTTCTGTGATGCATGCACAAAGGCCAAGTCAGTGCACCAGCCTTTTTCCGACGAGAGCAAATACTGGACACTCACCTATTACTGCAGGCATTTTCCCATTTTCCTCCACCAAATATCCAAAAAACATTGATTGAGAAGATAGAAATTAGCCCTCATTTTTCCTCTCAAAACATTGAAAAAAAGTAATTTATGTTTCAATGATGTTCTATATATGGGACATGATGTGAAAATTGGTCATGTTCCTTCAAGGATAATGCTGTATTTTTCATGTATTGTCTTTGAAATAACAGCTTAAAATAATGTTAATTTTCTTCTGTGTCTTTCAAATATACTATGTTTTTTAAATGTTCTGTGTATATGTCATATTCCGCATTCCGGACCTACATCCGACAATGTTCACATGCCTCATCCGGACATCTGGACCCCTGTATCTCTGTATATTGGACCTCCATACCTCTGCAGCTAGCCTGCATCATTCATCCTTTGTCTCATCACCCTAAGCATGTCCAGTCTAATTTCCGGATCCGATATCCGGACACCTGATCTGATATCCACCTCTCAGGATCTTTGGATCCGACCTATGTTTCATATCTGAATGCAAACCTTAAATCAGTGCCTATCCCTTTATGGTAATCACCTGTTTCTGGTCTTCAGTTATCTCTGTTTCTGTTTTGCTTACTGATTCTTGTACAAGTTTCATCTCTGAGTTCATTTCCTATGATCTGTTTCACTTACTAATACATTTCCACATGCTTGTACATAGCCTTACCCCTCTGCTTACTGATCTGCACAGACTTACCTCCAGTATATAAACTCCTGTAGATGTATTTCCTTAGCCTGAATATCATATTAGTCCTCGCACTAGATCTCACACTAAGTTCTCATATCAGTTCTAGTCCTCTGACTTAGTTAATATCCATCTCAGGCTTGGGGAGAAATTCCCTAGGCCGCTCCTCTGCTCCTCTGCTCCTCTGCTCCTCTGCTCCTCTGCTCCTCTGCTCCTCTGCTCCTCTGCTCCTCTGCTCCTCTGCTCCTCTGCTCCTCTGCTCCTCTGCTCCTCTGCTCCTCTGCTCCTCTGCTCCTCTGCTCCTCTGTTCCTCTGCTCCTCTGCTCCTCTGTTCCTCTGCTCCTCTGCTCCTCTGCTCCTCTGCTCCTCTGATCCTCTATTCCTCCAAGTTTCCAGAAGTTCCTCCAGAACTTTCTCGCACTCATCCAGAAAGTCCTTCCGAAGTTTCCCGTGCTCCTCTGGAAGTCCTTCAGACTTCACTGGACTTTCACTGGACTTCATTCTGAAGTTAAGGGCACATACTCGGGTAAGAGGTGCAGCACATGAGCTAAAGCCAAGCTCCTCGGAATCAGTCCTACCCTTTGTGTATGGTCTTAACAGTATATTTGAAAAACACAGAGAAGAAAATTAACATTATTTTAAGCTGTTATTTCAAAGACAATACATGGAAAATACAGCATTATCCTTGAAGGAACATGACCAATTTTCACATCATGTCCCATACACAGAACATCATTGAAACATAAATTACTTTTTTTCAATGTTTAGACAGGAAAAATGAGGGCTAATTTCTATCTTCTTAATCAATGTTTTTTGGATATTTGGTGGAGGAAAATGGGAAAATGCCTGCAGTGTATGGAGAGCTGGTCCACACAGACTTGTGGGGACTAGCCCAGACTGCCTGGGCTTGGATTTAGAAAAGCCTAAGCCAGTGACCCAAGTTGTGGCTTTGGTACATGGAAAGCAGGACAGCCATGCTCATTTTGTCACTGTCACATTATCCATAATAAGTAAGTGACACCATGCACCGTAAGTTGAATATATCTGCTGCTACAATATTTTGTTTTGTCCTCATCCTCTCCATCAGAAAACAAGACAACCAACCCCTTCTCTTTAGTAACATCAGAGAGTAAAGATATGTCCAGTTCATCCTTCTCTACAGACTATGAGTGCATCCAGTGGTTAGTGATCTTTTTGCATGGTCGTAACTCATGACTGTATTGCTGGTGCTTGGCGGGGGAAAACCTGAAGACTATTGGCCATACATATTCCTAGCTTTTCTCTAAGGAGTGCAGGGGTCATGCTGACATATATGCATCTGGAGATCATAAATGCATCAAGAGGACCTATCAAGTAAGTGTCTCAGTGTCTTAATCAAAACTCTGTATTGATGATGTACCTATCAAGTAAGTCTACTACATGGTGTCAGTACTTGTTTAACTGAAAAGGTAAAGCTAAACCAACTCATGTCTCAGTGTCTGGATCAGAACTGAGATGGTCGTTTGCAGATATGCTGCACTTTATACTGTAAGTTTTGATTTGAACAAGCAGGTCTATTATATAGCAACTGACACTGTCTAGTATGATATAAATGCTTATAGTAGTATCTAAAGTACCGGTGCAAGGAAAAATGCTCTTATGCACTCCCCGCAGTTTGCAGGAGTGTGTGGGACTCCATGAACCCTAGGTTGCCTTGGTCTGTGGGGGCCTAGGGAGTGTTATACCCACTAAAACCTCAAGTGATGTGGCCCAATTTTAGGGGAGGGGGTCCCCTCTTGAGACTACTTCCGACCATGTGGCCTTGATTAGGCTGGTGAAAGCTGGGGTCTGTTTTAGTTTACTAGTAGATACTCTATCTAGTTGTAGTTGGTGCTCTATGGCCTTAAGCCATCTTTTCGTCACATGATTTTCATTGTGGGATAAACCTTAGATGACACATTCACATTGTAGGACCCAAATCAGGTATATGGATTCAGACATGAGGATTCGTAGAAGCCTTGATGCCCCTTGATTATATTTAATAGTCTGTCATTCAGCTTGATCATTTCTGTCTGGTCTTTGATATATGCTTAGTGCCCCACATCCGAGGATGGTCCCTAGTGAGGTGTCAGGCCATGGCATGTCATTATGGGGTGTCATATCCCATATATCCACGCTTCTCTTCCGGACTTCGGACCCTTAGATCCGGTCCGGTCCGATGCATAGATCCGCGTCCGGTCCGATATCCAATAAGCTTCTTAATTCATTTCCTGTTCATATAACGTTAAACACAGCCTATTCGGTATTTCCTCTTCCCGGTGTCTCGGTTATACTTATTACCGGTATGATTACTGATCCGTTATCCTATGCTTCATTTCCGACTCGCGTTTGATAAGCTTTGCATATGCTTCGTACATAGCCTCGGACCTTTGCTTATTGATCCTTCCGTTATCCTCTTAGTATATAAACCCGTGTATATTTCCTGTAGTACCTCAGTTCGAATATCATCTTAGTTTGTCCTCTTTCTGTCCTCCGGACTTGAGTCTAAACAACTCTTGTCGATCTCTGAGACTTCGGATCGATTCCGATAGTCTACGTCTCCGCCTCTATCTTCGGATAGTCTATACTCTGTTTGTTTCTAGTCCGGATCCGTCCGGATTAGTCTTATACGTGTTTCCGATATCCGGAAGTCATCCGGATATAACTACGAGACCCGTCCGGACCTTCGGACGCGTTATTGTTAGTCTCTGAAATAAGGGACAGTACTTGGGAAAGGGGCACAGCGTACGAGCTGAGGCCGAAGTCCTTCAGATCCGATCCTACGAGAGTACGACCTTAACATGGGGCCACAAATGCTTCACCAGGCGCCAGATAAGTTTTCTGGCTGGGTGGTCGTACTCTACGAGGATGTGTTCTATGAATTCTGTGGCCTCTCTGCAGTGGAGGCATCGGGCTCTCTGTTCATAATTTGGTATGTTTACCCAGAAATCTCCTACCTTCAGGGAGTTATGCAGTACTCTGAATATAAAGTTCTGAAACTTTATGGAAAGGTCTTTATTACATCGGCTTAGCCAGATAATTTGGTCTATCTCCTGTGTTTTTGAGACTACTCCCACTGTGTGTCTCATCATTTCCAGGAGGCCGCTTGTCGATTGTTTTTGTTCTAGCTTTAGGGACAACATGATTCCCTGGTATGCAGTGGCTTGCGATATTTGGCTGAGTTTTGCGCCCTGCAGGTCAAAGTTTTTAGGGACGTTGATGTCAAGATGGTCACACAGGTTCTTTTGTCCGCCAAACTCAGTGAGTTTATCTGCCTCTTCATTGCCCTGATTTCCACTGTGACCTTTAATCCAATGGAAGACAGTCATTGCTGATCTTTTTCGTAGGTGGTAGGCTGTAGCTTTGAAGAGCTCGCTATTCGCAATTCCTATCCATCTCCAATCCTCCCACTTTTGGAGGTGGTTGGTGAGGCTGTCTATTGTGTACCATGAGTCTGTTATAAATGTGACTGGGGTTGAAGGGCTGACACTCTATAGACCGATCAGTATTGCAGCCACTTCTCCTGCTTGGTTGGATTGTGTTTTACCAGTGATCCTTATGGCCTTGTTCAAGGGGTTGTTTTCCCCAAACCATATGCCACTTCCACATTGTGCATTGTTTTTTCCATTGTTGATGCATGAGCTGTCAGTGTATATCTCAATAGGTGGCTCTTGTTGTCCCTGTCCTTGGTTGGGCCTTTGGAGCCGGTGAGCTGGGGCTTGGGCAGTCCTTGTGTCTCCTGCAAAGATTCTAAAACATTCTGCTAGTTGCAATGTTTCTGAGACTGATGGATCAAAGATGATGTCCCCTCTGTGTTGAGTTCTTGCTCTTGTATTCTTTTCCAGGCGGCAGTGTGTGAGTGTGAGTCCATCATTGATTGGACAGTAGAATGGGTTGAATTTTGGAGTTAGGTTGTTGATGATCACTGCCACCGTGGATATACATTTATGCGGGTTTTTACACCCTGCCAGTCTGTCCGATACGCATAGGCCACATATGCAGTCATGACTTTCCCAGTGGTGTGGAACTGTAGTTGGTCTATTGCTTACTTTTAGAAGGTCTTTGATTGACTTTACTTCATGGATTTGTTTTAGGCATGCGTCTTTTAACTTATGATAGGTTCGCAGTAGTGCGCCACAGTGAAGCCAGGCTGGGAGCTGTTGTTTATGGGTTTGTGAAAGTTTAATCAGGGCGAAGCACATGTTGTGCTTTTTTGCCATTTTTAACATTGAGATTATTTCTCTAGGTATTCGGTTTGTGTGTAGTCCCCTTGTTGGGGGAGCCCAGGAGGTGAGGAAGGTTTGGATATTATTTGGGTTGTTGTCATATCCCGCATTCCGGACCAACATCTGACGACGTTCCCACGCCTCATCCGGACCTCCGGACCTCCTGTCCATGTCTCCAGACCCAATCCTCTATCTGTCCGGATCCCTGTACTCCTGCATCTGATATCCAGATGCCAGATCTGATATCCACATCTCCGGATCTCTGGATCCAACCTATCTGTCATGTCCGAACCCAAACCTTAAATCAGCGCCCATCCCCTTATGGTAATCACCTGTCTCCGGACTTCCGAACATCCGGATCCGACCCACGTCTATCTTCCGGATCCGACCCGCGTCTATCTTCCGTGCCTTATCCCTTTGTATGTTCCTTCTTGAGTTAGACTTCCTCATTTTCCGTACCTTGTTTCATTTCCAACTTTATTTTCCTATGTCTTCATCTCCGTCTTCATTTACTATTTTCCGATAGACTAGTGTTTGACTTTTCTACATCCTCTGTCCACAGCCTCGCATAGCTTCGGACTGTGCTGACTGACTCTCCATTAAGTCCTTTGTAGCATATAAACTCTGTAGAATCTTTGTACTTCCTCAGTCTAAATATCATACACATATTAGTCCTCGCACAAGTCTTCACACTAAGTCCTCGTAACAGTTCTATTCCTCCGACTTAGTAATCATCCATCTCAGGCCTAGGGAGGAATTCCCTAGGCCGGAGCTCCGCTCCTCCACTCCTCCACTTCTCCTCCCCTCCGATCCACCATTCCTCTGATCCTCCAAGTTTCCGGAAGTTCCTCCGGAACTTTCCCGCGGTCCTCCGGACCTATCCTGCTTCGGACTTTGTCCTTGCAGCCTTTCCTCTGTTTCCTTCTACTCAGGACTCGTCCTGAGTAGCCATTACACATATCCCCGTCAGGACGAAACTCCATCGTAATTTCCGGAAGTTCCTCCGGAACTTTCCCGCACTCATCCAGAAGTTTCTCGCACTCGTCCGGAAAGTCCTTCCAAAGTTTTCCACACTCCTCCAGAAGTCCTTCGGACTTCACTGGACTTTCTCCGGACTTCATTCTGAAGTTAAGGGCACATACTCGGGTAAGGGGCGCAGCGCACGAGCTGAAGCCAAGCCCCTTGGAATCAGTCCTACCCTTTGTGCATGGTCTTAACAGTTGTTGACACCATCCAGTTTCAGGGTGTTTAGCAGAGTGTCTACTACAAATGCCTATGCCGGGCAGGTGGGAATGCATTGACATAGGCGCTTAGCCATGTTATGCTTATGGCCTCATTTCTTGTTGCAATGTCCAGGAGCCTGATGCCTCCTTCTTCTTTTGGCTTTTGTAGGTGTTTTAGGCTGATTGGTGATGATTTCGTGTTATTTCATATGAATTTTCTTATCATCTTTTCAATAGCTGTCTCAATCATTTTTGGCATCCCTTGTGCCTTGGTAAGAAATTGTGTCATACCGCCTATGAACATTTGGATGATCAGGCATTTACCGTCTAGTGTTGGGTTTCCTTTGTTCCATTGTTGAAGTGTAGACTCAATTTTATCTAGGACAGGTTCCCAGGGAGTCTTGCTATCTAGGTCATTCCCTATCCACGCTCCTAGAGATCTTACAGATGTTGCGTCTTGGGCAATCTTCACAGATGCATCCCATGGGTTATCTTCTATGTTTAACTTCCTGGAGGTCACAACTTCCAGCCTGTGTGTTTTAGAGCCAATCAGTAGGATTTCTGTCTTTTCTAAGTTGAATTTTGTGCCTGAAGCCTTGCACCAGGCCTCCAATATGTTGTGCAGGTCATTATATTTGTCACCTTTTCTCAGGTACACAGTTGTGTTATCCGCATACATGTTAACTATTATTTTGTGTGTGAAACCAGGTACATCATATCCCTTCAGTTTCGTTGAGTTTCTTAGGGAGCATGCTGATGGCTCTATTGCAAGGTCAAATAACAGGCAGGATAGCGGGTCCCCTTGTCGGACTCCTCTCGTTACTTTGAAGGGTTCACTCATGAATCCGTTTATCATTACTCTGGTATGTGCTTGTTCATACAGTGATTGGACGGTTTTAATGAATCTTACTGGTAGGTTAAAGGCTTCTAGGGTCTTAATCAGATAGTCATGGTGAACCTTATCATACACTTTCTCTTGGTCGAGCACTATGATAGCACCATCTTCTTCCATGACATCCGCATAGGCTGTCATCATTTGAGTAAGTCGCATTGAATCAAAGATGGATCTTTTCGGGATAAATCTGCACTAATCTGGATGTATCAGTCTATGTATTTCTTTTGCGAGTTGCATGGCTAAAGTCTTTGTGAGTAGTTTGTAGTCCGTGTTTAGTAGGGTGATCGGGCAGTAGTTTGCTATATCTGATTGGTCTTTCTTTTTGTACAGAGGACACATCCAACCTAGGGCAAAGTTTGACTCTTCTGTCACACTGTGCATTTGTCCATTGTTGAAAACAATGGTGAGGGTTTTGATTACATTGAAGCTGGGTTTGTTCTTTATGCATTTCTTTTTGTGAAGTTCGTGTAGGGTTTTCCATGCTTCGTAAGGGATTCCATCTATCCCTGCAGCACTGCCGGTGTAGAGACTCATGCCTCTCATGGTGTGATATGGCACTTTTTACTAGGGAGTTCATTGCACGAACTTGCAGCACCATTCTGTGTGCTATCTGCAGCTATCCCTATATGAGGCGCAGCTTTCCCGCGCAACGCGCACCATGCGCGCACCATTCCTGCGCTTTACGATGTATATGCGCGCGCACTTTCCCGCGCTTGGTCGCCCTATAGCGCCAGCCTTCCGGAAGCATCCATCCACTGTCCACCAAGCTCTCTAGTGCGTGTATTTCCATTTCCCTTATTTACATATCATTCCACCTTTATTTATATCATGGACCCTTACTTACATACATATATCTTTACATACCTTACTCGGTAGCGATTCGGCTCCGTGTGACAGTGCTTAGGTGCCGTATATAAGCGCCAGCATTACATACTTTCCAAGAATTACTTGACCTCCCACTTACCACCCACCTACTACCTAGGAGAACATAGTAGAAATCTATTCTTTGACACCTCGCGCTCGTATCTCTTGTCTAGTATCTAATCACCACTTAAGAAAACTCACTCTTACTCTCTCTCATTACCGCTCACACGCGTGCGCGCGCTTCCCGCACCTCGCGCGTACCTTCACTTTCCCGTGCCTCGCGCGCATCTGCGCGCTTTCTCGCGCTTCGCGTCAGCCAACCAGTAGCGCCTTCGGCGCGCACTACTAGATCCTTGCTGCACTCGCTTCCCCTCTAGGGTCGAACGCACTTGTCGTCTCAAGTATAGCAGACTAGGCAACGCGCGACCTTACAACATTTACAGATACAGTCAGGAGCTTTGTTTGTTCCTCTCTGTATTGTTGTTTCTACACCGGCTTTAGATGAGTAAGTGCCTCTCTCACATCAGAATCTTGTATTGGGTTACTTAGTGGGCACATAGGTGGGTTTAATAGTTTCTGTTCATTTGGTATTTCATTTAGAGCTTTTCGCATCATTGTGAGTCTCAGTGTTTCATCTGGGCCCTGGGTGCCTTCTCATTGGAGGTTGTCATGGTATATTTTTGCAACTTCTGCCATGTCTTTGGACTTGGTGGCAATTCTATTTGTGTTGGGGACCTTTAGTTGGTGTATAATGTCTCTAGGTTTTCTGGAGGTGTTTACTCCAGACCAATATTTACTAACTGTCTCTCCTTTCAGGGACCACTTTGCCTGGGCTTTTAGGTGGGCGTCCCTATATCTTTTTCATTTGAGATGTTTGAGTTCTTTCTCTAGAACTACTTTGTTTTACCATCTGTCAGTGGATGAATCTATGTCTGGTGCATTGGTCATTCTGTTGATGTCTCTTTGTAACTGCCTTATCTTTTGATTGATCTTTGCCAGGTGAAACTTGGCTATATATTGTGCTTCTGAGGTGATCTTGGTTTTGAATGTCTCCCACAGTGTCTGTGGGTTCCTGGCATTGATGCAGGTATTGACTGCAATGTTTTCTATTTCGGTCTGAAGTGATCAGTGTAATCTTTCTATTTTCTCTAATAGAGTTTCATCAGATAGTGTGCCTAGTGGCCATGTCCACCTGCCTTTCCCAATGTGTGGGGCTTCTGGCGGGGCGAAATGAGCGTGGACAATGCTGTGGTCTGTGGGTATAGGGCAAAGATATGTTTTCCAGTCTGTGACACTGTTGCTGTGTGAGATTGATGTATATATTCTGTCCAGGCACGACAGGGTGTTTGTCTTACTATTGAACGTGAAAAGCTGTGTTGTTGGATGTGAGTTTCTCCATGTGTCATGTATGTTGAAGTCATTTCTAAAGTTTCATAGGGCCTCTACTGCTTGTTCATTGTTGGGTCTGGATGGTGCTCTGTCGAGGGGATCTTCAGTGATGTTGAAGTCCTCCATCGTAAAGTCGAGGGTGCTAAGCCCCTTCTGTAGCCATTTCATTCTAATGGTGTCCCAGAAACACTGATGTTCTGAGTGGTTATTAGGTGCGTAGATGTTGAGTAGGTTTATTGTCCTATTATTGTGCCATTTGATTGATTGTGCTGCAGCTCTACCGGGGACTAGTACTGACTATTTAATATCAGATACATTGACCATTTCTTTGTTCTAGACAAAGGCTACTCCTGCAGAGTTGCCAGAGTGCGAGGGGTCTTGGGAGTTGAGGACTAGTAGGTGTCTCGAGAATAGTGACTCAATTTGTCATTCATTATCATCAGATAGGTGCGTTTCTTACAAGCATAGTATTCCAATTTTCTCTTCTCTGACTGTTTTATTTATTATAGGCCATTTCAAGATTGTACTGGTGCCTTGCCTTTCACATTTAGTGTGGCCAGTGTTATATTTGCATGGGTGTATTTCTGTGCATTGGTGTATGTTTGATGCTGGTGTGTGGGTGCCCTGTGGGGCACTAGAGGTACTACACCACTGATCTCTCCTGGTGTCTTATTGGGAGGCTCCTTGGCAATGGAAGGCTGCTCCCCTCTGCTCCTGGGGAGGCTGGAACTAAGGCTAAAATCAGAACCAGGGAAAAGAGGAGGGTTTGTATGTTGGTTGGTAGTTGGTAGATACTTTACTTATCGTTACGACTATAGATAAGTCAGGGATAGCATTGCCCAGCTACCTGAGAGACTATGTCATCATTTTAGAGGAGCATCAATGCCCTAACATTAATGTCGACTACTAATGAGGACTTCAGCCTCTCCGCACAGCTCGTCCAGACCTAAATAGGTCTCCATGTTCTGGTGTGCACCATGCTTGGTGAGAAGGTCTCTGCTTTCCTGTCTCATTAGAACGATCAGTAAATGTGGGTAGGAACCTGCAGGTGATAGCTTGTGTCTCCTTCGAGCTTTACTATGCAATTCAATGACTCATTTTCACAATAGGTTGAGGGCCTAAAGTCATAGCCATTGCTGCGGGTGTTTAGGTTCATAAAGGTCAATTCTCAGAAAGGACTGCAATTGGTATGAAAGTATATGGTTGAAGTATGTGCGCATCAAGGAGTGAGATAGGTTCGTGTTACAAGGTGGGATAAGGGGCATAATCATGTTGGTGATGGCTGAGGGGGGCTTCTGTTTTATAGTACTAGGGTTCAGTTATGTTAGGTAGTGATGGAGAATGTAGCAGGTGCAGTGGTACTAGGTGTTCCTTCCAGGCTTTCTGTTTCTCATCCTTCTGGATTGGCGGGATGAGTTGATTGCCATCCTAAATCCCACTGTAGGGCCATTCCATTTTGGAACACTAGGGAACGGGCATAGGCCACACAGATAGGCGAGGGAATGGCAAATTGAGCAGGGGGATAAGGCAATTGTGGCGCCACAGCTATCTAGATCTTCTGGATAGTCCAGGAGGTGGAGAAAACCTCTCAGGTCAGTCCAGGCTTTGGCGTTGTTGGTTGGGCTGATAGCAAAAATATGGAAGTGGGGTATGGAAAGTCTGCCTGTGACTTTGAAGTCAAGGTGCTCTATGCGGATCGATCTGATTAGGTCTTGTGTAGCTTTGTATACCATCTCCTCCTCGCATATCTCACTCATGGAAAAAATATCATTGATGTGGCATCTGTTCTCATCTTAGGCCCAAACATCTGCGATCATTTTGCGGATAGTATTGGCATTGGAAGTGGTGAAGCTGGAAAGGCAAAATAAGAGCTCAGGTGTTTGCGAGCAGTTGAAGGGGAGTGCCTTGTAGGTGACATTGGTGGTGGACCATATCTACTGTCCCAGTATGAGCACTTTCGTCTCTTCAGAGACGTTGTGGACTAGGTAGCTGACAGGGAAATCTCTGGAGTTTCTTCCTTCTTGAGGTTGAGGGGGTGAGACACACACAGGAGGGGCACCCTGGTGCACAAAATTTGCCACTGTGTTAATGCTTGCTCAGACACGCTCAGTGATTACAGCGGCCCTTTCAAAGATGTCTTTTCTGGTGTGGTTGAAGACTCTGATCATGAACTTTGGGTGCTCCACCTGGAACCAAGCAAGCAGTACCTTGTTGTCAAGGTGGTCGAAAATCTGAGCAGAGTGAGACATATGGTCTCTCGGGAAGCCTCCAATTGGAGTTGGGGTGAATTGTAGGAGGACAGTACTATGGTTTAGGCCGTCATGGCTTAGGATTGCTCTGTTTTTACCTACCAGGGCTAGATGTGCGAGGAGGTGGGGCTGGACAGGATTGTTATTGTCTGGTTCGCAGAGCTAGATGGAGCATGGATGGATTCTGCCAGTCCGTTTTGAGTGATGCCTGCAGCAGGGCTCTCCATAGAGGAGGTTACACAAAATTCCTGCATGATAAGGAGGTCATCAGGTGGGGAAGGCACAGGGATTTTGTGAGAGGCTGGGGTAGGGGTGTCGGGAGGAGATTGGAGTGATTCTGGGGAGGGTGTATCAGGTAGGGTTGTCATGAGGAGGTCCATATTATTGTCATCTGGGAGGATGTTGGAGGAGAAGTACTTTGACCCGATACAGCAGGATTGTGATGCAAGATGGGGGGTGCTGGGGTAAGGGTGGATTGTTTGGGAGAGGGTTTTAATGGATGTGAGATCCTTGTCTTTCATCTTCCAGTGGGCAAGGATTTCATATGGGGCTGGTGGGGTTTTTGTAGTGAGTATTGGAGTGCAGTTATAGTCAGAGGGGGTAGCTTGCCAGAGGTCGGTGATGTTGTCATGGCTAAGTTCATTTCTTAACTGCTATTGGGCTGTGGTTCAATGATACTTAGAATGGGTGTGATGTCTCAAGGGTATCGTTTGGCGGTGAAGGAGGATTATGTGATATTGTTTGCGAGCTATCATCTTATGTGGGGTGTAGGTTATGTCTCATTGTGGTATAGATCTTGAGAGGGTGTACTTACTCATGGAGCAACATGTGATTCTTGCATGTGGTGGGTATAGGTTTTGGTGTGATTAGTCGGTGCTGTTTTTACGTAGTAGATGTTTTCCTGGTTTAAGAGTAGTTTTTAACACATGTGACATTGTGAGGTTGTAGATTGGCCAGGTTATAACCTGAGAGCTTTAATAGCATCACCTTGCCCGCTGTTTTATAGCGTGGGAATTCTGTCCATGGTTGTGGTACAGAAACAAGGGCCTCCCCATAAGTCTTTTTCTAACATATATCAAAATGAAACATTGATACTCTGCAGTTTTCAGGGCCAACATCACATCTTCCTCATGCCTACCACTCTGTCCTTGCACTCAGACCAGCTACTTGTCACATCGTGCCTTGCCCTCAGTTTCATTAGTATTCTTCGACTTGGAGGATTTGGACAACAACACTCCGCCTTGAGCGCAAGCCAGTCCCATCAGGGTCCTGAGCTTTTGCAAATGGGGGTGTGATACTGCTTTGGTAAAGGTGTCGGCTATGTTCTCCTCCATAGAACAATAGTGGAGCTTGAAGGTCCCATTCTTGACATGTGAACAGACAAAGTGGTAGTAGAGGTCTATGTGATTACAATGTGACTGAAATTTTCCACTCAATGCAAGTGCTATAGCAGCTTTGTTGTTGCATAGAATAGGGATGAGCTATGTGGGGGCTTCATAGAGTTCTTTAATGAGAAGCCGGAGGTAGAGGAGCTCACAAATAACACTGGTGAGTGCGATGTATTTAGCTTCTGCTGTCGACAAGGCAATTATGGATTGGTTATGTGCACTCCAGGCTATGGCTCCCCCATGCAGGAGCACAATATAGCCTGACATAGAGTGTCTATGGGCCTGTGAGGCCTAGTACACATCAACAAAGGCTTCCATTCCTCCTTCTGTCTGGCTCAAAGTGAGTTCAAGGTCATTTGTACCTTTGAGATAATGTGGGGTGCACTTCACTGCCTCCCAATGGGCTCTGCCTGAACTACATATAAATTGTGACAGGCATGATATGACAAAGGCGATATTTGGCCTCATACTAGTTGGGGCATACATCAATAACCCTATGGCCCTTTGATAAGGTATGTCTTACATGTCCTGCAGTTCTGAGTGCGTTATGGAGGATTGGTCTGATAAGAGACTAATTCTAGGTTCCATTGGAGTTGGGACATTCTTCATGTCAGCTAGATAAAAACGCTCAACGAGAGTCACCACATACACCTTCTGTGACAAGGTTATTGTATGTGCAATCCTATCCCTCATTACCTTCAATCCTAACAATCAGTTTAGCTCTCCAAAGTCCATAATTTTGAAGAACTGGCACAGCTGGGACTTGAATTGGATGATGTGGGAGATATGGTTCACCGTGATGGCCATGTCATCCACAGACACTATGATCATGATATGCTCCTTCCAGGTATGTTTAAAGTACATGGCTTGGTTGACCTTTGAATAACTAAAACTGAGGTCAACGAATACTCCCACTAGCTCCTCTGCCCACTCAAAATTGGCCTGCTTCAGTCCAGGGAGGCTTTTCTTAAGCTTAAACATCTTCCCCTCCTGCCTAGTCTTCAAATATCCAGGTGGCAGCCTCATATAGATCTCCTCTTGGATGTTGGCATAGAGATATGCACTTTTTATATCAACTTGATGAATTACCAGTCCTTCTGAGCTGCCATTGTCAGCATTATCTGTATGGTGGTCATATTTGTAGTGGATGTAAATGTCTCAAAGTAATCAACTCTGTAGCATTGACATTGACCATTGGTAACTAGGCAGGCTCGCAACTTGAGCTTCTCTCAGTCTGGTCTGTACTTCATGGCCAAAATGAAGTGACAGGGAATTATGTTGGTGCCTTGAGGTGGGTCCATGACTTCTCAAGTACCTAACTTCTTAAGCTGACTTATTTCATAATCCAGCACTTCTTGCTACTCAACTCCATCTGGACTATTTAGGTGCCGTTCGGACGACAAATTCTAGGTTCGAAATTTTTGGTTTGAATTGCACGTGATGGCTGCACGTGATATATGCTGATAGATAATCGTAGGATCAAATGTACGTCCTGTTCTTATGCCCATCATGATTCCAGATCTTGAAGCACAAACGCAGCATCAACACCACCAAATCGTGATCATCATAACCATTGCCATTGCACAGATTACCTACTCATACAACCTCCTGTTCTTGTCTCACACTGAACGAATTCCATACCATACATCGATCCTCACTGGCCAAGCTTGGGTCTACGAGCTTATCAGCGGTCATCCAGACCAAATTCAACATAACTTCAGCATCAACCTTGAGACGTTCGAGCAATTGTTAGACACTCTCCACCAACATGGATTCGTTCAATCGCGCAACGGCGTCACCGTCACCGAGCAACTTGGTATATTTCTGTACACATGCATTACCGGACTATCATCTCGTCACGTCAGAGAAAGATTCCAATGTTCTCCCGACATGATCACTAGGTAAGTACATTAATTATTTGAGACTAATACTGTGCTAACTTTTGCAGATATTTCAAACGGATGCTTGTGTTCTTCTCGTCACATCCCTTCTACACCTCCAATGTCCAACTCCCAAACAGTGATACTCCCATTTCCGCGGCAGTACATGCAGACCCGCGATTCAGATTCTTCGACGAGTGTATTGGTGCCGTCGAAGGCACTCACATCCGGGCCTTCGCGCCACTTGAAGACCACATTATCCTGCGTAACCGGAAGGGGTTTTTATCACAAAACTGCCTGTTTATATGCGACCTGGACTTTTATTTTACGTACTCGCTCACGGTGTAGAGACTCGCGCCTCTCAATGCCGGACATATGGCCCCACGAACCACATATTCCTTACATATTCCAGCTCTTATCTGAAGGATCAGTCATACGCGCTCCCGCGTGCGCGCCATACGTTCGCGCCTCGTTTGCGCGCCTCATATGCACTCGCGCGCTTCCGCGCGCGTCCGTGCGCCTCCCCTTAGGTCTTCTCGCGCCTACCCGTCCGTCCGTCCGTCCTATGTCCTCACTGATTTGCTGGTGCGTTATTCTTATCTCTTTCATTGAATTGATGTGCACTCGGTCTGATCCCCGCGCTTACATACAGAAAGTCTATCTTAGACTTTAGATTATATTTAGAGTTGATATGGTTACTCGGTTCGGTACCGCGCTCGGAAGCGCCGCATAGCGCTATCTCCCTTCTTAAATAGAGGGAAGTTCTTTTACTTCGGGTACTACTTTTCCCCCCATTTATCACAGTATACTGCAAGTTGTATAGTGCACCTTAGTACTAGAAATCTGATTATACTTCTCCATCTGCTACAGCTCGCGCCTCTATTATACTTGAAACCATATCCCTTATCACTCATAAGTGTGCTCCCGCATACGCGCGCGCCTCTCGCATCTCGTGCGCCCTCGCATCGCTCACGCACGCCTCACGCGCGCCTTCATATCGCTTACACGCGCCTTCGTGCGTGTTACCTTCTCGCGCCTACCAGCGCCCGTCTAGTTGACAGAGTTTCCCTCCACCTTATTCGCGAGGAACTTCTCTCAGTAGCTGTCCTTTGGGTCGAGTTGTATTCTCGTATCCAGGTCTTGCTGTAGAGCCCCCTTACCTTTAGTGTTTTCACCCACAGTCAAGATTCCTCACCTTCAACGGGCTGGGACGGCTCAGTCGCTGACGCGACGCTCTGGAATGACGCGTGCTCTCATGATTTGCGCATACCTCAACACAGGTACCTTCTTGCTGATGCGGGCTTCGGTACCTGTGATGCGCTTCTAGTACCTTATTGGGGAGTGCGCTATCACTTGAAAGAATGGCGCCAAGCAAACATTGCGTGAGTTTATTTATCGTACATATCTGATTTGCTATTAATTTTGTTATAGGCCATGCAACTCTAAGGAATTATTTAATCTTCGACACGCGGCACTATGAAACATCGTCGAACAGATATTCGGTGTTCTGAAAAGGCAATGGCGCATTTTGACGATCGCACCTGAATACAGCCTGCATATCCAGGCCCAGATCCCAGCCGCGCTATGCGCGATTCATAACTTTACATGAAGGTACAATCCTGACAGTTTTGATCTCACTCTAGACCACGAGTATGATCTCACGGAGGACGACACTGTAGCACATGGGACGCTGTCCGAAGGACCGGCGGATACTTCTGAGCGGAGACGAGCGGATGCTCATCGAGAGGCGATTGCACTCGCAATGTGGACTGATTATCTCGAGGAGCGCAAACGAAGGGGTCTCCCATTGCCGTAGTTACAGATACTATACAAATTTTGTACTAGAAAACAATCAAGCATGCTACAACATAGTCATATGGTTCTGTGAGGCTCGCGGCGCACCACCACAAAGGACTTGTTTCTCTTCCAACCACTCGAGCCTCATCACCTCGTCCAACAAATAAAAAATAATGGCCTGGTTTTTGTGTTCAGCTAAAAAGTTCGCGATGGCTAACCACTCTTTACTGGTAAGGTCCGTGTACATATTAAGTAAAGAAATAGCCCTCCCAACGTGCGTGGAGGGCTGTGGTTGCACCAGTGGTTGCGGTGGAGCTAATACGAGGTTTTTCTGCATCTCACGCACGACCTCAACGAGGTTCTTCATCGTTTCGGTACCCTCCTGCTGCACTAACAGTGTGGCAGATGGCGGCCAACTCCGTTTCTGGGAACTCACAGCAGATCCAGGAGCAATAGCGCTGAATTTGCGCTTTCTGCGGCTAATGCTGGTCCATACCGAGTTGGTAGAACCTTTGGTGGATGGACAGAGGAAGGTAGAGGGAGGAGGTACTTCGAGGGAGTCGGGATCTACTGATGATGGTGGCCCCCGAGTGGCATTATCAATCGCGGTGGGGATCAAAGGTGGTGTAGAGGCGGTGGGGATCAAAGGTGGTGTGGAGGCAGTAGAATCCCGAGGCACATTGCTGGTGGCGGTGGGTCAGAATACATGCGAGCCTTTGGCTTTGCTTGGAATCAGTTGTTCCATGATTTCGAAGTGCTCAAAGCCCTTCATCATGAAGGGCTTCGCATGAGGGTGTGTCTGAAAACAACGTCATGAAGGGGTGGCGGCGTGCAATCTATCATAATGTGTACCTTGACAAAGCGTGCCCAAACATCGTCTTTTCTATCCGTGATACCCGCTCCGTGCTCGTGACTCCACGTAAAGCCCGACGTACACTTGATTTTGATAACGCTGTGGTATGCTTTTTTTAGCTATAAAAACACGTAAGGACATTGCTGGCGGCTGAAAGGGTTTAATAGAAACATACCGCTTGCCATTTGGTCTTGCAAACTAGACCACTCTTTTCCGTGCCGGACTTACATCCGACAATATTCCCACGCCTCATCCGGACCTTCGGACGCCCTATCCATGTCTCCAGTCCTCTATCCATCCAGATCCCTGCACCTCTGCACATTCACATCCACATCCACATCCCTTTACCTCCATACCTCAGCTAGCCTGCATCAGTCATCCTTTGTCCCATCACCCTAATGTCATATCCCATAGATCCACACGTCTCATCCGGACGTCCGGTCCGGTCCGATATACGATAAGCTTCCTAATTCAATTCCTGTGCATATAACGTTGACACAGCCTATTCCTCTATTCGGTATTCCTTGTCCTCGATATCTTGGTTATACTTACTACCGGTACGCTTACTGATCCGTTAACCTATGCTTCATTTCCGACTCGCGCTTAATAACTTTGCTTATGCTTCATACATAGCCTCGGACGCTTGCTTACTGATCTTTCCGTTATTTCCTTAGTATATAAACTCTTGTATATGTCCTGTAGTTCCTCAGTCTGAATATCATATTAGTCCTCGCACTAGATCTCACTCTAAGTCCTCACATCAGTTCTAGTCTATCGACTTAGTCAATATCCATCTCGGGCCTAGGGAGAAATTCCCTAGGCCAGAGCTCTGCTTATCCGCTCATCTGATCCTCCGAAGTTTCCGGACGTTCGTCCGAAACTTTCCCGTGGTCCTCCGGACCTATTCTGCTTCGGACTTTGTCCTTGCAGCCTTTCCTCTGTTTGCTTCTACTGAGGACTTGTCCTAAGTAACCATTACACATATCCGTATCAGGACGAAACCTCATCGTAATTTCCGGAAGTTCCTCCGGAACTTTCCCGCACTCGTCCGGAAGTTACTTGCACTCGTCCGGAAAGTCCTTCCGAACTTTCCCGCGCTTCGGACGTCCTTCGGACGTCCTTGGACTTTCTTCGGACATCATTCTGAAATTAAGGGCACATACTCGGGTAAGGGGTGCAGCGCACGAGCTGAAGCCAAGCCCCTCGGAATCAGTCCTACCCTTTGTGCACGGTCTTAACAACAACTGGTCATGCACCAAAGTCCTACAGGGTAGTGTTAGTTATATGATCATTCACCTCTACAGTACACATTTCTATGTCTTTTATGTGTCTTATTGTGCCTTCATACTCATAGCATTATTCCTGACACTTTACTTACTATTTACATGACTTCCTGACCTCCTTAGGACGTCCCTAGGTCAAGTTATTACTTACTCTTTGATTGTGGCTTGTCTGTTTACATTTGTTTACCATATGTCGCCCATATCCCAGAGTCCAGTGCTCCCTGCCTCTTTGGCAACTTACTCTGGACTCTAGGTACTGTACAACTTTACTACACTATTCAATAGATTGGCAACTTACTCTGGACTCTAGTCTGATCTCTTCTGGCCTCTCAGTAGCCTCTAGAAGCGGCCCACTTCACTCCCATCTTAACAGGTAGGAGGATAGCACTACCATAAGAGTTTCACATTGGCTAAGAATTTACCCTGTTCATTACCTTTAGGACCAATTCAGTTCTCCAAGGCATCAAAATAGTGTGGCAAATTTTACTCCTGCATACCAGTACAATGTCAAGCTGGCTTTCAAAAGCACAGCTCCATATCTCTGTGCTGAAGTCACTATAGCCGACATCTCTGGCCACCACATCATATCCGCGTGCCGGGGTAAATCACAGAGCAGCTAAATTAGGAGAGACACTGATCCACGGGACTGGCACTGTCAGATAGGTGTCTTGTGTACCTGAAACGAGGAAAGTCAACTGGTTAACACAGCATCGACAGCTGTTACTGTCCCTGTCTTCAGATCAAAATTGCCTGCTTGTGTACTACAACATTTGTTAAGATGGGAGTGAAGTGGGCCGCTTCTAGAGGCTACTGAGAGGCCAGAAGAGATCAGACTAGAGTCCAGAGTAAGTTGTCAATCTATTGAATAGTGTAGTAAAGTTGTACAGTACCTAGAGTCCAGAGTAAGTTGCCAAAGAGGCAGGAAGCACTGGACTCTGGGATATGGGCGACGTATGGTAAACAAATGTAAACAGACAAGCCACAATCAAAGAATAAGTAATAACTCGACCTAGGGACGTCCTAAGGAGGTCAGGAAGTCATGTAAATAGTAAGTAAAGTGTCAGGAATAATGCTATGAGTATGAAGGCACAATAAGATACATAAAAGACATAGAAATGCGTATTGTAGAGGTGAATGATCATATAACTAACAGGTAGATACATAAAAAAACAGTGGGAGTACTAAGTATTGAATGGGTGAGCACCAAATTGACGAGAGAACCATGTGATACAGTTTTTTTCCATGCACTGTCTGGTGTCAGGTTCCAAACTTGCAGGTGACCGTCACCAACACTTGCTAGTCTGCGATGATTATGGCCTTAGTATGACGAGTCAGCGTAAAATTGTTGATAAACTAGGCGGTGTCAGCGAGCATAGCACCCCGAAAGAATTGGATACATACTTCCATAGTCAAGGATCTGAGCATTGTCAGAGTGGTTGTTGGCATATATAAGTATATTTGAATATACCGTTCAACAATAAGTCGAGACGATTGTTTAAAGGATTTGCCATGGAAACAGCGAAGGCATCCCATACATTTAAAATAGGGCTTGATTGGAGAAATTGCGTAAAGCTCAATCACAATAAGTACAATGAATTAGGAGATACGAATGGGATCAGCTATGAAGCTCGACCTGCCCATCACTTCTAGTGGGACATATGGATGTGTGGATACCATTATGGCAGATGACGAGGTTAGCACAACTATTACTGATAGATCTACAGCTTATGTGAGTGTCAGACCGGACCCCTCGCTGTTGTCCCAGCCGGAAACCAGACGCATATTGAGAGCGGGGATAATAACTCCCCTAAAAGAGCCAAACTTGTCCGCGGCCTGCAGAAAACTGCGGATAAGTACTTACAACGTCACTTTGAAGCAAATGACCCACATACTGAAGAGCTACACGAGCGCGTGCATATAGCACTCCGAGCTGCCATGCTGGGGGTTAATATTGATGGCATGGAACCGCGCCCAAAGACCGCACATCACACTCAGTCCACAGAGGGCGAGCCAACAATAGTGAGCGGAATAATGATCTCGTAGCGAACTGTACATCTGATACATCAGTAGGTTCAAATGACAAACAAGTACATCATACCTCCCGCAATGGCACGAGCCATCGTGAACTGTTTGGCCAAGGGACTACAGTCACTCAGAAATACACTGAGCGCAAAATCGAAGGTATTAGATTTGGGCGAACTTTATCCTGGCACAATGCCAGGAGGATTAGATGTCCGCGTCATTCTCTGATTCATCATTGCATTGAGTTACTAAATATATATATTACTTTGTTGTTGCAAACTCAGTAAAGACAAGTTGAGTGAAAGAAAGAAACTCAGGAAATAGAGTTGAGAGGCTTATATAGTGAATGAAACTCAGCCTGGGGATTGCTGTTATCCGGTCAGCAAGTGGCTGAGTGGCTGCTGGATAATACCATCAGAGATTTAACTGGGTTTGATTCACTACTTAGGGAGCGAAACTCTGTTAGATCAGTTTCCTTTCTCAACATTTTTTGCAACTATTTGCCATGATTAGGAGACTCATATGATCTAAGCGCAGTCTTAAAATTGCGGCCAAAATAAGGCTCCTCAACATATTCATGGACATATTCAGCATATTGTTTAACACTTCTCGCCTAACATAGTCAATGTCTATTCTCTTGTCAAATGTAGACCAGAGTTAAAATATAGTACATATTTGATCATCCAACATATCCAAAATTTACTATTGTATATGCGTGTGAATCACAGACGTAACATTTCCTTTATCTGGTCAAGGATCTAACAATATATCAGCCCATGCCCGCATATTAAACATTTTTCATCCATACATATCTAACATTTGATCATGAATATTAGATCACAACTAATGGTGAACATTTTCGGACTCTGGTCTTAGATCTTTAATGCAAACACATGTTGTGGAGCCATATTTGGCCGTGTCTCAGGCAGGTATCACGGTCCGATGTTACTTACCTGTGGATGCGGGGTACCAAGACCCCTTTCTGATACGAGTTGTAAGGGGGGCAGCATGGAACCTGTCAGGTCCTGTCCTTGATGTTGACTTAGGCAACAACACCTTGACATTTCAAGGTTCCTATGCAAAGGTACAGACAGCATCAGTCACATTCTTCGTTCTCATTTGACTGTGTCCATCTCAGATCACGATGCCTATAACTCATGCCACCAGAACCAGCTCAGTAGCGGAGCACAACCCCATGAAACACTTCATTGGCAAGCAAGTAGTTGTTATCCATGGCCGTATGAAATTGCTGCGTGGAACACTGCGCTCTCTCGTACGTGATACCTGTCAAATCGACCTCTTCCAAGGCCAAAGGCAACAACTTCCACGAAGCCATGTCGTCAGGTCAGTTCCATACTTGCTGGTCTCTTTCATTAACACTCACAAGCAGACAGTGAATCAGGAGAACTTCTTAACAGAGGTAGATTGTCAGCTGAACAGTTGAAGATATTCGTTCAGATGTTGCATCAATCGTACATCCAGAGGTCTCTGAGAGCCCGCACCCCACATCCAACCCACCTCCAAGCCCGCCTCCTCCACCACAGTCCACCTCCATACCTCACCCTAATCCATGGTCACTTGACCCCAGCATCGAGCCAGAGACTTTTGTATCTGAAGAAGCGCCATCCACAGTCCCTGGTAAGATTTTCGTAATATAACTGTTCCGCATGCAAGTAATACATGTTACCTCAGCATATGATCCTTGGCGAGTGAATCCTGATGACGTTGGGGAGAACGATTCTGATATCCCAGATTCATCTCGTGGGTTGTTTAAATTACTGTTGCTTTCCACCATCTAACTTCTCAATCAGCCACACGATTCCTGTGCAACAGCAGATTAAGCTCATTACTAGCTCGGTGCCAGTTAGTTTTAAGGGTGCTACCAGCGCCAAGTGGCACATGGTATCAGAATTATCATGATCACCAGGTTTGTACACTGGTTCTGGATCCATTCCTTCTGCTGAGTGGACCCGTTGCATATGGAAACATTGCGGTCAGATACATTTCAAGAACAAGGAACACTGGCCTGAAAGAGGATGAAATTCCAATGTGCTACGTTATCGCAGAGCCCCCAAGAACTCAACTTCGATTTCATATTCTCTTGGTAGTCTAAATTGCCTTCTCATGTGAAGCAATTGGTATCTGACCAGGGTTGTTGCGTTTTCAGCACCCTCAAGTAACAGAGCTTGCCACAAAGCTCGCAAACGATAACCTTGCTGATATTGTACTATGTGAATGGAGAGCCCTGGGTTCAATCACAGCCAGACAATGATTGTATGTCAATCATGAATGAAAATTGATTTGTAATACAACAGAGAACATAAGTGGATATTCGAAAAGTATTGCAAGGCTTCAACACAACATGAAGTAATCGAGCCACCGAGCCAAACCCCATATGGCTAGTTATCCTCTAACCTACGTCTCTTGCTGGATGTCATGAGTTCCACCCGTGAATGGCATTGTGACTTCGTGAAGACGTGCCATTTTATGTGGTGCTTGCCGTAGGAAGTGATAGTTTGCTCCACAGGAAGGTCTTGAGGCCAGCCGTCTAATCTAAGGTGAAGATCGTAAATTTCTATGATCTTGTCGTGCGACTTCAATATCTCCATGTGTTAAGATGGGAGTGAAGTGGGCCGCTTCTAGAGGCTACTGAGAGACCAGAAGAGATCAGACTAGAGTCCAGAGTGAGTTGCCAAAGAGGCAGGAAGCACTGGACTCTGGGATATGGGCGACGTATGGTAAACAAATGTAAACAAACAAGCCACAATCAAAGGGTAAGTAATAACTCGACCTAGGGACGTCCTAGGGAAGTCAGGAAGTCATGTAAATGGTAAGTAAAGTGTCAGGAATAATGCTATGAGTATGAAGGCACAATAAGACACATAAAAGACATAGAAATGTGTACTGTAGAGGTGAATGATCATATAACTAACACTCCCCCCTGATTGTGCGTGCACCTCTCACAATCAAGAGCTCCCCCCTAATCGGACAAGTCCCATCATTTGACAGAACAAGTCCACCTTGACTCGAGGTAGGGCCTTGGTCAGAATATCTGCAGGTTGCTCTGCAGTAGGGACAAAGGCGGGGGAGATTACCTGTTTGTCCACCTGATTGCGCAGCCAGTAAAAGCACAAGTCCAGCTGCTTCATGCGTCCATGATGCTCTGGGTGCTTGGCCACAGAGATAGCGGACTGGTTGTCTATCCTGAGGACAGACGAAGTGCCCGCTGGGAAACCCAATTCCAACAGCAGTTTGCACATCCACTTGATCTCCTTACCTGCCTCGACTGCAGCGATGTACTCTGCCTCAGTAGTGGACAGAGCAATGACTCATTGAAGCTTGGAGCTCCAGGAGACCGCACCAGTGCCTATCTTGACAAGATAACCGCCAGTAGAGCGCCCAGTGTCTTTGCAACCGCCATGATCAGCATCAGAGAATTTGGAGAACAACTCAGTGGAGTGGGGGTCAGGCTTGTAGACAAGCGCTTGGTCTATGGAGCCTTTGATATAGCGAAGGAGGTGCTTGACAGCCTGCCAATGGGCGATGCCTGGGTTTGAGTTGAATCTGGCAAGGACACCTACAGTGTAGGCAATGTCAGGTCGAGTGGTGGTGCATCAGAGCGCCAACAGCAGCAAGATAGCGCACACCACGCATGAATGACACCTCCTCAGCAGTTTGAGGCGATTGGGAATGAGAGAGGCGGAGGTTGGGCTCCATAGGAGTGGTGACAGGCTTGCAATCAGCCATGCCAAAGCGTTCGAGGATGTCCAGTGAGTACTGACGCTGGGAGAGTGATATGGTGCGACTGGGACGGTCTCTGTCTATCTTGATACCAAGAAGCTGAGTGGTGGGACCAAGGTCGCGAAGTTTGAAGTGTTGGGAGAGCTGAGAAATGATTTGGTCGATGGCACAGAGGGATTTGGATGCAAAGGTCATGTCGTCCACAAAGACAGGCAGGATGATGCAGTCTTCACCTCGAGAATAGACATAGATTGCTGCATCTGAATACGTCTGGCTGAATCCAAGAGACTCGAGCACAGCTCTCATCTTCTTGTTCCAGTGATTGCCTCCTTGCTTGGTGCCATAGATAGACTTGTCCAGAAGACATACGAGCCTCTTAGGATCGCCCTCAGCAAAGCCTTCGGGTTGCTCCATGTAGACTTCGCAGTCCATCTCTCCATTGAGATGTATCTGCCGAGCAACCTCCATCATCCATGAAGAGTTCCATAGTATAGCTCACCAAGAAGTCATAGAGTCTCATAGCAAGTACTTCACAAAATATTGTCGGTGCACCTGTTATCCCCATCAGCATCTGTTTGTACCAAAAGTATCCTCTATCTTCTACATAAAAGGCTAGATATGGTTGCCACTTGGCTGAAACTTGAATGGTATAGAACCCTGATGCAAAGTCGAACATTGATATGTACCTATGGCCACTGAGTCATTGCTGCTTTCCTAGAAGGTCTCCTTGATGCATTGGCATTATTTCAGTAACCTTGTTGAGTTGTCCAAAATTTTGACAGATGCACCACTTTCTCAGGCCTTTGGTTGGCTCGACTAATTGCAGTGAGTCAACCTGAGCTTGAATGCTGGTGGTTCTCCTGCCGTACGGCATTGATCATTGATGTGTTGTTGAAGCACTTCACATGTTAGTCCTGTCAACTTGTAGGTTTTCTGGACAATAACTGTCATTGCCGCACATTTGATAAGTTCCGCTGGGGCTCTCTCTACAATCCCAGCTGCTAGCATGTTGTCGACTCTAGCACTTAAGAACTATGATTGATCTGGGATCAATGGCCATTGGTGGATACATGTGCTAAATTTTGCTGCTTCTGGGACATTTAGGTTGAGGTACTTATCTGGGATGGGCTTAACTTCTTTCAACAATAATGTGAAGACTTCCGCATTGCATCAGATGAAATCTTACAACTGCATTCTCTTGTCTGCTGTGATATCATCGCCAATTATGATTTCTGATAGGATCTTCACTAACTCTGGCTAGGTTGTCAGGCCAAGTGTGCCTTGTGAATATGTCTGACATGTCCTGTTGTGGCTCTGGGAGTTCTCCAAGCAGCTCTTCAAAGTCTTCTGTGGGTTCTGAGTCTAGTAGAATCTGGATCAGTGCTGGCAGTACTAGAGGATTAGGGTTGTTAACTATGGTGTTTTGCAGTGAGTTTGGTTCGATTTGATTTCCCTTGAGGGGAGCTTCTTGCTCTCCACTACTTCACTGCGTGTTATTATCTCTTCAGCTCTCCTGACTCATTTCCACATCTGCCTCATTTCCCATTGTTCTTGCTGCTACATAGTGAGCATTGGTGGTTTCCATTGGCCTATGGGTGCCATCTCCAGTGGTTGGCTTCTCTTGTCTTCAAGCTTATTGTCATGTTGCTTGATGTCTTGTGTTAGGTTGGCTCCTTGTTTAGTGTATTGCAGTGCTACTGGGTGGGCTATCTGATTGTACAATATTGCGGACTGGGAGCTGTCTGAGATGGTGATTGAGTCTGATTTGTAGTTATGATTGGCTTCAAATAACTGTAGTAGGGGTTTTCTAAATAGAAATGCCTATCCCCCGCCACTATCAAAGACCTCGAAGTCTCCAGTAGCTTGTATTCTGTTGATCTCAATCATGCCTGACTATTTTGCCTCTGTGTTAATAATATTTCCATTGGCCATCCATAACTTTCCGCTCAATGGACCCCAGTTGTGCAAGTAGTGTTTGACTTTCTTGAAGACTGATGTACACATCGTGGCTACCATAGCACCATCATCAAATAGTGCTCGCATTCTTACTGCTTCTCCTTGCAGACCTTTGAGTATGATATGGTGAATAAATGGCACCACTTCTTTTGTTTCTAGTTGCTCCTTAGTTGTTGATATATGTTCCACTGAATACAAGTCAGTGACATTGATTGCATCGGATGGCATTGCTACAGCTGTAACCATTAGATTGGGGAGAAGCTTGGGGTGTGCTGTTGATTCCTTGTCCTCATATGATGCCTCTGTATGTGCAAGGACCACTCATCTGGCTTGGGTCTCTGTAATGCTTCAGGTCAACATAGTAGCTCTTTCTATGTTGACCCTTCCACTTTTCCCTTGTTTTGCTCAATAAGTTCCTCGAGCCATGCTATAGGTTGTTGTGGCACATAGTTGATGACTAGCAAATTGATATGACTCTGTTCTAGTTGAATGCTCCTAATACTCTGCTAATAATTGCCCTCCACACTGCTTCCTTACATGTTAATCTCTTTGTATGATCAAATGGTAATTGGCAGTCATACCCATTATGTCCGTGAGTTCCACATGTGAAACACTTGCTTGAGCCAACAGCTGCCATGCCTAGCTTGAGGGGGTATCCCGCCTCATGAGTGACTTGTGTCATTACACCTCACTTTGCATTCCACTGTGTTAATTGGGATGTTGGTTTAAGCTGCTAGCCATCAGTTTCCAATGGGAATATACGTAAACAATTGAGGTGAAACACAGTCCCTTTTTGTAGTATGTGCAGGTTTTTTGAGAACACCTGTCATCTAGCTTGGCCTTTTGGGTGTAACACAACATAATAAAACTGCTCTTGCTTGTAATAAGGCTACTGTTGTTTCCGAATTGAAGGTTCTGCATTTTCTGATTGGACGATTAAGGACAATGACTGCGACTAGAACTGCGGCTGAATGCTAATGCTATGATGAATTGGTTGCGTCAAATTTCTCTCTGTTCACCACAATGAATTGGGCTGATGTGCTCAAATACAGATGAACAGAACATGATGTGATGATGTGCTATGAATTGATGTGCTATGAATATGTGTGCATATAGAACCTCAACCTTGCTGACTCAGCTCTCGGAACCTCCTGTGGCTCTGCTCTTACTTGTCCCCTTACCTAGAACCCCCTACTCCAACATGCCAACAGGACTTTAGGACTGGGTGCTGCTGGCATATTAGCAAATAATGTGATGTATTCCCAGCATCAGCTAAAAATATCCAAAACTTCAAGCATCTCACTAACTATTACATAACTCAGTTATATTAAGTCCCAACACCAGCATTAAAACCTGCCTCAAATTATCTTTTTATCTTTTATCTTTTATCTTTTATCTTTTATCTTTTATCTTTTACCTTATACCTCATAAGTTATTATCAGAATTAGCCAACAGTATCAACTAACATATTATCAATAACATACAGCCAAGCTATCTAAACTATTTAAACTATTCCTATTACTTCATCTCCTCAACATTGAGCTTGCTGAAACTGTCCTCCTCATTCTGTCCTCCATGCCTCTGCTCAATGCCAACATTGAGCTTCCTCTCAATGCAAATATTCAGCTCCTGCTGTCTGTTCCTCTCAATGTCAACATTGGGCCTCTGCTGCCTGTCCTTCTTAGTATTAATGTTGAGCCTCTGCCTCTTATCCTTCTCAACATCAATATTAAGCTCCTCCTGCATGCCACTCTGTGTCAACACTGTGGCTAAGGTTCTCCACTACACCTGTCATATTAAGCCAATTCTTAGGCTGCCCATTCTGTGCCTACGCCATCCTCCTGCACCTTCCTCTTATCAGCATGGAGTTTTCTCTGCCTGCCCTGCTCATTTCTTCACTCATACTACTACTGTTCTCAGACCTTGTTATAAGTAGCATCAGTTGCATGACCCCCTATCTTCTGTGTAAGTCTTTTTGTGGCATCTTAGGGGAAGGTTCTTGTCATTCTCATTAGGAAAGCAAGTGCAAGTGCACTTCTTGCCCTGATCTGAGTGAGGCCAACAACAACATTTAATAATCTTACCACTGTCAAGTTTCTTGTTTTGCTTATGATAAAGTTCCTCAAACTCCTCATTATCTATCTGTCTCCAGTAGATATATCCAGACTTTCATTTATATAGAAGCATTTCCAGATTTGTGAATGAGCTAGACACTTTGCTGAGGTTTTCAAAGGGCATGTCATCAGGCCATTCTTCACAAATGACAAAATATCACTGGTTAATGTTAAGCCAATAGTGAGCCCACTTCATTTTTGTATCTGGGTCACCAATAACCTCCCCTGAAATATATAAATGAGACTAGAATGGTTAATGAGTGAACAGAAGACTCATGAAGCTTCTGATTAATTTCATGTTAGATTAAGCTGTGAATCTTAGAGCAACATTATTGATGATTTTTAGCTGCACCTAAATTGATTTAGCAGCATATTCATAAAATACAGTGGAAAATGTTACCACATATCCCACTTATGGCAAAACCTTTTATCTTACCAACAAAGTCTTACTTAGTTACTGATGTTCAGAACAGACTTCATGAAATCTTGAATGCCTTCGGTTGCATAGGCAATTCCATAGAGTGGCAGGTTAGTGAAGCCATGAGTTGTATATATTATTGTCTCTGCATCCATCTGGCACCTTAAGCTATTCAACTATACAATTGTTGTTAGCTAATATTATTTAGATAAAATAAAATAGATCATATATTTCATTCTCAATGGCTTTAAGGGTCTGTATTAATGTTATTGATCTTTGTGACATTATGCTCTTAATACTCCTCCAAGAGGTCAGCTTTCACATTATCAGAGTTCATGATACTCAGTGCAATTCTCCTGAATAAGGTCTGGTAAGACTGCCTTCCCTGATGAACCTGTAGTGTAAAACAAGTCAGTGTAGAAGAACTAGAAATGAAAAAGTACTGTTTTCTTATTTGTAGTCTGATTTTTCTTCCAGCTGAATGTATTCCATGCATTCAATTTAGAGTGTTTTGACTATAAGAGCCATTGACCCATGTATAAGTCATATTGGACATGACAAATAGTCTTGCAATTAGAAGATGCAATTGTCTTAACAGATTCATCAATGTAGGCCTATGTGTCATCAATGTAGGCCTATGTGTCATCAAGTGCAGTCTTTGGATGACAATAAGGTAAGGGCTAGATGTGGTATAGAAAGTCTGGAAGCTCATAACCTGTCATTCCATCTGTATCAGCACCATAGATTTATAAGTTTCAAAGAACAAACATATGTCATATGTGTCATATCCTGTGTTCTGGACCCGGACCAATCATGCAATCATCTCTGGACTTCCAGACTTCTAGATCCGGTTAGCTCCTATCTTCTGTGCCTTTTCCCTTTGGTATTTCCCTTATCAGTTAGTATGCTTTATTTTCCATCCCTTATTTATTTCCGTCTTCATTTTACTAAGTTCCGATAGACTAGTGATAGTCGTCCCACATGCTCTGTCCATAGCCTCACATAGCCTCGCACTGCACTGACTGTTTTTCTGTTATGTCCTCAGTAGTATATAAACCCTGTACAGTCTCTGTAGTTCCTCAGTTTGAATGTTATCTTAGACTCTGCTCATTCCCTCCTCCGTCTGACTTGAGTCTCTCCTCTTGTCGACCTCCGATAGTCTTAGGATCGACTCCTATAGACTCGACACCTCCATCTCTACCTTTGGTAGTCCTCCGCTGTTTCCTTTCTAGTTCGGACATCATCCAGATTAGTCTTATCACTTGTTCCCAAATGTCCACTGGAATTCCCATGCATCGGACTCCGGACTCTGGATGTCGTCCGTTAGCCCTCGGAAGTTAGGGCCACATACTTGGGTAAGGGGCGCAGCACATGAGCTGAAGCCAAGCCCTTTGGATTCAACCCTTGAGCACATTCTTAACAGTATATTGGAACTCATACCTTACCGAGTATACTTACATCTGTTTTCATGGCACCTACACGCACTCAGAACAATCTCCATGTGGCGGGCTTAGTAACCGCCCGACATGACTCTACCCCCATAGTTGATGCATTCACTAGTTTCTCACAGCACTGCGCCAGTGCGCAAGGCCCTGTCTCCAGCATCTCACAACTTGTAAATCACCCACATCCGACTACTTCCACACCCACACCCGCCGGACATCTGCTGAACAACGAATCTGATGACGAGGGTGCTCTAGGCGGAAAGCCGCCCAGAGATGGTGGAGGTGACCCAGATGATGAGCCTCTGGAAAACACGACTGACAATGAAAATGAAGGTCTAGGTCCACAAGACTTGGTTTTCCTCCGTCTATCCCAAGCTATCAATAATCTGGCATGTAACAACCACCAAACCTCCACCTCCAATGACTCCAAAGTCAAAGTCTGAGAACCCGATACCTTTGATGGCACTGAGCCCCAGAAGCTCCAGGCGTTCTTTGTTCAATGTGAGCTTAACTTCCAAGCTAAGCCAAAGTCTTTCTGAACCGGCCGAACCAAGGTCAACTTCGCGCAATCATACCTCAAGGGCATGGCCCTTGAATGGTTTGAACTGGACCTCCTTTCGGATGATCTCGTTGATCGTCCGGACTGGATGGACAATTACTCCAAGTTCATGTTAGAACTCCAAACTAACTTCGGACCTCATGATCCGGTTGGAGATGCGGAAATGCAGCTGGAACAACTCTACATGCGCGATGGACAGCGCATCAACAAGTATGTTGTAGAGTTCCAACGGCTGGCTTCCCAAGTCCGAGGTTGTGGTGACGGAGCTTTGCACCATCAGTTCTACAATGGACTTCCGGCTTGCATCAAGGACAAAATCAGTCGTCAAGGAAAACCCACTACTCTGTCCCAATACAAAACTCTCGCCCAGACTGTTGACGCTTGATACTGGGAATGCAAGGGAGAAGTCTCCTGCGAAAACAAACCCTCCGCATCCACCCCTCCTGCCAAGCAGTCAGCTCCGACCTTCAACCGAAAAGATTATTCTGGCGGAAAATCCGGAACTGCTTCAGCTTCCTCCTCTGCCAAACTTCCGGACTTAACATCCAAGCTCGGAAAAGACAGCAAACTCGCCTCGGATGAACACCAGAGGCGCATGGAGAACCTGCCTCTTCTGTGGCGGACCCGGTCATACTGCCCGGGACTGTCTCAAGTCCACTTCCTGTGCGGCCAAAGGTCATGCTAGCACAGTGACTCCTGAAGCCAAACAGGAGGTCTCGGAAGAGACAAAAAATTAGTCTGCAACTTTCCTGACTCTGCGTGGGGTGAGGGTTGCATTGACTCAACCCGTGCAATGGAGCTATGTCTCAATCACTGTGGAAATGACTTTTTAGTCGGACACTAAACGGAGGAAGAAACCAGGTCTAAACAGACTCAAAATGTACTTAGACACTAACTGAACGCAAAGCAGATGTGTCGATGATTTTGGTGAAGCAACAAATGTAAATAGAGTCTTTTCAGACTTCGCGAACACATCTTTCCCGACCGTCGTTTATTCTCTTCAAACACCCGTTATCCCACCACTAACCAGATCCATAAATCCATCCTTTCAACCTCTTTTTACAGTAGACTTGGGTGAAGGTGAGTATTTTTGAAAATTCCTCTAAGTCCTTGTTTCATGCTATCCGTCAATTATTTCTAGCACAAGCTGCCAAGGCAGTTGCCCAGGTGGTGAATGACAGTGAAATGGAGCCAGAGTCGGTACCCGATACTAAAGATCTCATGCATCAGGGGCAGCTGGTTGATGACAGTGAGACTGAACCGGAGTCAGACCCAGGATGCTGTATGTTTTTCATTCTTTTGTACACCGTCACTGCAACTTATAGCTATATCTTCAGAAGGCCGGCGAAACTCGAACTTTATTAGATGTAACTATAGCATAAGGCCTCATTTTCTTCAAAAGCATCGCAGGTTCTTTGCTTCGGTAGTCCTTGTTCATTAATTTGTATAGTAGGGTGTATCATGCTCATGTGACTTCTTGATATTGCCTTGATGTGTCTGTCCTCTTAGATCATACTACATATCTAAGGTGCCCATCATCATGCCCACTCGTTGTTTCTGCAAGACCTCCAAATGCAATGGCCAGCTCATGTCATATGCGCAGAAGCGGAGTCATGAATGAGCAGACTTCTGCAAAGAGACAACTATGGCACAAGCTCAACACAGGAGAATCGGCACACCACCCATGCAAGCAGGACCTGTTCCACGCAGATTCTCGGTCCCCCTTCACGAACCATCTGCACCACTCTCTCCAGATGTGGAGTTTCATGATCCTGTTCGGACCTCTGACTGCGCTGTTGAGCAAGAGATGCTTGACCACGGTATCTTAACAAGGGAGGACTTGGATCTCATGGTCCATGGCAGTGAATTGCCCAACCTTGGACCGAATTTCCACAGTCCCGAGGCACTTCTTGCAGCGGTGGATCATTTTTCCGAATATAATGCTGGTACAGAGGCCGGTGCACATCCCTTGACAGCATATACTGCCCATCACCTACCCCCTGATCCAGAGCAGCGCGCTGCGGCGCGTCAACTCAAAAAGATGCTAGAGGAAATTCATAATCAGCAGGAACGGGCTGATGACGAGGTCATCGAAGAGGAGCTGCTTGATGCGGATGGAGAATTTGACGACCTACAGGGTTATCAAGATCCTGGCAATGCTGAACTTGAAGATGTGCTCGTAACGACTGGACAAACAGGTGAAGATGACCCGGATCCTTTCATCACCGACGACGTCTTTGCGGGCTCTCTCGACACTAACCTCTCCCATGTCCCACCACACTTACTCACCATATACGCACTTGTCACTTGGCTGCATCTCCAATTTCACCTGCCGAGAGCTGCTTGCAATGCGTTGCTTGCTGTTTTGGCTTGCTTTACTCCTTGCTATATCGCCAGGCATCAAAACTCCGTTTATTACTCTTCAGTCGTTGAATCGTGTTCTTGGGGTCGATGCTCCTATCCTCACACTACCTGTGTGTCCTGTATGCCGCAATGTCTATCCACCAGCATCCTCCCGTCTTTCACACGATGAATGCACTGACTGCAACGTTCCTCTTTTTCTTCCCAGCCAAACGAAGCGTGGCAACGACCGCTCAATGAAAACACCGATTGTCAAATATCCATACCTTCCCCTTTCTGAACAGATCAAGTCTATGTTGAAGATACCAGGCCTCGAGGCCATTCTTGATGGCTGGTGTTCGAAACCCCAATCAGTTGGCACATATACGGACATCTTTGATGGCAATATGTGTTGCAAAAAGCTCAAAGATCCTGATGGGCATCTTTTCTTCTCAAACAGGCCTGGCGACAAAACTGGACCGGACAGCGAGCTTCATATTGGCGTGAATCTTGGCGTTGACTGGCAATTATTTCGCAGTAGCTCAACAGTTGAACGACTAATGACTTAATGCCAGGTTCTTGTATATCCGGAGTAACATCGCCCCATCTCATTCATCGTGTCCGACTTCATTTTCAATATGTAATCTCCCCCCCAGAGTACCGGTGAGTTTTTTCTCTATCCTTTTCTGACACATTTTTACACTAACAGATACCGGACTGCAAATCTTTTATGCACGAGTATCTTGCCTGGACCAAAGGAACAAAATCTGGACCAAATTCAACATTTCTTATGTCCTGTCGTCAGCGACCTTCTGCGCTTATGGAAACATAGTATCAAGGTCCCAACAGAGTCGTGTCCCGATGGTACGTATCGCACTTCATAAACATGACACTATCTAATTATGGTATCAGGGCGTCTATTCATGTGATCCTTGTCGCAGTTGTATGCGACAAACCTGCAGCTCATAAGATTGGAGGTTTTGTGTCTCACTCGCACACCTGTTTCTGTAAGGTAGGGCTACTACAAAATCAACTAACCGTGACATGGTGTGACAGCTGACGAGATGCAAGGCACGGGCGGGGCCACCGGCCATGCAAGGAGATTAGATCTATTAGATATGGATGTACTACTATGTACTAAGTAGCAAAGTGTCGAGTGTATGTACTATTTAACTATTAACTATATTATTCTGAGTCAAGTCGAGTCTATGTGATCTGGTTGTCATCAAGTTCTTGTAAAATACTGTCCGGAAGAGTGCGGTGACCTCGATATTTCCTGTTTGCCCATGCTGCTTGCTTTCCATTTAGACCTTTCCGATACGCGTCTAGGAACCGTAAGGACCGGTTTGAAAACCTGTAACTGTGTGAGTTTGACTCTTTTGAAGACCAGTAGCAATACTTACCGACGCATGCATTCAATGGGAACGGAGTTCAATGCCTTATGAACATTGGTTTCCATCTCTTCGTCCTTCTTGGTGGGTGGATATAATTGGTAAAGTCTTTTAGCATATCCCCAACATTGTTCGATGAAGTTGAGTTCATAGTGAAACTTTGGCAAGATGATTAGCTTGAAGTGCCGTGCAAGGCAGTGTTCTTCCAGGAGACTTGGGACACCAACGAAATCTGGCTCATTGAAGAGTATTCTTCGACAACAACATTGAGTGGCCCCCTCTGGGCACTTGAACTTCGTGCACTGGGCCTTCAGCTTCGAAACATTGTACCCTCTCTCCCGCAGAATCTCCGCCATGCCCTTGAACTTTCCCGCATGCTTATGGCCAGGTGGGAAATAAAACGGCTGTCTTTGTCCATCAGTGAATTGCCCGTCTTGCATCGGCACCTTTGTTTTTAGAATCTTCCCATCCCGCCCATGGACTGGTCTTCCATTTTCTCCCAACAACATTGTCTCAACTCCCCATTCCTGGATTCCCTTGGGTGTCTTCCTTGCAGATAGGGCATTATCTGCTCGTTTCAGGTGTGTGGATGCGTTATCAAACACAAGGACATGATCTGACTCTGGATAATTCTTTTCCAGGATGTCCATGACCTTTGTCACCTGTTTCAACGTGACTTCGTCCTGCAACCAAACTTCAACAGGATGTTTGTGTGGTTCCAAATTGATCTCTGACGTGAGTCCGAATCACTCATCCACCGTCTCATTCGAGCTTGTAATGCCATCATTTCTGGAATGAAAATGTTCTGACAATAATCAACCACATCTCCTCGTTCGTGTCCATCAACATACTGACCACGATGGTCAGTGCGCCAGCGATACCCAAGTGTATGCATCCATTTCTTTGCTGTTGCAAGGGAAATGGTTGATTTGAGTCCAAAGCGGCTCTGGGCTTCTTTGTCCGAAAGGTATGTGACGAGATCCCCTGCCTTGACATATCTCCCAACCGATTGTAGGTGCAGGTGAAGCTCATTTGTGAGCTCTTCATTATCAAGCTTTGATACTTTCGATCGGCCATATTTGTCGAAAGGGAGATCATCACGGTCCATGATGAATGCCTTGGCCCATGCACGTAGTTGACATGCATAATATGTGCCTTTCTGATGCGCATTAGCTGTTGCTAACGATGCCGCCATCCACTGAGGTGAGGAGCCCTTTCCGAGCATATCTGCCTTCTTTGATTTGCTGATAAACATTCCTAAAAATGTTTTGATCTGCTCTAGACGCTCCCGGAGCAAGAAAGGCAAGTCTACCCATATGTGTCCCACTCCGTTCTTCTGCAACGGCTTCAAGACGAGCTTTAGATCATTGAGTGCTTTTTCCACAACAGGAAGAGTGGGGGCCGCATGGATCAGAGCTCGGTATTGATGTGCAGGGCTGGTGGTGTATTCAACATCTTTTTCGCCTGCCTCCAGACCCTGCCAACTAGATTCAGCTGATTCATCATGTTGATCGCTGTCACCGAAACTGCCATCTACGCAATTGAGATCATCAGCAAGAGATCCAACGGACTCATGATCTAGGTAAGTATCATCATTGTCAGGGCAATCTGACATGAATGCTGAGTAGCGGTTGGGAAGATGCGGTGGATTGGACTCGTTGTGAGCTGCCAGCATGTCTCTGGTGATACATGTTGGAAGTGATGTCCTCTCTGAGTTGTCGTTGATGATCATATTCACTGATTCGAAGTTGGTAGGAGCAAGCGGCATCTTTCAATGTTCGAGCAAATTTCCATATCAGCGAGGATACAAGACACAGGTGATGTGCGAGTTGGCAAGCTAGTGGTAGCATCTCTGATATCTGTTCCAGCTCCAGCTCCAGCACATATGTCCGTCGAGGCCCGCATAATGACAAGGGGAGTCTAGACAAAAGCCATCAATCAGCACTCCGAAGCATGTCGCAAAAAGGTAACACAAAACTCATGTTCAAGCTCCGGTTCTCTTTGTTCACCTCGCGTAGACCCGGCTCTTGATGTCTGCGTTGAAGATTCGCGATGCTCGCGCGGTTCCTTTTGCTGCGTGGAGCCATCTTGGTGAGGGTAATGGAACCGGATAAGGTTGATCGTGAAATGTAATCGCTGGCCAGCGGTGGTGCAAAGTTCTTGGCAATCTTACTTTGATAAACGTCACAATCCCATCTAATGTCCATAAGTTACACTACATGCACTTTTTAATGAATCGGGTCCCTGTGAACTGTACTATACAGTATGCTTCATCATCCACAGGTTTCCGATTCTCTCTCCTTCATCTTATCCTAGAGCCTTCACCAGTTTTGCAATTCTGTCACGCTTTCAATACATTCATCACGTGAGGTTGGTTGATTTTGTAGTAGCCCTACCTTACCACATGTTGGATCACAAGCTCCGACAAAGACAAACCTAGCGCATTCCAACCAGGGGGTAGGTGCTCGAACTACTAACATCAATTGACAATTAAATTTCTTCTAGTATTTCGGCCTCGCACTAACAGTGAGCAACGCAAGCTTGGTGAACGATACTGTCACCTTGTCGCACCAGCTGCGTGGAGGAATTTTGTCAAAGAACATGCGACCCGCTACACTCAACTTGCGCACTTACCATATTTTGATCTCGTCGAACAGATTGTCATCGATCCAATGCACAATCTTTTCTTAGGTAAGTTAATGTCACCCTTGCCGTCTGAATACTTTATTCATGCAGCACTTTGTAGGTCTCGTCAAGACTCACTTTTACAACATCTGGGTCCAAAACAAGATACTTCGACCCAACCATGAGCTTGCGAAGTTTCACGACATGATTGCTGATGTGAGTGCAATAACTCTCATTACATTAAACCATCTTTCCTAACTACCTCTGAAGTTCATCATCCCTAGCTCCTGTGGCAAGCTACCCACTGACATTGGCATGCCGTCTGGAGGTTCACTTACGGCGGACCAATGGCTACTCCTCTCTACTGTATATGGGCCAATTATCGTGAGTTGAATAGTTCAGATGTGCGTTTGCTGACTTGCACCTCAGATTCCTCAACTCTGGAGCGCTTGCCTTCTGACTGATGCCAGCGGCAAGGTTCTAAACCAGCACCTCGATGTTATTCAGAGGCTGGAAACACAGAAACAGGTAGCGGCATCACATAAGGCTGACAACAGGAAATCTCTTGCCGAAGCGAAGAAACAAGGCATGGATGCCTACGCCCTTGAGAAAGCTCGAATTGCCCAGGAAAAGCTCGCGCTGGCTGAAGCAAAGAAGACAGCCAAACTCAAGGCAGCTGCAGCCAAGGAAGCAGAGAAGCTCAGGTTAGCGACTGAAAAGAAAGCACGCGCTGCTCAAAAGGTATCAGTTTTAGCGCTCAGAACTGTTGACATATGGTAATGAACGTATCACAGAAGGTGCTTGGGAAGCGCAAGGCAACATCTCAGACGGTTGAAGACTTACCACCGGAGGGTGAAATGCACCAATCACCCCACCCCCTCCCCCCCAGCTCAATCAACAAGACACTGGTGACGACTCAGAAAACTTTGATGACCTGAAGTTCTCTCTTCACCCAGATGATCCAGGCAACTTCTTGAAGTTGTGCTATGCTCTTCGCATCCTTGTACGACGTGTTATCTGCGACACGGATATTAACGAAGCCGATTGATTACTTAGAGAGTACACCACTGAACTCATCAAGGTACATCATTTATTACTCAGTGTGACCTTCGTTCTTATCTCAGCGCAGCTATATGGCTCAGCCACTATAAAACCAAACCACCACTATGCCACACATGTTGCTGATTGTGTTCGAAATTTCGGGCCTCTTCACGACTTCTGGACCTTCCTTTTTGAACGTTTAAACAAGGTTCTGAAGTCTTTCAAGACTAATAATCATGCAGATGGCGAACTCGAGACAACTTTCTTTCACGAATTCCAGAAGACATGTCAAACAAGTCGCTTGGTAAGCTTTCGAGCATATTTTCCTAAAAATTCTGACTGACAATTCCTATAGACGTTCTCTCTCCTGGCCTATCCTAAGGATTCCCTCCCATGTGAAGCTGCGGAGATTATGCTTAAGGCATCAAGGGAGAAGCGCGGAACAGTCACTGGACTTGCAGCCTTATCTAAGGACTTGGACAACACTCAGACAGATGGTACTCTTTCCTTCTCTGTTCTTTCATTTCGTTCATGCGTCTGATTTCAAACTAGGGATGCAAATGTTTTCCTTGAGCCCGCACCGTAAAATGCAAGTGATGTCTACTGAGACATATCACTTGCTCGCATGCACCCTTTGCTTTTGTTTCCCATATACTCCAGTCCATTGTCGTGGAGATGAGCCATTGGTTCAAAACAGCACACCTCTCAATTGCGAAGCAACATTCTATGAGTACGTCATTGTCAATGGGAGGCGCTTTCATGCCTCAAGAACAGTTCGGTCAAATTTTTCGTCTCTTGTTCATGTTACCATCCCAGGAACGGTCCCTGGTACAGCTTACTATGGCGAGTTGTTGGAAATATTCCAATTTGAGCTTAGATCGGGAGATTCTGTTTGGTTTGGGCGCATGCGCTGGTTTAAACCTTGGCATGGTACGTGCAGCAAAGTATGGGAAGATTTGTGAGTACTTTGTATGATTAGAAAATTTGCGGTTCACTGTATTATATGACAGTGCATCTGTCGATATACGCCTGTGGGAGCTTGGAGAGTACATTGATCAAGACACCCAGCTTCCAGCTCTCGTTGACCTTGACTGGATCACTGGGCGGCTCGCAATGACAACTGTCTCAATTGGCGACACACGGACAAAGGTCTGGGCGACTATTCTTATCCCAAACTAATTATGGGCCGCCTTAGCATCTATCTGGTTGCCCCAAAGGCCAATTACAACCTATCAAGATAAGTATGAAAAGTCGACACAGTTCAGCAGCTACAAATGCCAGTCTTCGAGTTCCTCTAAATAGGTAAGATCTTTGGCGAATAATTCTTTGGAGTCCTTCATGCGCTCATAAAACCCTTTTAACCACGGTACTCCCTCCAGAAGCTTCATATCAGGATGGCTTTCCTTCCACTTGGCGCTGACCATATTCGCAAACAGTACGGAATTCTTGCTGGAAGATGGCACACGATCGAACAAGTGGTCAGGCGACACATCAAAAACCTTCTTGTACACCTTTTTGGGGTTTAGTACTGTTTTTCGGCGCTTTGTAGGATGTTCACTGGTTGGTGGGTCCTCTACTGCTTCCTCATCATCTGAACCGCCATCATCCTGCATGCTTTTCAGGGTCAGAAATCGGAAGAACGCAACCAACTTTAATATGCAAGAGCATGTGAGTGTTTATCTCACTGCAACGGCATGAAAGCTTACATCAGGATGTCGCCATTGAAACCTGATAACCTTCTTTGCTGCCTTGCCCACTCCTGCCTCCTGCTGCCGCATTTTTGAATCATCCGACAGAGTTGCTTCATCACATGTATGGGTTTCGGAGGCATAGTCAGTATCGATCATGGCGATGGCATCTTTATTGCCAGTCTCCTTCTCATACTGCAAGGCAGCTTTGCGCCTGATCTTAGTCACCTAAGTCAAGTAAGTCGTTTTCAAAGAATCTAGTGTAACCTTATCCTCACATATTGATGACGGCCACATCGACATAGAGTTATCTTGCGTTTTTCGGCCTTGTCAACTTTCTCTGTGGTGCTCTTATCATCAACCTGCTTATGGATATTTCTCCAGTACCCTTTCGCACACTCCGTGATAATAGGCCTGCTAAAATCATCATCTGGTATCTCACCTTTGGAAGAAGTAGAGCAAAGGTTCTATCAATATGGTGAGTAACTTTGAATTAACATCATATATGTGCTCATACCATTTCGTTGTTCCACACACGGTCTACTACTTCTTGAACAAATTTTGCATTGACAGCAGAATCAAATTTTCCTAGCCAGTTTGGACGCCATACTTTAGGGCCCCCCTCGATCAAGATCTCAAACAGTTCTCCGTTCAGTAATGGTTTGATACCTATCAACGCTTCTACTCGCTTCACCTTGCTGAGCGACGGATCTACATCACACAACTCGAAGAAAATTGGATGAATGAGAGGCTATTTGATATTATTTGGTGAGTCCTTATTGATGTTCGAACGATCGCTGATTTACCTTTAAGATTGGATGATCGTTTGAAATGTTCTTGGTTGCAGCCTTCTTGGAAGGCTTGCCCTTGTCTGCACCTTCGTTTTCGAGCTTCTCAATCTTCTTTTCTGCTGCGTCAAGACACTCTAAGACATTTTGAAGGCAGGCATTCATTAATGCATCTTGATTAGTATGCTGACCCAAGGACTCAGTCAGTCAGTGCATTTGAGATACGACTTGTGCAACCGTGGAATGTAGATTTGCAGATGGATCAGGTGAGGGTTGATTCATGTAAGAACCTCCAGCAACGCTAAACAAAGGCTGATAATCAGGTGTTGGACCCCTCTGATGAGGCTGGGGTGCGAGCGAGGGTGATTCGCTGTATGGAAACATGTGAGTCCCACTGTTGTATGGCATCCCTTGTGCTGATGATGTCCCTTGATATGGTGTTCCTTGGCCAGATGACGACGACGCTGACCCCACATGTGCCTGACACCCGAACAAATATAGGCCGTTGTTGTTCTATCTAGGTGAGTATTTGGTGTTCCCTACTAGAGCATCCAAATGGACTTACCATGACTTGTGGTTCATGACTTGCACCCTGTTGTCCTGCACTAAAGAACGGATCCATCCGTGGCAGCCCACCACTATTTTTGAGAGGGGAGAGCTGGGGTTGCATACTGGGTGGTAGGTAGTACAAGTGGCCCCATAAATGGTTCGTGTCGTTGCTGCCTTTGAGTTTCCTGACCTAACTGGCTGCCAGGATCGCTGGGCCTTCTCTGCACGTTCTGGGGCACACCAGACATCGCTATGGGAGAGGAGGAGAGCAGGCAGAAGAGCGAGAAGGAGGACCTACTAGTAGCATGTGGGGGATGTATGGCGGATCCATAGAAGCATGTAATCCTAACCTAAACAGAGGGGATTTTCACCATTTTCAATATTCTAAATGGACGTGATAACATATATAATCAGCTTCAAACCCGACTAAGTAATAGCATGTCTGTAGCCTAATCACACTCCGTATCACACTGAAATCTGTATGCTCGTTTGGTGCGGATTGGGAGACCTTTCTATACTTTGTCTGATACATTTTGAGTCTATTTCTAGAGTACAGTTTGCGTCCGTGTACATGCCCTAATCCTACTCTTTCTGTATACGACTAAAAAGTTGTTTCCGCAGTGAATGCTGTTTCCCTTTCCGATCCGAACTCTCTTATGCCAAATGTTTCCATCTCTACCTTCCTCGATATCTCTCCATTTCCGGCCCTTGTAGATTGTGGTTCCTCTCACTGTTTTGTAGAAACCAAACTAATCCGAGAAAATAACATTCCTACTTATGCAATCTCTCTGCTTCCACTCCATCTGTTTGATGGTACTTCCAATGCCACTATTACTGAGGCAGTAGATTTACCGATCCGTTTTCCAACCGGCGTGGTTACCTCCAAAACATTTTATGTTACTCCATTGGACTCATCCTGTTCCATCGTTCTAGGATATAGCTGGCCCCGACACAATCCGTTGTTGACTGGGTAAAGGGCAGCATTGATTTCCATCTGATTCCTCATGGAGTGCCTCCGACCCCTCTGACCTCACTTCCACCGCTTCTGGTGGAAATCCCTTCCATAACTCTGCCGAGTCCCTCCGCTGATAATGCAGTTCCAAACATTTCCCTAATCAATGCAGTTGCCTTTTGCCAGGCCTGTAAATGAGAGGGATCGGTCCAGTTCAGCATTTTCGTTCGTCCCTCTGGTGTCAATCTCCGCTTCGCTACACTCTCCTCCAAACCTCCGAACCTATCCAGAATTCCTTCAGAATATCACGAGTACGCGGATGTGTTTGATAAAGGCAAGGCCGGACAGCTCCCTCCTCATCGTCCCTATGATCTCAAGATCAATTTGGAAGAAGGAGCAGCTCCGCCCCTTGGCACCATTTATTCCCTTTCCTCAGTCGAGCTTGCAGCTCTTTGCAAATTCCTTGATGAGAATATTGTAACCGGACTTCTTCATTCCTCATCCTCTTCACATGGAGCCCCTGTCCTTTTCGTCAAAAAGAAAGACGGCTCCCTACATCTCTGCATAGATTTACGAGGCCTCAATAAAATTACAAAGAAAGACCACTACCCACTTCCCCTCATTTCCAACCTTTTCGATTCTCCGAGCCGTGCCAAAGTTTACACAAAAATTGACCTCCGGTCCACTTATCACCTAGTCCAGATAGCGGAAGGAGATGAGTGGAAGACTGCTTTCTGAATGCACTATGGCTCGTATGAATGGTTGGTTATGCCCAAGGGTCTCACCAATGCTCCAGCGGCTTTCCAGCACTTTGTCAATACCATCTTTGCTGATATGCTTGATATATGTGTTATTGTGTACCTCGACAACATCCTCATTTATTCCCAAGACCTTGCATCTCATAAACAACACATCCTTGAAGTCCTCCAACGCCTCCGGAAGCATCAGCTATATGCTAAACCAGAAAAGTGTGAAATCTATTCCGACTCGGTTGAATACCTCGGTTACCTCCTATCTCTGGCCGGCCTTACCATGTCCTCTGACAAAGTCCAGACTATCTGTGACTGGCTGGAACCCTGGAAAGTTAAGGATATTCAATCATTCCTCGGATTTGCCAATTTTTCTTGTCGCTTCATCTTTAACTACTCGAACATTGTAGTTCCACTTACACGGCTCACTCGCAAGGATGCTCCCTGGAATTTCTCCGAGGATTGCCAGAAATCCTTTGAAACTCTCAAGAAAGCATTCACTACCGCTCTGGTGCTTATGCACTGGATGCCAGATGTTCCTATCGTTGTTGAGACGAACACTTCTGATTATGCTATTGCCGGAATACTTTCTATAGTATGTCCAGACCAGGAGCTCCGCCCCATTGCATTTTACTCCCGGACCCTTTCAGCTCCGGAACTCAACTACGACACTCATGATAAGGAACTCCTAGCCATCCATGAAGCTTTCCAGACGTGGTGACATTACCTTGAAGGCTCTGCTGAGCCGATAGACGTTGTCACGGACCACAAGAACCTTGAGTACTTTGCTATGACAAAACTCCTCACTCATCGACAAGCCCGTTGGTTGGAATACCTTCATCAGTTCAATCTCATTATCCGTTTCTGACCCGGAAAACTGCAGCAAAGCCTGACTCCTTAACTAGATGTTGGGATGTCTACCCCAAAGAGGGGGATAAGGACTACCGTCAAATTGAATCCATTCTCCCTACCTTTATCGCTAGTTCAATGCAAGACTCTCGTATATCCCTTATCAAAGCTTCTATGGACTCTTACGAGCGCAGATACAAGTAGATTATCAGTCCCGCAATCCAATGTGTTTTCCATTAACTCACAAGTCTTCATAAGTTGGGGTTCGGCGTTTTCTGCACGACTCAGGTGTAAGCACTTGCTCGTTTTGTGCTTGTTTTGGGTTGTGTCATGTTTCAGAAAACTTCCCAAATACCTCTGCTTCACACTTGAGGGTCATTGAGGAATGGTGGAAGGGATCCAGCAAGAGCCAAGCCTGCAATGAAGTGTTCAAGTGAATTCATTGGATCGCTGCCGATACTGAATACCAGATTCTTACTAGGTATATCCCAAGCAAAGAGAACCCCACAGATGGCCCATCACACGGAATATACCTCCGGCATCTGAACAGCTCCCTCTCATCCAAATCCCACCAGAACTCATGACTTTCCTCATAGAAGCCCCTGAGCATCAAGTTCATCACTCGAACAACCCACCCACACATCCTATCACATGTGCCATCACCCCAGACTTCACTTCCAATGAACTGCTTCACCCAGTGGGCTCAAAATATGGAGAAGAGGAGTTTGAGCGATGCACCTACATCAACCAGGAATTCGAGATCAGAGGCTCAAGCATCTTTGAAGCGGCAGAAAGCTAGTAAGTACCACAGTGTCCAGCTCAGACAGACAACCTCACGACAGAACACAGCATATAGCACCAATATAACCCCCATCCCATCTCACCTGCACCCAGACTGACAGGAAAAAGACAGGCTCTACCTATGGCCATCCAGTAACAATGCAATCCACGAAAGATGCCCAAGGCAAACCCCTCCCATTGACACCCACAGACATCCAACACATCCGGGATGTAATGGTTCACACGTACTCAGAATGCACGTGTGAAATGTATGGGTCAGGTTTGCTCATATTCCACATTTTCTGTGACAGCAAGGCTGTCCCCACAGACCAAAGAGCACCAGCAAGCAATGTCCTCATTGAATCTTTCATATCCTGCATATCCAGTAATTACTCAGGGAAAACAATATCTAACTACGTCAATGGAGTATGTACATGGCACATAGTCCACGGCGCAGCATGGTCGCTCAATAACATTGAGATAGAAGCCATGCTTAAAGCCGCTATGTCACTCACACCCCCCTCCACGAAACACAACAAATGGGATCCCTACACCATCGACCTCATTGTTGCCATCTGTGAGAAGCTCAATCTCAAAGAACCTTTAAATGCAGCAGTCTTTGCATGTCTAACAACCACCTTCTATGCGACAGCTAGAGTAGAAGAATACCTAGATTGAATATCACAAAAAACTCTCTTGTCAAGTCTTGCAGAGCCTCATTCATTTAAATTGGACTTAGACTCTCTAAACTTAAACACAGTACTTGCCTTTTAAAGCTTAAGTGGCCTACATCCTTGCAAAAGTTCCAACATATTCTCATCAAATAGTTGCCAAAATTGTGACAGTGCACCTCTCCAAACTTTCCTTCTGAAGAATCTCCCATACACCACCATCATATCTGGCCTTCATAATCATTTTGACATTTATTATCAAATGGTCATTATAGTGCTACCTAATTAATAAGTTAGTGATAGACTAAAGTAGTGTTCTCCTATAGGTGTACAAGTAGATCAGGTTCATATTATATTCTCACTCCTTTGTCAGTTTAGTACTTACAACAAAGCCCTTATATATATAAGTGGTTCACACCATTACCAAGTCACATGAACTCTATAATAATGAGACACTACTTCACAGCTTCTGTAATATTTCTCTTTGTATTTTCAACCACTATAATCACTTGGGACAAATATTTGTTAACTCTTCTTTGATCCTGTTATATGTTCATGTCCTATGTGTTAGAATCCAATAGAGCCAAGGATGAAAAGGACAAGAAAGCTAAAGAATAAGGCAAGTACATCCAAAATGGGCACAGCGAGTGATGTGTTGACGTCAGCTCGCACCCTCTAATGTGTCAGTGCATTTCATTCTATATCACAGTACCTGATGCATGCATCTTATAAGCTAGCCTCCCAGCATCATGACATCTCAGTTTCAATCTGAATACTAAGATGTGAGTTAGTATCATTAGATTCATATCATATCAGACCCTTTCAGTTGCCTAGGCACTGATCCATAAACATCAGCTGTTAGCTTGTGTCCTCTAGGTGTTAAGAATGTGCTCAAAGATTCGGATCCGAAGGGCTCAGCTTCAGCTCGTGCGCTACGCCCCTTACCCAAGTACATGCCCTTAACTTCAAAGGGCTATAGGATGAAGTCCGATGTACGGGAATTCCGGCAGACATTCAGAAACAGAGGAAAGACTAATCCGGATGAAGTCCGAACTAGAAACAAACAGTGTAGGACTACCGGAGGTAGAGGCAGATATGTGAAGTCAATAGGGATTTATCC